CCAACGGGGCATCACGCGACAATATTTAGGAAGTCTAGTTCCATAAGTTCAAAAGGTTATTTCACAGTTTGGCACTATAGACCACGACTGCTACAGTACAAACTTATGAAGGAATTCTGTACAACAGCAGGATTTTCACGGCTGACAGTGGACTCAGGCCGAATCGAGTGTCCAAACTCGAACTGCACTCTGAACAAATGAGCTTTCCTTTTAATTCCGCATACTCACAGCACCGGCCACAGTATTTCCCGAACCACAATGAACTAGCAGGTAACAGCGCTAGAAGTGGATCCTGTATAACCCAGATTGATGAATGCTTCATAGTTCCAATAATCCGCCTGTGTACCCTGGCCGCTAACCGTGGTATTTCCCGCGAACTTTGCAGTCCAATAAGCACTGCCTTGTGTATACTTTTTCCACGCGGCAAGACCAGTCTCTAGCGACTTTTGACGCGAAGAGAAGGTGTTATCAATCTCAGCCTCAATCGACCACTCTCCAACGAATATTGGAAATTTTCCATCTCCAGCAGAGGTAACGGCATCTTCACATATGTAGTCTGTTATGTTGGCAGAGCTTGCCGAGCGGCCTGCAAAGTAATAGTTGTGTAAATCAAACACTAAGTTTGTTCCGGTACTGAAGTTTGAGGACCAGTACGCTTCGCCCTTAAAGCTGCCTTGGAACATAACAGGAATTCGAGGATTCACGGCCTGGACCTTAGAAAGAACTTGGTGAATATAGCTTGCTAAGTACGCGGCCCCGCTATCGGTAAGGCAATAAGGTGATCCAAATAGTGAAAGGTCTTGGACGTCGACAGGCTCATTGATGGGCTCGAGCGTGAATGATTGAGGAGAATTCGAAGCCTGGATAAAAGCAATAGCCGCATCGACAGCTTCCAAGGAATACTTAAGAGCAGTTGCATTGTTGAACCAGCCATAGTGCCCGTAAGCTTCACCAAACGGGAAGCCATTCACACCCCCAGGGAGAGAGTGAATGTCTATAATGATATGCATCCCGTATTTGTTGATAGCGTAGTTTGCAATGCTAGAAAGGAAGGATAACTGGTTCCCATGGTACAGCTGCGATCCCGGGACCTCGATCCATGCGGCATATGTAGTCGGAATGCGAAGAACGTTGATACCCGCTGCATCAAGCGTGTCTATATCGGCGGTAGTAATCCATGTGGCATACCGGCGTTCAAGGACTGGTCCACATTGGCCACCAAGGTGGGCGCAAAGTCCCCATTCATCCACAGCGCCGCCAGAGTGTTGGGACCACCAAGTAGTATCGATGGTTGATTCCTGCTCGAGCCAGCCGCCGAGATTGACACCCACGGCATTGAAGGTTTTCCAATCCAGGTATTGGGTCGATGCGACCTTGCGAGCTGTCGCAAGGCATACCAACAAAGGGTATAGAAAAAACTTATTGATCAATATCATTGTGGAGAATTGGTCGAATGATTTTCCTGTATTGTTTTTGACAGACTGAATTATGTTCTGGCAGGAAAGTGAATATTATGTTGACGACTTTGTGCTCTCATTTATAGTACGGAGGCTGCCTCCGTCCATAATTGCGATGCCCTTATTTGAAGCGGAAGTGCAATATAGTTCTCCTCTTGGAAGGGCAAGGAAAATGTCGATCAGCGTATAGTCGAGTGAATCTTATCCACCATGGAATTCCTGAAACCCACAGAAATTATCTTCGTAACCGTAAATTGAAATTCAGGGCTTTCTCAAAGGCTCTCCAGTATACAGTGCTCGGCCAGGCCCACATTCCGTAAGAATATTATGTCAGTACATTCTCTGGAATACTCGATCAGGGTCCGTATCCGTATCCGTATCCATAAATATACGCTAGGTATTGGTTCGGATTTACTAAATGGTGGTCGCATTTGTGGAGGCTCTTGTTCTCGTAGAAAGTAAATCCCGGGGCCCCGTTGAGGAGTACGGGGTGAGAGGTTGGGTACCAACCAATGCGGATTCACTGTGAATGACCGGAAGTCTCGAGTTGATGAACCACTCGGGTTGAATTAAACCGAGATATCCCGAAGTGGTTGGGATTCGCTAAGATGGTGCCAGCCGCCATCTGGCACTCCCACGCCGCTGGATTAAAGGGTCTTTCGGTACCTCTCCACATCCCGGGGTACCGGGATATCTCCGCACTCCCTAGCGCCCGATACGAATTTCCCCGGCATTTTTAGTCAATGCTGTGTTGTGGAGTCGAGAGTATGAATGCGGGGAACTGGTCTGCATACTCAATGCATATGGAAGGTAAAAATGGATCGCATTTCCGAGGTTGCCATCACTGTACACGGGCAAGTCCATCCAAACCTATTAATATCAATCGCTCCCGACTCAAACAAGGACAAAAATGGAAAGAGAACTACATGAGATATCTTCATTTCAAAACTCAATTATGTCCAGCTTTAAGCATGCATTTTCCTTATCGTCAGATCAAGTTCAAGCAGCTACCCCTCCGGGCACAGTTGCTATATCAGGTGAGACATTTATGAATCATAACTATACTTGCAAAAGTTTCTTTGTAGGCTGACTGCACGAAATACTAACTTCTGCGATAAACAGCACATACTTTATATGAGGCTGAGCATGGGGAATTGACACGAGATCGTGAATTGGTGCTCGTTCCTCAACCCAGCTCAAGCCTGGCAGATCCACTTAACTGGACAACCTGGCGCAAAATTGCCACTTTGACCTGTATGTCGCTATATGCGGGTATTGGCAATTTTACCTCAGCGTCTATCGCGAGCGCGTTTCCCCTTTACGCCACTCCTCTGGCCTTTAATCCTCCCGTGTCAATGGGAAACCTGACTCAATTGATTGCTGTGCGTGCTTCATGGGAGAATCCAAATAATGGAAGCGACTAATGCCGAGAAAGGTCAATGTACTTATGATGGGCGCCGCCAACCTCTGGTGGATACCTCTAGCTAATATCTTTGGCCGGAGACCCATCATATTAGGGAATATCCTACTGCTAGTACTCAGCTGTATGTGGGCTGGGCTCGCGAAGAGTTTTGGAAGCCTGTTGGCTGCCCGTGTCTTCATGGGAATAGCAGTGGCACCCGCAGACACAAGTAAGAAGCTGTCTTTGATTCTTGTGAATCTCAGAAAATTGCTAATCGATACGGTGTATTTCCAGTTGCCCCAAATGTGATCGGCGAAATATTCTTCACTCACCAGCGTGGTCGAGCCATGGTAAGTGGAACTTATCAGGCCTAGGAGTTCAAAATTAACACATGATTCTGAAGGGATGCTACACGGTTTGCATCTGCTTAGGACCGATCATTGGAGGTATGTCCGGTGGATACATTGCTGGTGCAAAGGGACTCGCATGGATTCATTGGGTAAATGTGATCTTGGCTGCCATCCTACTGCTTGCCTGTGCTACGCTTGTCCCCGAGACATTCTTCAACAGATATGCCGCCTTACCATCCAGTCGGAATCAACACTTGATGAAACGTGAAGGAGAGCCGGACGCCGAGACAGTCGATAATGTTGCCTCGACCTCTCTCACCGCTAATCTGAATCAGCAAACTATTTATGATTCTATGCTAAAATTGCGTAAGTACGAAGGAAACTTCTTTGAGAAATTTCTGGCGCCGTGGAAAACACTTCGTCTGCCTGGTGTTTGGCTGGTCATGTTTTGGTACGCCGGTCTCGTTGGTGGCGTTGTCACCATCACCACTGTTGGGCCGTCTCTAATTGCCGCGCCACCTTATCTCTGGGGGAAAAATTCAGGCCTCATCATGACCGGTGGAATTATTGGTGCCGTTCTTGGGCTTATTGCAACAAATTTGAGTGCCGATCGTGTGATTGTCACTAGAAGCAAATTGCAGGGCAATTTATTCGTCGAACCGGAAGAGCGCTTGCCCATAGCAATCCCAGGCTTGATTCTCGCAACTACAGGCCTTTGGACATTCGGCTTCTGTGCACAGAACCTTGGACCGGCGCATATGTGGATAGGGATGCAATTTGGGCTTGGAATGCTTTGTTTTGGTTTAATGCAGGCGCCTTCAATTGGATTCAGTTATGTGAGTGTTATCAACCCATACCTGACAATTATAAGTCAAATTTCTAAGTTTCTCTACTCTGGCAGCTTATTGATTCTTACGGTCCCCTTGCAGCTGATTGCTTTGTGGCAGTGACTTGCATGAGAGCTATCATCAGTTTTTCATGGACCTTCTTTGCGGGTGAATGGGTCATGAGCGCCGGTCCAGCTATCCCGTTTGGAGTGTTTGGAGCTCTCATGGGGATATTTTCCTTATTCACCATTCCAATTCTGATCTGGGGGAAGAGAATCAGAATCGCCACTGCTAATTGGATTCATGGCTATACTTGATCTAGGGACATCCCATCAACTGTATCTAAGCTTAGTTTCAGATGCGTCTAGTTAAGTAACTACCTAACCGTCAAAATGCTTAATCATACAACTTTAACATTGCAAATTTCTAAAGACTTCTCTGAGTTCCTGCTGGCATCTGATATATGCGCGTTACCGCCTACTGTTGGAGTGGCCTTAGACTTACTTCAAGCGCCTTCGGCCTCTAGCTATTCTTGAGATGTACCGGCCTTGCTGGAATAGACAAGAATCTCAAGCGTATTGTCTGACCTTAGCTTAGCCTACTTTACCCCGCTAAACTTCTATGATTATGTATGATGTGCACTAACATAAACCAACCATAGCTCTGTCTGTGGACAGATGCTCCGACTGGAGCCACAACTGAGCAAAGGTATTCAAAGCAGCATGTGGTAAGGCCCGGTGCCGTCGTTTCGGGTATACTTTGGATTAGACGATAAATCTTTTTGTGGGATTGGTTCTATCAGAACTGCTGGATGAGACTCGAAACACATTTTGCCAAGGCTAACATTACCGAGCAAGGTGGAGCCGCGTCTCCGAGAGAGCGGGGCCGAAGACCCGATCAGTTGTGTTCCCAAACAACACAGTATGTATTTTAAGAATATTGGTTCAAGACGGCAATTTAAATTTGCTCACAATAACTCTCGTCTACAGTTCCAAACTGTCAATAGTTCCTTGAGCTCGATACACCCCCCACGTCTCCCCAAACACTCACGATGAGCACCAATCAACTCCAACTTCCCCCGCAAAACCGGTACATCACCACACATAACGCAAGTGGCAAGGCGGTATTTTCAAACCGACTGCCAGAAACCATGCCAAAACAACTTTTCAACGGGGTCCCATTTGGCCTAGCTTACACGTCTAGCGAATACCCTGCCCAAATATCCGCAGACGCCGACCTTGCGAAATATGAAGCCAAACTGTCCAAACCTCCTGGTCTGGTTATTTCCACCGGGACCGTGTGTCGGATTGTTGATTTCGCTCCCCACGCTGAAAGTCCAATGCACCGCACCGTATCTTTGGACTATGGGGTTGTGTTGGAAGGTGAAGTGGAACTGTCATTGGACAGCGGAGAAAGGAGGATCTTGAAGAGGGGCGATGTTGCAATTCAGCGAGCTACAAACCATGCTTGGAAGAACGTTACTCCTGATAGCGGGTGTGCCAGAATGCTCTATGTACTTATACCCTGCCAGCCCGTTCGGGTAGAAGGTTTGGGGCTGCTTGGCGAAGTGATTGATGGTATTGGTGTTAAGGCCAGCGAATAAACAGAGTTCGGAGCTTTTACTTCTGTGAAACTATCTCGCATTGTTTGCAAGAAAGGATTTTTCTTTTTCTCCGTCCACGATGGAAAAGGAATGCCCACACATCAATATCGCATAAAGGAAAGGAAGCGACGGCCTATAGAAAGTAAAAAAGCGTTACAATCTCCCTGCATATAGGTGAAAATGGAGTATAGAGGGTTTTCTTTTGCCGTATTTGCAAAATGATAGGTAGCTATGACTGGTACATGCATATCCATGTCCAAAAAAGGGGAAGCCATTAGCATCCTCACCGTCCGCATCTCCCATCGACTCTCTGGGCGAGCTTTGCAACCCAATCAGCTCAGTAGGGCAGAACTTGGCCTGGCCATTGGTTGCGGTGATCCGAGGTCCACAATCGGATGTTGTCCACCCTCTTCCGACGACCACTTAAATAAGGCTGGTCGCGCGAACTCCAGTCTACGATGGCCGAAGACCCTTTTGATATACAGGGAAAGCTGACAAGTTTGAAATTGTCGAACCGACAACGTACTACTCCACGAGATATGATTCCACTGGCACGCTTTCGCGAGGGGTTCATAAGCATATTGTAGGTTGGTCTCTCCAGGCTGACTCAGTGATGGCGTCTGGACTAATAAATTAACGTCGAAATGTCAGAATTTCACGACGAGCCCACCGCTTTGTAACTAGCCGTGGACAACGTCACCCGACCGACTATGGCGTCCCGCACGCCTGAAATGCCGCGAACCCTTTCCCAAACCCCTTTCCAATGCAGAGTATGCAAGAAACGATATGACCGAGCTGATCATCTGAAACGCCATGTCAAATCTCGTATGTACTTTGCAAAAGCGTTACGAATATCCTGTAAATCGGGTCTAATTCTTCAGTCCAGATACTACAGATAAACCTTTTGTTTGCGAAAAATGCGGCAAGGGATTCATGAGAATGTTGGTTCCTATCTGTATATGTTGTTCTCACCACTCAAATTACTGATATATTGCTAGTGAAATTCTCAGCAGGCATAATCAGAGCCATAGCTCTGAGACCAATGATGACAAAGCTGGCGGTTGCTCAGGGGTTATTGCACGTGCGTCGCAGGCATGCAAGCGATGTGCGGCGTCTAAGCTCAAATGTGACGATGAGAAACCCTGTCGAAGATGCGTGCGGCGAAATCAGATCTGTCAATGGTCCCCAAGGGATGACACTTTTGCGACTCCACAATCTCATGTGATCACCATAGAGCATGAGTCGCACTCTATGAAACAGACTGGGGAAGATCTCTTGGGCAACGCCGGAGCTAGGGTCCCTTCCCATGATTCGGAGGTGGCATGCATTGTTGAAGGTACTGTACACATTTAATGGCCATAGAGTGCTACGACTAGAAACTAAGCTGCCTAATCTTTAGGAGAGAGTGCAAATTCGCCCGAAACCGAAAGCTTTTGCCAAGGATGGGAAGGATTCAGTGCATTCAACGCATTTCCACTTATGGTTCGTGACCTACTATCTCGTGTGTTTGACACCTACGAATCATTCTCACTAGTATATAGGGCCCCGGCCAGTGGAGCTCGCATGACAGTATGAGTATCGACTTCGGGCTTACAGACCAAGATTTGGAGTTACTAGACTCCCTTAATAGACTGGTTCCGGCTCGACAAGCGCAAGACTATCTAGAGCAACTTCCCCCGCATGATGCTCCGACTAAAATGAAATCTACTCGTCAGATTAGCAAGGCTGATTTACAAGATTCCCCACTATCGCATTGGACTCCCCGCAAGGAAGACAATGCGCACATGGACCAACAGTATTTGTCTTTGCCTCAGCATCTCGACAATCCGCAGTCACACGATGTGCTAAAGTCACGAGACCGCACAAATACTCTTTCAACTGAACGTCGGGATGTAGCTTTCGCGCTCGTTGTCGAAATCTGTCAATGGAAAAACCTCGATCGAATCATGCAATGCTTTCCAAGCACGAGACTCTTAGATAGCCTGATGGGCAATTTCTTTGTCCAACACAGATCAGAGACTGATGCTTGGATTCACGAGCCAACCATGGACCTTAATCAAGAACGCCCTGAAATGATTCTTACGCTTGCCGCTGCAGGAGCAGTTCTTTCTAAAGTGGAGGCAATCCAGAGACTTGGCTATGCTATGCTAGAGGTGGCTAGGCTCAAAGTCAATAGCATGGTAATCCCTGGCGATCATAACTGACAGGATGAACTTCTGACTTTCAGTAGTTTGAAGATGACAACACCCTCACTCGCGAGTTGAAACAACAACAAATTTATACTCTCACTCTACAAATTGGACTTTGGAGCGGCGACAACCGGCGCGTCGAAATTGCCGAGAGCTGTTTCCAACCTATTGTAACGGTAAGATTAAGGATCTCAATTCCATAGTGTGATGATTGTGGGTCTAATTATAGAGCAGATGCTACGGCGAGCCTCACGCTTCAAACACGAAGTTTATCCCATTGTCGCCCCCTCTGCGACTGACGATGACTCAACCGTTAACCGCAAATGGCGTGCATGGGTTGAGCAGGAATCCTTCAAAAGGTAATCACCAAATGTCGCCCGCCACAAATTATATCACAAATGTGCTGACTTGATATAACAGGCTTGCTCACTACGTGTTTATTCACGATGCCCAAGCATCTTCTTTGCGATCTACAACCCCACTCATATCTCACATAGAGTTCGATCTCCCTCTCCCCTTCTCACGCAAACTCTGGGATGCAAAGACCGCCGCTGAGTGGAAAGTCATATACATTCAAGAGATTCCTCAAAGTCCATCTATTTCAGTATCTCTGTCCACTATCTTGCAAGATATCACCACTTTGAGCAGTATCCCTCGCCACGCTGACTTCAAACTAGCCGCCTTGGCAACCATTCATGGTATATCAAATATGATATCTGACCACAACCGTATCCTTCGAGGCTCAGCCCGTCAATGGAGCATTGTGGTCGCAAATTTATGGCAGCAAGAGCTGATCCAACTTCTGGAACAGTTTCGGCTCCTTGCCGTCGAACCTCTCAAGGATTCTTTACCAGCCATGTCTCTTATTTATCAGACAGTCTCACTTTCATTATACTTGCCACTTGGTATCCTCGAAACCTTTTCGGGCAGGGATGGCGAAGAGCGATCGTCTGCCATCTATCAATCGTTCATTCAACATATAAGCCCAACCCATCTGCGAAAAGCGAGCTGGCACGCTGGTCAGGTTCTACGTATTGCAAGATCCATGCCTTCAGGATCGCTTGTGGCTTCTCAGGCTGCTTGCGTGTACTTCAGTGCATTGGCCTTGTGGTCACTTGCCACAGTGTTCTCGCTAAATGGTATGACTCCGGCGACTGAAAGCCGCGACACCGACGAAGTTTTCTTTTTGGACGGCGGGGATGACGGCGATATACTACGTCGATTCATCGCTCTGGGTCAGGGAAGCCCTGTTCTCTCTTCCGTCGGCCATTATGTGCACTTACAATCCCGAGCGGCAGTCATGCGTCTCTTCCAGGAACTATTCAGTTCAGAGCATGGATTATATGGAATTAACCAACAAGGGAGGGCTCTCAGTCATACCTTTGCCATCCTGGGACTGAACGGCGATGTAGGAGCGAAAGACGAGTATATCCAATACTAGCAAAACAATAATCTCACGCTGTTTACAATTCCTACCACAATGAAACGGGACAGAATGACGGAAAACATGTATTTACGTATGTCATTCCACCCAATTTGATTTATCTTGATGATCTCTTGCAGAGATCAGTTATCATGAGCTTGTATAGCGGCGAAGGGTCCTCAACACTCAGCTGCTTCTTCAATGAGCATTTCCTATCGAGGGTGCGGTTATCCGATCACAAACAACCCTCGTTGATCATTGCACTAGTCGCTAGTATTTACCCGGGATTCTTAGTCAAGGAACGCCGTGAGAATGGAGGAAACTTCTTTGATACACATGCCTTGTACCCCACCTCTATTTCGAAGAGTTATGTCGTTGCCGAATCAAGCTTGCATCGGTTCCGTTCCAACTTAGTCGGCAATTTTGCACGGTTGCTATTAGTACTCTGGTGGCTCTTTGACTCTCCTACTTAAGACTTGGATCTTCCAGAGTGAAAGAAGTGGCCGAAAATCCAAAGCCATATATTTACCTAAGGAAATGCTGGCCGAAAGGGGCATAGCCTACCTGTAGGACCTGGCCTTGGCGACCCCCATCAAAAATGATTCAGATAAACCAGGCCTCCTAGGTTTTGTTGGAGCAGCAGGATTGGTGGCTACCCGGAAAATAGAGATACTATAACTTAATTAGATCTATTATTCGCTTGCAGATCTCGGTAGATCCTCTCGGGGCCGTGCTAGGCGGCCCCTGAACACGAGACTATATGTGTTCACAGACTTCGTGTTGCGCGATTGATGCTGATTCGGAGGGATCAGTGCCAGCCAGACAGATAGTAGCTGCGCGTCTGGATGTAGCATGAGTGAGCTTGACTACGGTTGGAATGTATACGAGCATGTGGTAAAAGTTGAAAACAATTCCATGCAACTATAAATGTGGTATGTAAATATACAGAGTCCGCCGTGGGTAAATATCAGGTCCAGACGTCTATCGTGATAATGCAAGTATATCTGCGCCGTACTTCACTTCGTCTACTTCATGCCCATTACAAGCCTGCCACATGCCAGCCTCTTCCAGGAGGATCTTGCAGGCCCATCGGACACCATAGGAAGAAACGACTTTCATGAGGAGCCTGCCCTCATTTGATTAATCCAGGGCAGCACAAGTGAAAACACCCCGGACGGTGCCGCTCCTGTAGTTGATAATCTAAAAAGAAATTTAAATTAGCAACGTGACTCTGTAGTCTCCCAGGAAGACACATGACTTACAATATCATCGATACTAGAATAAGTACCGGCCACCAGAATCACCAGTCCAATCACCAGGATAAAGGCGTTGATGATGGTCAAGATCAGGTTTCGGGGCTCTGTCCAGCTGCCCTTGCGGATGAGGAGGAACCACATCAGTGAGGGGAAGTAGAAGCTGAAGCCAGAGATGAACAAAGCAGATGAGATCGACAGCAGATCGCTGAAGAACGGAATGACCTCTGCAATGATAAAGGCGATGATCGTGGCCGCGGTAATGACACCCAGCCAGGTGATCCAGCCCATCTTGGTGTTGATGAATCGGATCGGGGAGTTGGCAAAGATCCGACCGTGCACCAGGCGGCCAAAGACCACCGTGTTGATCGATCCACTGATAAAGATCACAGGCAGGGCCACACCAAAGGCCACCCGGCTAAGGGTACCACCGGCAGAGAGGAGCGCCGGGCTCTTCACGTCCTGACCGACGAATGCATAGATCGTGGCACCAGTCACGGTATAAATCACGATCTCGGTGATGCCAAGGGTCCAGATCGACTTGACAAAGTCACGGGGGGTGTGCATCTCATCCATAAAGGAGAACTGGCACATGGCGAAACTGTAGGCGAAAATGATGTTGGAAATCGCAATGAACGCTTCGGTGAAGGTCAGGTCGGGCTTAGGCCAGGCAGACCAGTCGACAGCCGCGAGACCACCGGGAGCATTTGTCGCCTGGACACCAGTGCCGATGATCGTAATGCCGATAGCCAGAACGATCGATGCAAAATCCACATAGCCCAGTATAGCAACCTCGGTAAAGCTGGGTGGGATAGCGAGCAAAAGCAGGATGATGGCAGACACGACGCCAAAGATGACCGAACAAATACCACTCTCGGTGATGTTCTGGAAGGCGATCGTGCCCGTCAGGCAGTGAGATCCGGTCAAGAAAATCAGCTGCAGCGCGAGCATCAGGTTGATGAGTTCATATCCGAAGCGGCCCCACATCAAGCGACCTGCGTCGGCGTAGTTGGCGACCTCTGGGAAAGCCAGCTTTACCTGACCGACAATATAACTGGTATATATGGCGACAAGACCAAGACCAACACAGGATATCGTACCTGCCACCATGCCAAGGGCGGCAAAGGTCGAGGGAATGGACAAACTTCCAAGGGCAATGGCCTCGACGATGAGAACAATGGTCAGTCGTTTCCAGCCGAGACGACTGAACTTCTTGATGCCATGGTCGTAGATATTACGCTCAGCCTCACTCATCTCGCCAACCATATCCTTCTCGAATGGCGGTGGGGCGGCATAGTCCTTCTTGTCGCCGTCAGACTCCATGACCTTGTTGTTGGAGTCTTGGCCACTTGACACATCGTCAAAGCCCATCCTGCCGAGGATGGGACGTAAGGGAAGGGGAGGAGGGTGAGGAGGGAGGTTGTCGGATTGACCGGAGAAGAATAAGGGAGAGGTGAAAGACGAGGAAGGGAGGCCATGGGCACCGGTATAAAAGGAAAAAATGGCTCAGCCAGAGAGTTTGCGCTCGGATCCGGCGTTATCTCTGGGGAATCACCATTTCACGTCGAGCAGGCAAAGTACGGGTTTCAATGACTAACAGGATTCGGTGAGCGCTGGATGGTCTTCCACACGTGGAGTACAACGCTACTCCACTCGGGTTGATCGGCCATCCAACGAAATGGCCGCAAGCAGCAGAAAGTGGTTCCATCGGGGGCCTAGAGGTCCACCGTCTGGCCGCTGGGCGAGACGTAGACTGCGCCCCGATACGCCCCAACGGCAGATCCGGTGATAGGAAGGTTCGGTTCTTATGTAAAAGAAATGCGACACTGGGTCTTTGGGAGGCCATCGGATGGAGACCGTCCCCGCGGTGGATGAGGAACAGAATGCGGGGAGCAGAAGAAGCCGGGGAAACCGCAGAAACCCTCTATCAAGGATGAAGAATGCGGAGAGTATCATCAAGATCTCATTCACAAAAATCTCCCAGATATCAGGGCAAGATTTATCCTTTCCCCCAAGCTTTGCTGAGCCGCCCGAGCCAACAAGCCACAAGCGAGAGATCCCTGCCGGTTCGGATGGCGCCGAGAAAAGTCTGATCAGGTGATTTTGACCAATGGTCGATGGGCGGAGAGAACTGGCAGAACGCCCGTGAAAACTTAGTTTGAGGTCGATGGTCACGTGAGATGCCCGGAAATAGCCACCCACTCGTTGGAACTTCCCCGAGAATCTCCACGAAGAACGAGACTCGAATTGAGTTGTGAAACTGGATACGATCATCCTTCGTGTCATCTCGAGCCCTCTCTCCCCACATCTTCCCCTCAATACCCGCACGCCTTTTTCCCCGGCTTCCCCCGGGCTTCGTTGGGAAAACATCCCTGCCCAGATATTGTCAATCCTCCAGTCTGAACTTAGCAGAGCGCCACCAACGCCATTTGGGCCTAGTCGGTCGGCCCGCACCAGGGCACTTGCGTTAGCGTGGAAGAAAGCCCCTTGCTTGATTTGTCGCCTTCGCCGATCGATTTTCGAATCATCCGGGGGAGCGCGATATTTTATTTGAGTTTCCTCGGGGCAACGCCACCACTTTGGGGTGACCGAAGACGCGTCGAAGCCTAATCGTCATATTGTGCGGATTGAGATCATGTCCATGCCCGTGTCGCAGAGGCCGTGTTGATCATTCCCTCTTGTCTTCCCCTCGTCTCGGTCCAGGGCCACCTTGCGTGTCTTGCAAATGAGCAATTTTGCCCGACCTCTAACGACAACTTCTGGAAAAATCTGGGGCCGAAAGCCAACTGAGCCCCAGTGGTAGGCTGAGACAGCTACAGTCCGTAATTTGGGAACAGACAAAGTCTGGAAATTGCATGCTCTGCTATCTATGGATGGAACAGCCTCCTTGAGCAACGAGACCTTCGGACTATCAACTCTCATTCCATCACCACCAAACTGAAGACTTCGTTACAGAGCCCAAAGCTCCTCACAACGGCATAGAAAAATAATTGCTGCCATTTGCTCTGTGAATCGGAAGAGCAACAAGAGCAAAGTGGCTCCCGAAAATCGTTCAGTGTTGTTCCATCCGCATGGGTCATCGGGCGGCCCACAAAGTTTAACAACCCTAAATGAGTTTTTATATGCTAATGGATTGCGCTGACCCCAAACTACTCCTTGACTCTCTCCTCCTCTTCTTCTGGGGCACGGCTGGTGCTACGAACATCGTCTCCCTCTCGGAGCTCTGGTCGAGTGAGAACCGTGGTCGCATACGCAATCCGCAACCCTGCGCGCTCCACATTGCGTGCACTCCCGTCCCCAACGCGAGTGATGGTCGTTGCGAGTGACAGACCCCTGCGCTGGGCTTCGTGAAGACGGGCCTGGATCAGTGCTTTCTGCACGCCTTGACCCCGAAAGCCCGGCAATGTGCTATCTAAATACAGATGCGCCACACTTCCTTCCAAAGTCTCGATGCTGGCTAAAGCCGCGGAGCCGGCAATCTCATTATCGACTAGGGCGACGAATAATTGCGTGTCCGTTCGTCGAGTCGCAATCCTGGCGAGTGCCCCCAGCAGCTCCCGGGAGCGGCCGTTACTTTGAAACCCGGCAATGGAGGCCTCGATGAAATCTTCCGTCTCGTGAGCGGCTACTAGTCTAGTCTCCACGGCAGCCGTTTCCGATATGGCAATCGAAGTAGGTTCATCTGCCGAGTTCTCGAGGGGACACCAATATGTGCTCAGCACACACTGTTCCTCGTAACCATGCTCAATGAGATCCTGCAAGGTGGATGGTTTAGCAAAGGGACTGAGATGGATCTCTGGAGTCAGTCCGATGGTGGAAAAGAGGGACTCCAGCCCCATCAGAGTGCTGTTGCCAAGCTCGCCATCCTTCCCACAGCCCACGGCCCGATTAAGTTTACCGGTCAAAGCGGGCAATGTTCGGATGGCAACTCCTCCGTTGGGGACTGGCCGAAACACGATGTCTTGGTCCGGGTAAAGCTGGGCGCACACTTGGCCTTGGCGCCAGATGTGGAGCGCCTCTGCATCCTCGCATTGGTTGGCGAGTTGGGGTTCAATCAACAGTTGGGGGGTCGACATGGTTAACCGTATGGTTGGAAGGCTTAATCGTGTCTAATTATCAACGCTCGATTGAGAGGCAAGACGACAACCCGGTCAGGGTCAGATTTCCCAGGGCGACACGTTTCAATTTAAAGAAGGAAATCAAGAAAGCAGTTGAATAGTGACGATAGCAGTGACGATAGTCGCGTCTCCTCGTTGGGGTGAGTCATTTAGCCAACAAGGCTAGCAGTCACATGATCCTAGAACTGCTACAATGAGCGTCAGTCCAGAAACCTCTCTAGCTTCTTTTGGGAAGGGTTTCGACGGGCGATGGGTCTATTGCAAGCTGTTCTTTACGTCAACCGATCTCTTCAATGTTGATCATCCAAGATGACAGCGTGGCTAGCGTATCAGCTAGTTTCGGCCATTCGGGAACAAGTTCACAGACTACACTTTTCAATCACGCCACTTGGGAAGCCTCAGTCTTGATGCAAACTAGCTATGTTCACTAGGAATTCTTCAGGCACTGTGTGATTGAGTGGGCAACGTATTCAACATTGCTAGGATTCAACCCCGCGATCGAGATCCGAGAATTGGCTGCCATGTAGACATGGTACTCATCTATAGAGAGAAAAACAAAATTAGTCTTCAACCCGAGCAATATGCGTCACAATAAGGACATCCAAGACTGACTTTTCAACTTCAAAACGACCGCTGGAGACAGCCCCAAAAACCCAAACATCCCTGACTGGCGAATGAGATGGTCCCAAGACCCGGGCGCACCTATTGACGTTAATCCATCTCCTTTTGAACGGGGGATTAGAAATTCTCACCGAACGAGAGCAAGTGGTCATACAGTGTTTGCCTCATCGACCGAATGCGACCACTCATGGTCACCATGTCGGCGAACCACATCTCCTTCAGATCCTTCGTCCCCATGACTTGGCTCGCAATCTTGGCGCCAAATGCAGGAGGGTTCGATACCTCCGATCTTTGAAGCATCTCCAGCATCGACTGGGTATTCACGGCGGCTTCGCTGGTATTGGTGGCTAACATAAAGCAGCCGACTCTCTCCCCTGTTGTCATATTTCCAATCAGTTCAAGATTCCTCTTCCCGTTGCCACGTCAGCCAGGCAGGTGTCCATGGAGCTTACCATAGAGGCCCATATTCTTCGCAAAAGATATACATATCCCCGTCTCCATCGCCATTTCTCCAACAAAATATCGGATTGCAAAAGCATCTTCGTCGTAATCGCCCGAGTTGAAGCCTAGATAAGCCGCATCGAAGAGTGGGAACAGCTGGCGATTCTTCATCAGTTGCGCAATCTTCCGCCACTGGTCCTTTGTCGGGTCACAGCCCGTGGGATTGTGCGCGCAAGCATGGAGGATTACGATGGACTGTGGCTCCGCGCTCTTCAGTGTCGAATAGTAGGATTCTATATCCAGATCCCTGGTGCCGTGGTCGTAGTATTTGAAGCTCTCGCAAGGGAAACCGAGCGAACTGAATACCTGATGGTGATTCGACCAGGTTGGCTCGGGGATGTAAATCTTGGGCAGTGGAGATTGGCAGGCTCTGAGCAGCAATCCTGCCAGATGCAACGCACCCGTTCCCGATAGACTGTGGCATGTTGCAAGCTATAGTTCTCGCAAGGTTGATTGTTAGTTCGTCGTGAAGGGCCTCGTTCTCGCAACTGGTTCATGAGCCAGAGGTGGCTCCCGCGCCGAGAGGGTGCATACCTTTGACTTTTGCTGAGCAAATAGTTCTGATCCTAGTACGGCTTCCGCCGTGGCTTCTCTGAACGTCTGAAGCCCTAGAATTGGAAGATATTCATGATTCAACCCTTGCGCCGAAAGTGTCTCGCGAGCCTTGTTCACAGATGGAAGAACCCATGGTTTTCCATCGCCATCACGATAGGTGCCTTGGCCTAGATTGACCTTTTGTGGATGAGTATCTTGCAAATATTCGGCTGTCAACGCGAAGATGGCATCAGGTGGGATGAATCTGGCTTGATGAAATCTTGTCTCGCTGGCCGAGGACGTAGAAACAGTCGTTGTCAGGGTTGTCATTCTGCGAAAATATTGGGGTTGACGTCTCGAGAAAAGGCGTATTACAGGGCGAAACAGTGGCATGTCATTAAGAATCTGATTCTTTTTCTATTCACTGTGTGATTATCGCAGTAGTCAAGTATTCCCGGCTTGCAATCCGTGCTTTGTTCTGTCTCGTTGGAGAAGACGACTCGGTGGCCGCGACCGATCGATCGGCAAGCCATCCGCCAGCAATACAATTAACAACAACCGGGGAAGATGATTGGAGCGAGCGGGATTTCAATATTATGATAGGGGGGCAAGAGCGAATCAGAACACTTTAGATCGGAGGAAATCCGAGCTTCCCCGCTCAAGCACAATAGCAAAAGATGAAACGATCGGCTCGCCGTCCCGAGTTGGCAGAGGCACGCAGTGGGCTGTTTGACGGGATGGCGAGCCGAAGATGCGCTCATCGAGCAATCAGAAGGCGAAACCGACAGACCTTGATCTGTTTTGGTGCTTCGCCATATCTTTACTCGGAGTGCGGGGGAATGGAGGGGTAATTTGTACTGATCATTCTTATAAAAGGTGTCGGCAGAAGTAGATTAGCCATAATCTCTCTCCTTCCACCACCAGCGCGTTTCCTTGTCAGCTCTATCCTAGTTTGTGTCAATAGGCGATAATACGATACTACAAGATACGAAAAAAAAAAAAAAAATGGGCTCTACTTCGACAGTCTCCCCTCAGCCACATGTTCCCCCTTCGGGCGTTTGGTGTCCGGCGGTCACCTTCTTCAACCATGCGACGGACTCCCTCGACCTGACCGCGCAATCTCAATACTTTGCCTATTTGTCGCGAACGGGCCTGGCCGGCTTGGTCATTCTCGGTACCAACTCGGAAGCCTTTCTGCTCACTCGCGAAGAACGCGCTCAACTCATCGCGACTGCACGTGCGGCTGTCGGCCCCGACTTCCCCTTGATGGCCGGCGTCGGCGCACACTCGACCAAGCAAACCCTCGAACTCGCCCAAGATGCTGCTGCCGCGGGTGCCAACTATGTCCTCGTCCTTCCTCCGGCGTACTTTGGCAAAGCCACCAACATGAATGTCGTTAAGCGGTTCTTCTCCGAGGTCGCGGCCAAATGTCCTATCCCCGTCGTCCTCTATAATTTCCCCGGGGTGTGTAACGGTGTCGATATGGATTCGGAGACGATTAGCGCCATCGTTCGAGAATCTGCTGCTGCCAATGCAAATGGCCAGTCCAACGTCGTGGGCGTCAAGCTCACCTGCGGTTCTGTGGGAAAGATCACCCGGTTGTCGGCAACATTCAAGCCCGAGGAATTCGCGACTTTTGGAGGACAGTCCGACTTCCTCATCGGCGGTCTCGCAGCAGGCAGTGCTGGATGCATTGCCGCCTTTGCCAACGTGTTTCCCAAAACCGCGTCACGCGTTTATGCCTTGTATCAGAAGGGCCAGGTCGAGGAGGCCAGAAAACTGCAGGGCCAGGCTGCCTTGGCGGAAAGTCCCATTAAGAGTGGCATCGCATCGACCAAGTATGCGGTGTCCTACTATACAGCTCCCTTAGCAGGTATTGCCGGTGCAGAGGAGATGCTTCACCCGCGTCATCCCTATGAGCCTGTGGCAGAAGCCTCAAAGAAGGCCGTGCGTGAGGTGATGGCCGAGGTGGGAGAAATCGAGAAGAGCTTGTAAGAGATGAAAAGGAAGAAAGCAACTCCAACATAAAGATGATAATAAGATATGAGAGATATACCAATAAATGTTCCTATTTGCATAATTTAATGACCTAAGGGGACCCGCTAGATTTGAAAGGAGGCGGTCAAAGGCTATTTACAGATGCATCTACTATCCAGTGGGTCTATTATCGGTATGTTCACGGCAGGTTGAAACAGAATATCTTCAGATAGAAAGCTAGTTTTGAGCACGGATGATGGGATTTTTCAATCGGGGTTCTAGAATTCAGTAGTTGAAAAGGCCCAGTCATACGGCCTCTAGAAGAGATCCAGCATACCGGGTATGACGCGGATTATCCGAAAAATGAAATTTTCATATACTCCATCTTGAGTATGGTAAATTGCTAAGATGCCGTTGCTACAGGGCTGTTTTCTTTTTCTTCATTCTTCACTCGGTATGGTAATCGAACCTCGGTATCTCGACAAGGAAAGAAATGAAATCCTTCGTGACCCACTTGGGCTGCGATTGCGCCCCGGTTGCACGTTTTTTTCCTTCTTGGCCGACCGCTTCAATCTACCCGGGTGGGGGAATCCCGAAGGCGACGGAATTTAATCCATGCATGAACACTTTATACTTTGACAGGGTAGTCGGAGTATTTCTGGCACCTGAAACCGTCATCAATGGCCATACGGAACCATTTTGGGGTCACCTGCTCTCTGATAACCTAGCATACATGCTGCTAGTTATGAGCATCTTCAGAGGTTTCGATGCTTCGAGCCTTCGACAGCCGAGGTTCAAGAAGCAAGAGGCTACAACGGGCTCCACATTATGGAGATGTGTGTCTGGACCTGAAAATGACAGGAATGGAAAAATTCATCTTAGAATCTGGGCCAAAGAATCATCCTAAGGCCATCACTCCTATTATGGCCATGAGCCTCGGTAAGTGGGAAATTAGCGGGTGGCTTGCCCCCGCTGGATACCTTCAGACCAATGAACGCTCTACGTTTCTGTACAGACAAGAATCGGCATAGCCGATAAGTTAATCGGGCCGAGTCTGTGGTTGTGGTGAGATGTCATTCTTCTGCTTCAACTTGTATATCATACGATTCTCACTGTAGTCGAATGATGTTGCTTTTTTCGACTCAAAGGAATCAGTAAATGGAACAAGAATCGTTTTGAAAGTCATAGATTTTTCATAGCAAACTACCTGTCTATCAAGAGCAGATTACCACACCCCACATGTCTTTTTTTCTGATAGGTATCATGGTTCATTATTAGTACTGTATTCCGTACTGTACAACCGGCCTAACCCCAACTCCGTTTGAAGGCTCTATCTGTCCAATCTACTTGCACGTACGTTATGCACCACTTATCATAATTCTAGGGGCCAGATAAAGTACGGCTTTCCGACGCTGCTGGCCGCTCGTTCGACCCACTTTGAAGAGAATTGCTGGCCCGATATAGTAATTTCTCCGGCAAAGGCGCTGCCTGTTGAGTAATCCTGCCCAAGCAAGATCGTTATGAGGTCCTCTCGAGATCGAACAAAACCAGCTAGGCTCGCCTGGGCTGGCGGGTTTATTCGAGAGTTCACTAAACCAGACTTTTACAGGGCCTATCTGGCTGATCGCCACGCCATTCAGCCCAAATTCATTCGACCTTTATCAGGCCACGGTGCTGCCGTCAGAGGAACTTTGGATCATCTTTAATATCCTCTATAACCGCCCTTTACCGTCCGTGCTGATCTCGGTTTGCCGAAAACGCTCCTTTCGGAGGAGTTGATCAAAATGACCCCCGATACATCTTCAGTGGAGGCCAAGGGCCCATCAAATCTACCTCAATCGATCCCGTTCTGGCGACTGGTCACTCAACCTGGTGGTATCACCCAAGAAGTCTTTGAACATCCTTATGCTGGTTCTGGAACGGAAGATGACCCATACGTGGTGCAATGGATGCCGAAAGACTTTCGCAACCCGCTCCAGTTGAGCACCCGGATGAAATGGGGCATCACCATGGTGGCTGCCATGGAAACCCTCGTCGTGGCCCTGGTATCGTCGGCCTATACTGGCGGCATCGTGCAGATTGAGGAACAGTTCATGATCACCACCGAGGTGGCCACGCTTGGAGTCTCTTTATACGTGTTGGGTTTCGCGCTAGGCCCTCTTCTGTGGGCTCCAATGAGCGAACTGTTTGGTCGCCAGATCGTGTTCATTGGCACTTACTGCGGCTTGACCGTCTTCTGCGCCGGAACTACTGGGGCCAAAAACATCGAAACTCTTTTGATTTTCCGCTTTCTGGCAGGCGCCTTTGGATCTTCACCATTCACCAACTCTGGCGGTGTGATTGCGGATATGTTCATGGCCCGCGAACGCGGACTGGCTCTGTCGGCCTTTGCGCTGGCTCCCTTCTTGGGACCGGTGATTGGACCGATCGTTGGTGGATTCTTGGGTATGGATGCCGGCTGGAAGTGGGTGATGGGCCTGTTGACCATCCTCTGCGCCGTGATGTGGTTCTTAGGTGCCGCTTTGAAGCCCGAGACGTACGCGCCAGTCTTACTTCGCCAACGCGCAAAGACGCTCTCGAAGTTGACCGGGAAAGTGTATCTGAGCAAGCTCGACATTGATCAAGGTCGTCCTGTGCCGAAAGAGGCTCTGAAGACTGCCCTCTCGCGTCCATTCATTCTTCTTTTCCGCGAACCCATCGTTCTTTTGCTGTCGATCTACCTCGCAATTATCTACGGAACGCTCTATATGCTATTCGGTGCATACCCCATAGTATACGAAATCCACCGTGGTTGGAACCAGGGTATCTCTGCACTGGCCTTCCTAGGTGTGATGGTGGGCATGTTGGCGGCGATTGCCTATTCAATCCCAGAGAATACTCGCTATAGCAAGCTATTGGAGAAGAACGGTGGCTACTCACCCCCAGAGAGCCGTCTGCCTCCCTGTATGATCGCCTCGATTGCCCTCCCAGCTGGCCTCTTCTGGTTTGCCTGGACCAACTCTCCTGACGTTCATTGGCTTGCGAGCGTTGCTGCTGGTGTGCCTTTTGGCTTCGGTATGGTACTTGTGTTCCTGAGTGTCTTCAACTATCTCATCGATGCCTATACTATCTTCGCCGCCTCCGTTCTGGCCGCCAACTCGCTGCTGCGATCTCTCTTCGGTTTTGCCTTTCCCCTTTTCACGACCTACATGTATCAGAATTTGGGAATTCACTGGGCCTCGTGTATCCCAGCCTTCCTGGCTCTCGCCTGTGTGCCTTTCCCCTTCGTGCTGTACAAGAAGGGCTTGGCTATTCGCAAGTACTGCAAGTTCTCTGCGCAGTCTGAAGCGTTCGTGCAGAGCCTCCTTCAAGGTGCCGCTGAGAAAAATGCACACACTGAGGAGGATCCGTCCCAGGCGGATCAGTCGACCATCGCCGAGGCTGCTACTCGCGTGCCGTCAACTGTTGAAGAAGAGGGAGCTGCTACAACGCACGCATTCGAAAAGGAAAGTGCCGCCGAAGTCCTGGCGATGCATCGCTCCCTCTCGCGCGTCGACACTCATACCTCGCAAATCCATCGGGTTCCCACATACGATGGCAACCCGTATAATATTGACCGCATACATACCCGCGAATCCTTCAAATAAGCTGCTCGTATCAGGGCAGAGGGAGAGAGGGAAGATTGCAGTAGAGATCAGCAAGAAGATCTTAATAGGCTCTGGGCCTGAGGAAGAGGCTACGGAAGTTTTTGACATTTCAACGATATCGTTCATTGCATCTATCTGGTGTTTTATGTTTCCTTTGTTCACTGCTTCTATCAGCATATAGATATAATGATTACTATTCCATACAAATTGTACCATGTTTTCGCGTCGGTCCTAGTGTAAACAGCGATCAAAATTCTCCGATGGATTCTGGCGTCTGCGAGATAATCCATACTGGGATCCACTCGTAGGGGCATGGATATGACGAGCTCTGCATATTTCCCGGCGTAAATATCCACTAATCGAGCGATTGATCTCGTGATGGACAAGCAATTAGAAATAGAACTGGTAAGAAGGGCGTATTGAGGTCAGTTTTTATATCTGAATTATCATCTCCTCTCGAAGTCAATCAGGCTTCTCATTTACAATAAGTGCCATCTATCGCGCACGTTATGTCGTGTCTACTCGGAATAAGTGTCGAAGAAAGAATCTCTCTTTAGGTGAATATTCACCGTAATATATGGGTATCAAATATCAAAGGATGTATCACGTATCTTCAGTGCACTCCACTCACGATACCATTCGCCAAGCCATTGGTGTTCTCATTTCCATTGCTGAGTCCGTTGGTGGCTCCATTGGTCGCTTTAGTCACTCCATTCGCGAACCCATTCATCGAATTTTTCCGAGTGCCGTTTTGCTGTATGCCGTTGAGCTTCTCAAGAGGAACACCTGGGGGAATACCATTTGAGATGCTAGACCTCTTGCGGGGCACTGCAGTCCAGATAGCACCATCATCCAGAAGCTCCTGGCCCGCTGCAAGGGACTTGGATGGGGCTTCGCCGAGCCACTGGGCTTCCAAACGTTCAATGTTACCCTCAATCTCCCAGGCGCGTCCACCCTCGACAAACATGGAAGTCCCATTCAGAGACGCGTCGGCCAACATACCAGCGGCTACAGTGGAGACTTCTCGAGTCGTGTTGGTGGGCAGGCTAGCTTGCTTCCACTGCTGCTCGATTTGCTTCATCGTTTCGGTCTGGGTCACCCAAGGGCAAATGGTGTTGATCCGGAGATAGTGCTTATACGGAGAGGAGATGTAGTTGCGTAGGGAGCGCATCAGCCCAATCACGCCATGCTTGGATGCTTGGTAGATGAATAGAGATGGACTTTCTTTAAATCCAGAGGCAGAAGAGAACAGGAGAATGGAGCGATCTGCGCCGGGTCCACGGTTGTGTCGTAGATAGACGGAGGCAATTCGGGCGACATACATCGAACCGACAAGATTGACGTCGAGAACTTTTTGAGTCGGAGTCTTTGTTGATAAGGGAGATGGTTATTTCTGCACTACTACGGCAAGAGAAAGGCTGGGTTGTGGGTGGGTCAAAAATATGTAAATTATCACACTTACTTGGCGGACTGTCTGCAAAGTCAGTCCAAAATCGAACCAATTGCCAATCTCTGCAATACCAGCCGCGGAGACAACGTGATCGATACGTTTATAGGTGTTGAAGGCCAGATCAAACAAGGCCAGCACCGATTGATAGTTGGTCACATCCATGGTCTGGAAGACTACCCTCGGAGGATGCTTGGCTTCCGTGGGCATGAATTCCTCGACGGACTTCCTTCGTAGGCGCTCGCCACTTATGTTGTCAAGATCTCCAAAGCAGACACTTGCGCCGCTCTCAAGACATTGCTGTACCAGACTGGCGCCAATGCCATTAGCACCTCCTATAGGCGGAAAAGTGAGCGAAACGACCTAGAGAGGGGTATCAAGAGCCGGGGGGAGACAAGTATGAGTGGGACCAGAGGGGAATATACCAGTGATTAGGACCACTTTATCCTCGAGGAACTGCGAGGAAATCTGGGGAAGATATTGCGACATCGGGGGTGGATACAGGGTGCAAGGAAGAGTGGATCAATGAGAGTCGATATCAGACAAGGGAAGAGAGCTGATATTCCGGAGTGGCTCCAGCCCCGCAAGACCGGACGCGAGCGAGGTTTATATAGATCGATCGCATGCTTCATCCCCGCGATCAGAACTGCTGATGGCCGATAAAAATGCCTCAGGGGCTAAAAGGAGATCTTGAGCCAAGCTGCGGTTCGGGTGAGGGTATGGCATCATTGTCACCCATGCCATTCGATGTCGAGACAGCTATGCTTGTGATGCCACGCGCTTTGTGGTTAGTGGAGAGAGACAAAAGACGGTACACCTAGCTGCGCTAGGAAACCATTGTCTCCATAAGACTCCATCCAAAGTAGACCGACGACAAATCAATGGAATCAGAGAAATACTGATTCATTATCAGGGACCCGCCCAGTCACAGGCGATCGGCACCGACTCCAGTAATGATGCGGGGGTGCGGGCAATGACGGTAAAGTGCATATCTCAGACTATTTTTTTGTACTCCGTAGATGCATTATTTCCACCGGGTAGTGCGCTGGTTTTGATTATTCCATGTCCAGATAACCGTGAAGAGTCAGTAATGGGCTGATCGTATGTATCTTCGGTGAAGAATCGTCACCAAGCGAAAGCCTCAAGCCCCCCGTGTCACTGCTGCTGATCTTCCGCCTGAGCGAGCAATTCCCATTGGTTCCAAGGACGCCATCGGAAATATGGGGGGTTCGGGCTCCTGTAGTCCGAATACTTCAGAACGTCAGGGGTGTGTGTGTTGATTCTCGATGCAACGTCCGAGCGCAGATAACAAGGGGAGAGACGGGCCCAAAGACAGGGCCTGGCCATGAGTGCAGTGCATCAGGCTACAGATTTTCGAGCCTCGGGCTAAATCGTTAGTCGGTCAACACTAAGACAGATCCACACGGCGTCATCTGTGCAGGTAGTCTGTGCCACCCGTCAGCCTGCCGTTGTGGGTTTCTCGAGATGTATTGATCATCCCCCCTCCCCCGGATCTCACGATGCATTTCATTGAGGGGGACCATCTGGTTCCCACTGTAGGCCTCGCATTGTCCACCAAGCTCCTGTGGATCGATGGAACACTCGTCGATCCCCCAGAATGTACTCCTCACATCAAGCAGGATGCCCCGGAAATGCGGAGGAACGTTGGGGGTGGAGAAAGACCGAAAACGGGGAAAGATGAGAGAGTGTCCAAAAGGACGACTAGTACAGTCTGGTTACTTTCCAACAGGCTGCGAATGCGAACATAATCATGAGTCATTTGCTCAATAGAACCAAGACAAGCCTTATCATTGAAAGAAAATAAATCGTTTACCGCCACAGAATCAATGATCCAACGCAAAGAGGCCATCCCGATGACGCAGCCGTGCAGCAAACCATAAATCGCACATAAACTAGACCATCTATCCGAATTTTCTATAGCACACATATTCCAAAAGAAGACATCATAATCGAGACCGAGCGAGGACGCTAGGACGATGTTATATACACATGGACATTATCGACTTGGTGGCGGCGGCCACCGAGCCCAAGGCAGTTTAGCGTCGGGACACGCAGCAAAGAATGCCCGACTTGCCCAGGAAATAGAGCGAGCCGAGGAAACGGAAAATGGACAAACCAGCAGTCGTCCACAGAATGGCCGAGAAATATCCGGATGTCCGAACAGTCGAGGTATTCTAATTATCTGGTCAGTCTTCTGCTTGTCATTGCTCACCGCCATGTTCGTAACAGAAAGGAATAGATATACGTACCGTCAGACAGAACCGGTCAATACCTTCACTGGTAATGCACAGTACCAAGATCAAGTTGCTGAAGATCCATATGAGCACCAGATTGGTACGGAAGGCCTTGTACGAGTCGTCCATGCTCTTCTCTTCGTTCTCTTCGGGTTCCTCAAACGGCGCCAGCGCGCGCTTGACGGTTGCCTCAAACTGACTGTCAATGTCGGCCTGCGGCTTATCGACTTCCTCGATGAAATTGGACTTGGAATCATCCTTCTTGGTCTGAGCCTCTGGCAGTGCCTCACTCTTGTCCGATCCCTTGGTACCCCAAGAAACGTCATGCCAGTTGCAGAAGGCGTACACCATGAGGATATTGATCGAGCAGGTCATACCACCAAAGTAAGCCCAAGAGGAGGTGAACATGTGCCAAGGATCCATATAAAGGAAGCTAGCAATGAAGTAGATACCATAGGTAGAGACCAAGGCAATCAAGATGATACCGGCACCGGAAGAACTGAAGAAAGACGACAGGAATTTGCCGATGCCTTGACTCATATCAAAGTCCAACGTACCTCCAGTGAAAGCATTGGCGACCAAGTAGAACGACAATACGAGGATGTAACACTGGACGATACTGAAGTAAATGAACGAAAGGGTATAAGCCAGACGAGAACTATACTACTGATTAGCATATAAATGATACAACGTCGGGTAGAGTTGATGATCGCTTACCCTTTAGGTCGGTTACCCAGTGCCAGAATGAACTGTAGCATCAAGAAGAACACATAGCCGTACTTCAAGAAGTTATTAACAATCGGCGTGGCCTCATTACCAAAGGGCCAGCCTTTATGCTTGTTGGAATCACTCGGGGTTCCAACAAGATCCATGATGACCGAAGTAGTCAACCAGAAAGACGCTATCGATACCAATTAGTGGCCACTCAAGAAACGAGGTCAAACGGACACAAGATTGAACGAGAAAAGAAGCAAAATTGTCCACATACCGAGAGAGAACCAAGTCATGACGAGACCTGCAAAATTGTACACCATCTGGATATGGAGGAATATAAGACGGATGATGTTATGTCCACTCTTGTAAATCCGACCGAAATGCATCATGGCATAAAGACTGGCGGCAAATGAACCGTTCAGCCAGCGACGGCGCTGACCAATAAACTCTGCAGCACCTTCAGGAACATCGGTTTCACCCTTAGAAGCCTTGACGTAGGTCAGATGCCACTTAAATCCAGCCTTGGCCACTAATTCGAAGCAAAGAATACGATCTTCGGCAAGGAACATATTCTTCTTGAAGATATTCATACCCTCAATACCCTTCTTGCCAAGTTGTTTAGAGAGTGTGTGGTCACCATGGAAGTACTGCTCAAGGGGCCGGCCCATAATCGCACGGTATCGGTACGCTGAGAAGGCACCGGGCAACACGCTGACATATCCAAAGGCTGACTCGAGGGGTTTGTCGAGAATATTTGAGATCTTGTACTCAAAATTCTGCGCAGCGACAAGCGGATTCAACACGTTTTTCCAACCTTTACCAAGCATAGCATGAATCTCACCACAAGATCCGCCGAGATTCTTGTCGTTATAGAACGATTCCCACAATGCCAGCAGAGACTTCTTACCCGGTTTGGTACCGGCATCAATCAGAATAACCACTTCGGGGTTCAAGATACGACAGAATCCATTGAATAGCCAGCGGTGGGAGTTGATCTTCTTGCTGTTTTTCTGCTTCAAACAAAAGATCATCTGGACTGGTGGGAGGTTGGTTGACTCCGTACCCTGGGGCCGAATCAATTGCTGACTAGCAGTGACGGAAAGCTGAGTGGTATACTCGAACTGAATGTGGAATCTAGTTAGTAAGGGCAAAATATGTCTCCTACATCTGGTTGTGGCCCATTTGCAACGGGCCTGATCACGGAGCCAACACCATGCAGGGAAAGCTTACGATATGCGCAACCGTTTCTCTTTCATCAACGGAACGTTTCATGATACCATCTTGGTAAATTCCGACCGTGGCGAGCAAGTCCAGGGTATTTTTGTCGCAAGGATCGATACCATCGAAGACCAAGGCCACCACGATTTTCTGCCAGGCCGGACCACCCTTGTTCCAGAACTCTGACTTTTTGAGGTTCACGATGTCCCGAATATTTTGCATGACACCATGGAGAGTTCGGGCGGTGAGGACCTTATCTTCGTTATAGTAGGTAATGGCAATCAGTAACTCGGTGTGTCGGTTGTACATAGCCGGTCGAAGATTGTATCCGTTTCGTAGGGTGAATTCATCAGGATCGCAAGTGGCGGCCGTGTCTGTTACTCGGTCAGTTTGACTCGTTCTCTTCTTTGCCACGCGATTTTCACGATCGCAAAAGACTACCTACAGCGCAGATGGGAGAATTCTTCTGGGAAGCCTTCCTCTGATTCCCGATACTCCCGCTGGATAGCATTTTGAATGGCACTGGGCACCGGATAGTCTACACTCAGGACGGAGCCCTGCACCAGCTTAATCTTTCTGGTCGCGTAGCGGCGCAGGCCCGAGGCAGGTGCTTGCCGTTGCTGCCAGGCTTCCGATGGGGTCTCTGACATAGGGGTCTGCACACCCGACCGGCGACTGAGACCCGACGCAGTTGTAGGATCCTGGTAGGGTGCATCGGGGAAGATTGTCACACCAGGATCCTGCAGAGTATAGCGTCGCAGAGAATCGGAGGAAGCGTAGGGGTCATCGAATTGCGCATTGAGGGGGCTCGGTTGGTTCCGGTAGAGGAGGGACTGTGAGCTTTCGGCGTGTTCATTCTTTTCTTCGTAACCGTATCCGTGCTAGTTCAACAAACTATGTCAGCAACTTCCTTCTCCGCATTCCAAAGATGTTTTTTGGGGGTTGTGTCGCAACTCACATCACGAGGACCATTGTGAGAATACAGGCTACTTTCACTCGCTTGGGGCGAATGAGATAGGTTTGGTGAATGGGCCCGGGTGGAATGGGGAGAGGTCGGTATGGGGGTACCCATTGTGCACAGCTCCCCGATCAACGGATTTTGGAAGAACAACCAATTGTGTCAAATAGGTAGGAAATTTCGGCGGCGGCGACGATGGCGTAGTGAATCGCGTAGTATACAACCAATACAAATCGAGCGAGCTGTGAGGTGACAATAGAGGATGAGGATGAACAACGAAGATCCTAGTCAACCAGAAAAAGCTCGAACGGGCAGAAGAAAGCGGTAATGGGATGGTAATAAGATGAATGATGCCCTGGTTGTCTGGACACGTCGTATTCTTGCGAAGATCACCTTCAAAAGAGCCGTCCAAAGTAGGCTGCCTGGTGCAAATCACAGAGAGGCTGGTGGGCGATGTCAAAGAGTCGCAGTGAAAGAAAGATGGGCTGACAATGAAAGGTGTCGCCTGGGGGAGCTAAAGATAGGATGGGTATATGCAATTCTTTTGGAAGCCCTGGGGCTTGAATGCACAAGCAGAATGAAAGATATTTTTGGTACAGCAGAATTTGATTGGAGGCGCAGGCGGCGCTCGACGAACGACAATGAAGGCAGTGGAGGCGCGTCACAGCGGGTCCAGCGGCGTCTGCAAATGTCCTTCGTCATCCGCTCTTATTGTGACTCCACCAGTCCACCAGATGGATCAGCGTCCTGAGACACGCCTGGCAACCGTTTCCCCCTGCGACAACACAGGCCGCAGGCGCCAGGCATACAGGTACCTCGGAAGGGCATCGTTGTGCTGGCTTTCCTGGCTAGGCTGCCCACGGTCGTCCACGGGTCGGTCATGGATTTGGGCTCCTCTCTTTATGGAGACAGGTGTTATCGATGATCGACCGCATGCTGAAATTGGACCTGGGGCCTTCGATCTTCTGACTGTGCGCTACATGACTCGTCCATGATGAGAACAATCAGCGGGTCAAGAACGCAACGCGTCTGCACATTGGCCAAGATGCCTGCTGGAGGACCCATCATCCCCCCCGATCGTTTCCTGGCTTGACCATCCCTTTCTCACGGTAACGAGAACCTGAAACTTGAAACCACCCTCTGAATCTCCGCACGGGACATCTGAACACCCACACTCACTTCCTTGGCTAGGTGGCTCTTGGAACTGTAGGGTTACAGTGTTCTGCACGCCTGATGGATGGGGGCCAAGTCAGATCATCTGGTGGCGTCCCGGGGGGCCCGGGAGCATGACGACAACGTCGGAAAAGAATTTCAATCGACCCCATCGTCGGCAGGGGCTGATTCGATGCAGAGACGCAGGTCATCCGATGGTTTGATTATTGTTGATCCACCGTCGAGATGGGATTGGGTGGTCAGAATTTCTTTGCAGTAATTTGTGGATGAGGTGGAACCCGCACAAAGGCAAACAGGTATCGGATCACGTGTCTGTGGCTGGTTTCCGCTTCCCTTTTAGCCTCAGGCTGTAAGGCCACAACAATCAGGTACCACGGTCAGGTACAGAAACCTTGACATCGGGGAGCAAGATGGATCAGATGCACTCGAAGGCATTATTGAAATTGTGGGTTTTTGCTGTCAGAGTTTTGCAAATCCTGCCGAAATATGATTTGCAGTAGGAACAGATTTGATTTATTTATGTGGACGGTTGGTAGTCGGGTCGCCAGGAAATATATATATCCTTCGTCCATATGTTGCCTTATAATTTAGCTATTATCGGATGGTTGGACTTTCAGACCTATCCATAGTACCTAAGGGACTAATTGTCATCAACAATAAGGGATGTACCTGCATGTATGTAACGATAGGACATTCACCGGCAAAATCTCAGGATACCTATCAATCCAGCTAATAGCCACAATAGGCTATGGCATTGGTACTCGGACCTCATCCGAGAACGTACCTACCACGACGGTCGGCCTTCTCAGCGAGAGCGAAAAAGAAACCTTTCGGACACCGATTCGAGGCTGCACTTGAGGCTAAGGTTGTATGGTTTAGTCATTCATTTCAATCACTTACCTGCAAGTCCATGTTCAATCTGAAGCTAGATAAATCCGACTGCTGCATGCCTGAGCGACCAAGTGTAGATACAACTAATGTTTGATGGAGCCACTGTGCTCAAAGGTTGCCCTAAATGATATAGATATATATTACCGCTTCAAGCTCCTCTTACTAGTTCAACAACTGCATCGGTCCCAACTGCCGGTGGCCGAGGTCACAGCGGGGGTGTTCCCCAATTTTGCGGGGTCAGGCGTACTATACAAAGTCTATTGGAAAATATATACCTAGACATGTCCAGATAGCCTGTTACACCCGATGGAAATAGACAGACATTGATCGCCGTTTTGTGCATATAGCTCCCAGTATTATCAGCCGGATCCTGTACCTACGACAACTATCGAACGTCGTCCCCAACCATGCCTTTCCAGATGCCCTCATTCCACTCCCTACCTCTTCGTCCAGATGGCCCGCGCGGTAATTCATGGGGACTCTTCGGCGAGCACGATGAGTTGGGCATGCTCAACTTGCTCACACCCGAGAACACCGCAGCGGCCGCGAAGGAGATCATCGAGGGGGTGCGAGTGTCGACCGACTGGGCTCTCGACAGTATGGCCGTCCCTTGTTTTGGACGATCGGCTTTTGAGCACACCGTCAAGAATAAAGCTCCACGGCACGTGAATGACGATATCTTGACCTTCAACACCCAGAGTAGCTCTCAATGGGACGGGTTTCGCCACTACGGATCGAAGGAGGGATCCTACTTCAATGGGTGTTCACTGGAGGATATTCAAACCTCAAGGCGAAATGGAATCCACGGTAGGTGAATCATCCATCATGCAGGGGTTTCCCCCCAGTTGCGGGTATGAGATGATACCATTTGCCGATCTTGCCGATCTTGCTCATCCGTTCGAGCTTGCTGATTTGGATACTCATCAATCTGCATTATACCTACAGTCTGGGTGGAAAACGGCGGCATCGTCGGACGAGGAGTGCTTTTGGATTACGCGAGCTGGGCTGAAGCTCACGGCCACCCCGTGAACTGCTTCCAGACCCAATCCATCCCGGTTTCCGTACTCGAAGAAGTCGCTGCGAGTCAAAAGACCACGTTTCGACCGGGAGACATTCTGTTCATCCGGACAGGTTGGACACGGGCGTATGAGCAATTGTCTGCAGCGGAGTGTCGACAATTAGCGGATCATAAGGCACCGCCCGTGATCGGAGTCGAATCGTGCGAGGAGATGCTGCAATGGATCTGGGAGAACAACTTTGCAGCCGTGGCGGGCGATATGCCGAGTTTCGAAGCGTATCCACCTCAGAGCACGGAGTTCTTCTTGCACGAGTGGCTATTAGCTGGCTGGGGGGTCCCGATTGGCGAACTGTTTGATTTGGACCGCCTGAGTCGGGAATGTCGCCAACGAGGGCGATTCAGTTTCTTCTTCAGCAGCGTCCCGTTGAAGGTACCCGGGGGCGTTGCCAGTCCTCCAAACGGTGTTGCTATCTTTTGATACGATGTGGATAAGACGGGCAGATATGCATATTCAAAGGATACAACCCCACGCTTTGTGAGCCTGAGTATTTTCTGGGAGGATCCTGCCTTTGTTCTAAGCTAGCACGAAGCTCGTTCGAGTAGCTAAATCGTGATGGTCCAGTATCAGTTGCGCTCGGCGAGTTCCAAGGAATTCCATGACAGGAATTTTGTATATAGGTATTGTGATTCCAGAAGGAATAGCGAATACAAGCATGTACGCCAACAAGGCGGAATCAAAGTCGGTTGGAGATGAAGATTCTAAAATAATCTACAGACTAAAAGTTCATACGGCAGATATTCAACTTTCCTCCGGCAAAGCTCAAGATGGTTTGAAGGACTCTTGGCGTCACGCTGAACATGATCATTTTTGTAGTAACCGGGACACCTCTCTCGTAGCAAAAGAAGTTTTTATGGGATATCTCGCCGATCGAGGGTCCTCCGTTGTTTGCAAAAGGGCTGGGTCCCAGATGAGCCGCGACTCGGATATCTGCGCCCGTGATAGGTAAAACCTGAAGATAAGAGGGTTTGCGATTTCTTCGTATCGGTTGCACTGGCTGTCTTTGATTTCATCGACTCGTCTTCGGTTGTGGTCTACCGATCCACCGCTGTCCCGGTTGACGTGTCAGGGGTATTTAAGCACAAATAAGCTGCATATACGAAGGGCTTTTGCCGCCTGACCATGGAAAATCAGACTGTTTGGCTCCGAATGTCCAATAATGCAAGGCTGATTGTCGGTATGAAACACCTCCCTCTGGTCTTTTTGGATGCTGACAGCTGCCGGACACCGAAAAAGAAGCGGGGGCTTTCTCGTCGGACCGATGGAAAACTCAAAATCCCACGATACCCCGGAGGCTGAAGAAAGGAGACCGATAAGAAGAGATGAAAGTGTGGAGAAATGAAAAACCACGCGAGATACGGTCTCCTATGATAATCATTATTTAATCTGCAGACTAAAAGGGTTTCTCTTACCCCGACATCCACTATTCTCATCTGGTTCACCCTGTCACCCCAATCACTCCAACTTCATCATCCCATCTTCTCCTTATCCCCCGGCAATGGTCCGGGGCAAAGGCATCGTTCGTCGGTCGCAAGACCGCTCCAACGGGCGATCTCCAGTCGCGTAAGTATTCCCCGCGCTAGACATCTCAAGATGAATACCGACTCTTGCCATTGACAGATGCAACCGATGTCGCTCCCGAAAGACCCGCTGTGCCGGAAACCCACCGCATCCCTGTGCAGCTTGTGTCGACGTGGGGGAGACGTGTGTATATTCCGAGGCCGAAAAGCGCGTCTCGATTACGGAGAGGTGAGAGCCATCGAGAATACCCTTTCTTCACCTATACGATATACTCGAATACTGACGCACTATCAGAGAATATCGCCAATTGAAATCACAGTCTCGCACACACTCGGTGCACTCGTATGCGCAATCACAATCGCAGTCACCATTCCGAGCGGGACGAGGCTCATCGGTTGCAGAAAGCGATTGGCATAGCTCTCCGAGTGGGCCATCGAGTGTGCCCTCTACAGCGGCCCGTTACTCGGAAAGCGAGGTCCCCCTCGACCGGGATGACTGGTGGTACAAGGGAGTCGATAATCTGTTACTGAACCTATCAGGAGAGCATCGTATGTATATCACACACACAGACACACACAGACACACACAGAATCACACAGTAATCCTCATTACCATTACTTTGCTAATGAATGGAAGACTTCGTGGGTCCATCCTCTGCCACCAATTTGGCCAAGCGCCTAAATCCCGGCTCGACCAATCTGGCCTGGAATGTCCGCCCTCTCTATGATGATCCTACGGCTCTCCGGCGACCAATCGCCCGTTCCTTGCCTCAATTACCAACCTTTGAATTTGCGAAACGGCTCTTCTGGGTTCAATACGCCTACATTGGTACGATCTTCTCTCTCATCCATCCCCGGCAATTCGAAGAGCGGCTGGAGATGGTCTATCTTCAGTCCCCAGACTTTTCCGATCGTGAGAGTTGTCTCACCTACTGCCAAGTGCTCCTAGTCATGGCCTTTGGGCTCTTGTATTCAGTCAACCAGTGGTCGGGAGATGAGGGACCACCGGGTTTCAAATATTTCAAGTATGCGCTACGATTCTTGCCAGATATCCACGAAGAAGGCTCGATCTTCTTTGTCGAAGTACTGTGCTACGTGGCATACTACATGCAGAACCTTAATAGACGGGATGCTGCCTTTATCTATGTATGTTGAGTATTGCCACGATCCCTAAGCAAATTATACCGCAGATAGCTAACGATCGATAGATTGGCCTCGCTTTACGAATGGCCATTTCTCTGGGACTTCATCAAGAGGTTTCGGATCCAGGGATTAGCGAGACAGATCGGAACCGCCGCCGCAGGGCTTGGTGGTCCGTATATAGTCTCGACCGGTAAGGACCTCCGACCTCCAAGGAGGGAGAGTGAAGCTAGTGCTCATGTCCAAACGCAGGGTTCTATCAGTCAAATCTGGTAATCCAATTACGATTCAGGATGAAGATATTGGTATCACCTGGCCGGCTGCACTTGTAGGTTCCATCGATATCCTCGTTAGGCAAACCGATACTGAGTTTCATTCAAGGATGGGTCAACGTCAGACCCATGGCCGTCAATTGTCTTGACTTATTACACACAGCTCTCTCGTATCTTGGGAAGAATTGGCGAGGGTGAGAATCTGTCTTGTTCCCCTACACAACCATTCAACAATAATCTGACGAAAACATCCCAGAGATTTATCGAAAAAAGCCCCGCACAGGTTCTAACCTGATCCTGTCCGTACAGAGTATCACCAATAATCTTGCGAGCTGGCTCCGCTCAATTCCCGACGGTCTTCGCATTGATTTTACCACACTAGACACACACGTCAACCGTGAGACTGTCTCGATCAACTTGCACTTTTACTCGTGTGTGAACATGACCGCACGTCCCCTTGTATTCTACATCGTTCAGAGACGTCTTGACGCAGTTGCATTGGGAACTTCTGCTGGAGACTGGAAAGAAGGACTGGCTCCTAATACCGTTGCGGTTATTGACAGCTGTATCACTGCTGCCCGAGCCACGACGATGATTATGGACGCCGCCGCCAAACACAATCTCATAGGTAAGCTTCCAAACAAGTGAGATAATGTCTGGAAAAAGAAATCCAAATTCTAATTTAAGTAACTCCCAGCTACATACGGCTATCTTGACGGCGACTACATCTTCTCCGCAGCCCTTCTGCTTGTCATGGTCAACGCGGCATTTCCACACAACGAAGCCAATATGCGGTCGATGGAGACAGCCCTCAGTCTTCTTCGTAGCATGGCCGATAGAGGTAATACCTATTTAGCTTCTGGACATACCCTACTTCTGGAGCTACGCGCAGCCATCGATCCGAAGCCTGCCCCCGCCGACGTTGAGCAGCCGAGCCCGTGCCCAAATGTCCCGGATACACCCACGGGTGACCGTCCGACAAGTCCTGGAATCGAAGCACCCCTGCCCAATCCCCCAACATTGCTTGTTGATGACTGGTTGCACCCTCCTGCTTTTCCCTCGCTAGAAGATATTTCCTTCCAGATTGATATTGATGATGACCCAGCATTGTGGGAGGGTGCATTGAACCAGATTGATATTGACATGGATACGGACTGGATCGAGAATACACTGAGACGATAGCGCATTTATGACTATATATATGAATGTCATTTTATTTTTTGAAACACATATGAGGTCGTTTGTCTGTATATCTCAGATTTGGCCAAGCTCATCGATGGATCAAGTACCCGCTGTATACCCCCGTATCATTGATTGCCTGGTGAATAGTAATACAGGCCACTACAGTCACCAGAATTTAAACTCCTGTCTCTCTCACTTGTACCACCTGAAAATTGAACATGATGTCACAGAATGAAGCCCTCGCACAACTCTCCTATGGATGCCCCTAACTCTCTCCATTATCTTTCGTGGCTTATCGCGTGATTTCCATCGGGCCGATGCTCCCGATGACCCCGACCGTCGGCCCGACACGTGACTGCCATACAAGACGATGACAATCCAGTCCGAGGACAACGACTGATTTAATATCGTGGGTATATGAGTCTATCGTACTGCTCTCAGATATTCCCCTGTCACATATTAATATATCCATTGACCTGCGCTTCCGTTGGTCAATAAATACATATACACACATCATGACCGACTCCGGGAAGATCACCATCTCCATTGACCGCGGCGGCACATTCACCGACGTCCATGCAATTGTGCCTGGCCAGTCAGATATCATTCTTAAGCTCCTTTCAGTCGATCCTTCACATTATCAAGATGCACCCACCGAGGGTATTCGCCAAATCTTGGAGCGCGTCACGGGGGAGTCACATCCGCGTGGCCAACCGTTGAAGCTCGACCGCATCGGCTGCCTCCGAATGGGCACGACGGTCGCTACGAATGCATTGCTTGAGCGCAAGGGTGCCCGATCAGTATTATTCACCACCAAAGGATTCCGGGATCTGCTTAAGATTGGTGACCAGTCTCGTCCAGCCATCTTTGACCTGTCTATGGCTCGACCCGGAGTGCTGCCAGAAGGCGTTGTCGAAGTCAATGAACGAGTGGTTCCATGTCATCCTGCCGCCGACGAGAATTGCTTCTCTGGTTCTCGGATTGTGGAAGGAATCACGGGCGAGAAGTTCCGCGTCGTGCAAGAGTTGGATCTAGCCCAGGTGCGGACAGAGCTCCAGCGCCTTAAGGAGCAAGGGTATCAATCTCTCTCGGTTGCCCTGGTACATTCATTTGCCTATCCGGACCATGAAATTCGGATTGGGGAGATTGCAGAGCAAATGGGATTTTCCGTCACACTATCTTCCAAGCTGCAGCCCATGATTAAGATCGTGCCTCGTGGCATGTCGGCCGCAGCTGATGCTTACCTCACGCCCGTGATCAAGACTTATATCGACTCCATCTCGGCCAGCTTTGAAGGTGGTCTGGAGAGCCAGCAAGAATGTCGGTTTGAATTCATGCAGTCTGATGGTGGACTGGTCGACTTCCGCAAGTTCAGCGGTTTGAAGGCAATTCTTTCTGGACCCGCTGCGGGAGTGGTTGGATTTGCAGCAACCAGTTGGGATCCAGTTGAGAAGATCCCGGTCATTGGATTCGATATGGGCGGTACATCTACTGACGTCTCTCGATTTGATGGACACTTGGAACACGTCTTTGGATCTAAAGTCGCCGGTGTTCTAATCCAGTCACCCCAGCTTGATATTAACACGGTCGCCGCTGGCGGTGGCTCCATTCTCACATGGCGCAACGGCCTATTCTATGTTGGCCCTGAGTCTGCCAGTGCTCATCCAGGCCCAGCCTGCTACCGCAAAGGGGGTCCGTTGACCGTGACTGACGCCAACCTGTTCCTGGGTCGACTGCTACCCGAGTACTTCCCCCACATTTTCGGTCCCAATGAGGACCAGCCACTCGACACGGAGATCACCGCACAAAAGTTCCTCGCGTTGACTCAAGAGATCAACGTTGAGCGTCGGCAGAACCTCCAACCAGAGTACAGCCCCGAAGAAGTTGCTTTAGGATTCCTCAAGGTCGCCGACGAGTCAATGGCCCGGCCCATCCGCAATCTCACCGAAGCCCGTGGTTTCGAAACCGCCTCCCACCATTTGGCGTGCTTCGGAGGTGCTGGTGGTCAACATGCATGCTCTGTGGCCGTCTCTCTTGGAATCTCGCGTATTATCATCCACAAATATTCTTCGGTGTTGTCAGCTTACGGATTAGCGCTAGCAGAAGTTGTCAAAGAGTCACAAGAGCCGGTGTCTTCAGACTATCTTTCTTCTCGTTCAACTCTGCTCCAACGATTTGATGACATGGCCGCAGCTGCGACAACAGAGATGCAAGCACAGGGATTTGTATCGAGTCAGGTGCGACATGAGCAGTACCTGAACATGCGTTACGAAGGGTCAGACACGAGTCTCATGGTCCTACGACCTGAAGGATCCTCCGACTTCCTGACCGAATTCCGCGAGCGCCACCGTCGCGAGTTCAACTTCAACTCCGAGAGAGCTGTGCTGGTCGATGATATCCGTGTGCGTACGATCGCCTCTTCCAAGGTCCGCACCGAGCGCAGCCCTCTCCTGCAACTGAAGGATGCCAATCTCCACGATGTCACAACGAAGCCGGCCAACACCACATCCGCTTACTTTGACGGATATCCCACGCGCATCGACACCCCCGTATATCTGCTCGATCAATTAGAGAAGCACAGCCGCATCTTCGGTCCTGCCGTTATCATTGATCAGACCCAGACGATTGTGGTTGCTCCCAACTCTGTTGCAAACCTGCTTGAAACATGCATTGTCATCGACATCCTAAAGGAGACTCAAACAGTTTCAGCACCGGAAACTCAGACCACGTCCGAGGTTGACCCGATCCGTCTTAGCATCTTCGGACACAGATTCATGTCTATAGCCGAACAGATGGGGCGAACTCTTCAGAAGACTTCCGTGTCGACCAACATCAAGGAACGGTTGGATTTCTCCTGTGCCTTGTTCTCCCCCGACGGAGGTCTTGTTGCAAACGCTCCTCACGTTCCTGTGCACTTGGGCTCGATGCAATTTGCAGTCCGTTACCAGCATCAAAAGTGGCTGGGTAACTTGAAGGACGGCGATGTACTTGTGGCCAACCACCCTAGCTGCGGTGGCACTCATCTCCCTGATATTACGGTAAGTAACTCTCGTTGACTATTTATCATTGGAATCAGAGCTAACAATATCGGAAAAGGTCATCACTCCCGTCTTCGATAGACCAGGTGGCACCGAGATTGTGTTCTACGTCGCATCGCGCGGTCACCACGCCGACATTGGCGGTATCCTACCCGGTTCCATGCCCCCCAAGTCGACTGAGCTGTGGCAGGAGGGTGCAGCCATTGAAGGTGACAAGATTGTTAGCGATGGAGTTCTCGACGAAGCCCGTCTGATCGAGCTACTGGTCACCAAGCCTTCTCAATACCCTGGCTGTTCAGGTGCACGCTGCATCAGTGACAACCTGTCCGATCTCAAGGCACAAATCGCCGCCAACACCCGAGGTATCAGCCTCATCCAGACTCTGTTCAACGAGTATGGTGTCGAAACCGTGCAAAAGTACATGTACGCCATTCAGGCTACTGCCGAGACGGCCGTTCGGAACCTGCTCAAGGGCTTACACCAGAAGTTCGGTGGTCAGCCTCTGGAGGCAGTTGATTACATGGATGATGGTACACCCATCCGCCTCAAGGTGACTATCAATGAATCGGACGGATCTGCCATCTTCGACTTTGAGGGTACCGGGCCTGAAGTGTACGGCAGTTGGAACGCACCCATTGCAATCACTCATTCCGCCATCATCTATTGTCTGCGGTGCATGATCAACGCGGACGTCCCCCTGAACCAGGGCTGCCTCGCCCCGATCGACATCCGCGTCCCTTCTCCTAGCATCTTGTCTCCGACAAAGACCGCCGCAGTCGTGGGAGGCAACGTGGTCACCTCCCAGCGCATCACCGACGTGGTCCTCAAAGCCTGCCGAGCCTGCGCCGCATCACAAGGTTGCTGCAATAACCTGACATTCGGCACCGACCCCAAGATCGATGCCGAGACCGGAACGGTGATCACCCCTGGATTCGGCTACTATGAAACCATTGCAGGCGGCAGTGGCGCTGGCCCTACTTGGAAGGGTGAATCAGGCGTCCAGGTCCACATGACCAACACTCGCATTACGGACCCCGAGATTCTCGAGAAACGCTACCCGACTCTCCTTCGCCAATTCACGTTACGCGACGGCTCTGGCGGTCGGGGCAAGAACCCCGGTGGTGAAGGAGTAGTCCGTGACATTGAGTTCCTCGCTCCAATGCAGTGTTCTATCTTGTCCGAGCGTCGTGTGCACCGTCCGTATGGATTGGAGGGCGGTCAAGATGCGCAGCCGGGTTTGAATCAGTGGATCACGAAGGATGTTGAAACTGGTGAGGAGCGACACATCAATATAGGAGGCAAGAACACTGTCTCTGTGAAGACGCATGACCGGGTGGTTATCATGACTGCTGGTGGTGGTGGATGGGGTGCTGAGGAGGTCGCCGCTTAATTGCACTGTGTATTGTTAGACCATAGATCTAGATGGTGCTGAAATGTGAATAGACATCTATACATGTGTCAAGATAAGATGTAATGAATTTAAGACACACATTATGTCAAACAGTCCTGATTGAATGCGAAAATTGAGATGCACTTGAACTTCTAGGAATATAAGCCTAAAGTATTTGACAACCCGTTGTATCAGCCATATGTAGCGCCTCCCTGATCTATGTGTAGCAATGCTCTTCATGATCGCGTAGCCATTGGATGCAATCCATCTTCATCGGACCAAGATTCCCAACGCCCGCGGATCGTAAAAAGCGAAGATGCAAAGAAGTATAGCCAAAGCAAGAAAAGAAACAACGCCAGGTGCAAAGTAAACAATGTTCCAGGCCTCTCAGTAAAAGTCTCGGGACTGGCTTCCATGTAGTCTCCGATTTCACTCAATCACGATGCGTCCCTCGACCCGGGGGGATATGCCAGAGGTCCACGGGGGAATAAACTCACCCTCGCCATCCATGGTGTTGAGGGCTGATGGCTCTAGTCCAGCATGTCGCATCCACTTTCGAACGACACGGCGTGCAAGCTTTAGCCGATGTTCTTCGTCCTCAGACGACATTGCAGGGTCTGTCACATAGTTGATTGTCGGCATAGGCGATGTGAGGATCTCCGGGTCCTCATCAGAGTCCGAGTCCATGGCGTCGCTGTTAGTCCCGCTGGAAGCAACCTGGGCCGCTTCGACTTCCTGAGGGAAGCGTCCATAATAAAAAGCATCGCGACTGGTCCGTTGAAGCGGTGGTCGTGGCTCTAGTCGATGAGCCGGCGCTTTTTCTGCCACCGGCGACGGCAAAGCAGAGGGTGGTTTGAGCCAGCCACTGCGATGTAGACTACGGTGCACCAAGCCCCAGTGTCGACGAAGACTGGGACTCCAGCGACGCCATTTGCCGAGAACCTTGAGGCTGAGGAAGTATTGGCGCAGGATAGTGCTAATGAGCACTCCATTTTCTTCGCTAACCAGTTCCTCAACGTCACCACCCTCGGATTTCACCAGCAGCGACGTGAATCCATCCTTTCCACGCGCCATGTAACCACGTGTGGCAACAACGTATTCCCGTTCTGGGTCAATAGGTTTTCCACCCAGTCGCGCAAAGGTCAAGCGGGAGCCAGAAGGGCCGTTCAGTTTGAAACCAAAGGAAATGTTGGAGACTTGAGTGAATCGACCCTCAAGGGCCGGAAGTTGGCTGACACCGTTTTCCAATGCATCCAACAAAGCCTGACCTCGAAGTCGGAGAAGGACTACCGGGTCTTCGAAAGGGAAACAATTCAACAGGTCTTTTAGCCGTAAAACACCGGGAGGATATATTTGATCGCCGCGAATAGTCCCACCGGCCATCAATGCACAATCAGCGGCATAGTAGTAGCGCATCAAGTCGCAGACAAAATTACCCAAATTCGACTCGCGCTGACGAACAGTAGAGAATCGACCGTCTAGCGGGCTCACTGTGTAGCCTACGGGCTTCTCAAGTTTTGCCTTGAGGCTGGAGGTTAGTCGATCAACCATGGCAATGGTCGCCGGGTCCTCCGGAATCGAACGCACGACATCCCGTCGCATGATGTTGAAATCCCAACCGGTATCTGTACCAGATCTGCGAAAAGCTTCGATGTAACTCAATTGCTTGAAATCGGTCCCCGATCGCAGTACATGAGTCCCGTTGACAATTGTATGAGCGTAGTAGTGATCATGTCCTCCAAGAATGATATCAACCAACCCTGGAGGGAGGTTGTTGGCCAATTTGTTATCATTTGGCTCACGCTGATGAGAAACGACGACAATCAACTCTGCGCCCTGTTCTCGGAGCTGCGGGGCTAGTTCTTTCGCAGTCGCAGAAGCAGATTTGTAGATTAAGTCGGGCGGAAGCGAATTGATCGTGCCAAGCCTGGGAATGGATAAGTACATGTGACAGAGTCATGAAGCGCATTTCCAGACGAACGTACCATTCTCTCTCTCCTAGCCCAATCACACCAATCTTGATACCATTGGAGGAGGTCAGCAAGCACGTTTTCCCGCAATTGGCGATTGAAACATCCTCCCCGAGAGCTGGATCGAGAACGTTGGCCAGGAGCCATGGGAAATGACATTGGCTCGACAAATGTCGAAATTGTGATACTCCAAAGTCCAGATCATGATTCTGTCCTTGTCAGCACCGTGTCTCAGCCCATTTCTGAATGTTGATGGCCCGTACTCACACCCACACACGCTACGTCGATCCCAGTTTTATTCAGGAAGGGCACCATATGACGACCCTTTGTGACGGTGCTCTCGAGGCTTGGATTAAAGGCATCGCCAGAGAAGAAGGTGAAAACCTCGGGCTGACCGGTAAATCGGGGGTCGGAGCGGTAATAGTTCACGAGAGACTGGAAACGGGAGGCACCACCAATGGGCTCGGCTGAGCCGGACCTACAAAGCTCTCGTTAGCAAGTTTCTAAGCTTGGGCAAAGAGTGAGAGGCGCGAGCAATCATACTCGATGTGATAAACGTCATTGAAGTGGATCAGTCGCAGATCGGGCGAGCCGGTATGGTTCGACTCATGGGTGACGGATAGACCGTCGCACTCGAGGTTTGACATGGAAACCCTGACGGAATAAGATTGATACAAGGTGGAGTAAGTCGAGAAGTGAGGAGGAAGAAGGGAGAAGGATCAATAGAGGGTGAAGAGGGAGACGAAGAGAGGTAGCCAGCTGTTTACAAAGGTGGGACAAGCGGGAATCCGGGGAATCCGAGGCGGGGAGTGACTGAGCTCCTTGGTGCCTGGATGCCTGGATGCCTGGATACCTGAAGAGAAGAAAGAATGTAATTTGGATGAGAACGAAATAGCCAGATGCAATTGTCCAACGCCTAGCGCCATGCAACGAGGTATCCTAAAAATGAAGGGAGATAATAGCTAAATGAAAATAAAAGGTCGTTACTGAGTCATTGTGGTCACAATTTCTGCTCCGTCACAGTCCATCGCCGTCTCGAAGCCGCGTCGCGGTCCTCCAAGGACGGCGCACTGCCCCACAGCCCACGCTGAGAGAGTGTACGCTTGGGTAATTGTTTCGTCCATCCAGACTGGTCAACAATTGCATTTGACGGTGACGAGTCGCGACTCACGGATCGTGGAGCTCCGAAATTCGGGACAAAGTCATCCTCGGCACCTTCATCAGCTTCCTCGGTGGGAGACGCGATAGAGCCCCAAAGGCCCGATGCTCCTCGCGAACCTAGCGTGGTGGGAGACGGACGAGAATTCATGGACCAACTGCGAGAACCAGGTCCCGTCTTAGGGGTGGGATCGATGAAAAAGGAACCTTGCAAGATCGATGCTGATGGACGCGAGCCGAGGCGATTGCGATAGGTCGGGATAGAGGGCGGGGGGAGTGGCTGTGGAGCCGAGGAAGAGGACAGCGAAGCGAGCTGAGAGGGGTTCACCCCCGCACGCAGGTGGTCACTCGAGGCGATGAGTTGTAATGAGTACTCATGGGAGACCGACCGATCCTCCTGACTGCTGGGTGAGGAGGGGGAGGAGCTGCCAGGGGAGATGGCCGTGCGGTCGGAGTCTGGGGTTGTGTTCTTCCTCACGCGGTCTCGTCGCACTGCCATGGTGAGGGAGGCAGTACCGATGTCCAGGAGTACTGAGCGCCCAGCGAGGGAGCCAATCAGAGCGTTACAATCCGCTCCGTGCGTGATGATAATAAGCACGGTCTGGGCAGAGTTGTCCTTGCGCTGTGAGGCATTAGACAAGGCCCTGGATCGGTCGCCGACACTCCCCTGTTGGCGGTAATAGTCCACCATATGTTGGAACCCTCTATGTATCCTCTCATGCATGCTGCTCCATTCCTCGCCGTACTCGCCGCCCGTGCCCCAGAACGGTTTTCGCATGCTATCCCATTGGTAGTCGATCCTGGTACAAGCGTCCCGTGCATGCGCCACATAGCCGGCTGGGATGGGATCCGAGGGAGAGACTGCATACCCGGGAGTCGGGGGCACGTAAGCCGCATCGACAGCGGAGGGGAGATCGGTGTTCAAGCGGCCCAAGGCTAGAGGGGCACCGTTGGTCGGAGTGGTGCCCTGAAGAGTATCGTAGGTGCTGGCCCGCGGTCGCTGAGGCTGCTGGCCAGAAGGGGTGGCGGTTGACGAGATGCGTGAGGGTAGCCGGCGGTCATCATCCTCATTAGGCGATACTGGGTGAGACTGACTGCCCCATCCACCAGGAAAGTGACCCGACGAGGACCTTATGTCCCGCACCATCGGAATTCCCTCGGCACGACGAAGAAGCTCAGCTTTGGCCGAGACGACCATCCTGTCCGACGCGGGTGGCGGAACAATCTGGTCAAAGTAATCAGGCGATAACCACTCGCCCAGGAACGCGTCGACGCGCAGAAGAGGTCGGACATCCTGACTCCCGACCTCTCCTGCGTGAAGCTGAGACCCGGGTGGTGATTCGACCGACTCGGACAGTTCACCCCCGGGCCGATAGTGACTGAGGCCTGCACTCACGCCGATCGCCGTTTGTAAACATCGTAGGTATGGAGACGTGTGGACGATGACGTTGTATCGCGGAGACGAGTCCGAGGATGCGGAGGTCGCTTGCAATTTAGTGGGGGCATCCGAGGACAGAAACGGGCCAGGTTTAGCCTCTGGTTCCTTGCCTGTGAACTCGGAATCTTGCAAGAGACTGGCAATGCGAAGACCAAGCGCCCGTGCCTGCATCCATCCACCGTACGACAAAGGGGGGTCATAAGGGGTAGGAGAGGTCAAATGCCAGTCCTTGTCGGCCGCATCAAGACGCGCACCATGCCTAGTCGAGGTTATTTGAGTGTCAACGCTATAGCAATATTTGACCCCACATACCTGGCGATGAAGACAATGGGCGGAGCGTTCGCCATACCGTCTAAACAAAGAGTGGGGGAAGGAGTATGGAGGGGTTACCACGGCTGCCGGTATCTCCAACGCGGCAGCAACAGCAACTCGAGCTGATTACAAAAGCCGGTTGAAGCTCAACTGAGCATGGCCAGGTAGCAGGCAGCACGTAGTGCTGAAAAGCCGCGAGATTTTGAGGGAGTTTGACAAAAGTAGAACGATGTCAGTGAGCCCATGCGAATAAAAAAAAAGGCGTGGCATGTGATGCTTATGTAAATGCAGCCGCGCGGATCCACCTGATCTTTGCGAACCTTAAAAGATTAAAAAAGGGTCATCGGGATGATATCTACTGTTGCCGATTTTATAGTGACAGTGTAGCTGTCATCAGGGAGTTGACCTTCCTGCAACTTCAACCGCATCCATGTCTTCGTCCATGTCAATGCCAATGAAACGTGCGACTCCGACTTCCATGGCCACCCCAACTCCCAGTTCCATGGCCACCCCGACCCCGACTATGAAGGTCGCGTCACCAATGCGAGGCGAACAGAAACCCGAACAGTTCAAGGCCGAGAAGATGATGATGCTGGTATGTTTCGTTCACATGAGCTAAAAAATTATTTCTAACAATACTTCTGTTAGGTTCTAAACAAGGACGTATCAGACTGAGAACTGTGGCCCCGATGGCTTGCAAATACTCCTGGGTCCGAACAGCCAGCCTCAAGTTGACGTTGATGATTGATGAGGGATATGCTTTCTGTATTTATGCTTGACGTTGTTGTGACTTTAGTGCCTCGGTATTTCGTTTATGTGGGGTTGAATTATGTGTACTTTGATTTCTATCAATCATGGTCTATTCGTACAGTAGGCATGATAAGCCGTGTTGATTTGGATTTATGCGCCAGCACCAGTATCGAAGGCCCGTATCAGCAGTGTACTTGATACTAGGCTTGTTGCCAAATCAATAGCTGACTGGTGAGCTGCTTAGATATAGGTTTACATCGCTAGGTTTGCCTCAAATCATATGGCTGTTCCACTGAGCGTCCCTTTAGACAACCTCGAAATGCTCGGGCTGACCCGGCTTACCAGGGGCGCCCGCATTGGATACTTCCAACTGGGTCTGGGTAAATCGAGTATGGGGAATGCCGCGGTGTCCAGGTTGATTGTAGCCACTGTCAATTGTCAGTAAAATGCAGAAGAAACGAAATGGGAGCGAAACATACAAGATCATGTCCATTTGATCAATTGTCAACCCCTTAGTCTCGGGCAGGAGGAAGTATGACCAAACAGTGGCAACGACCATGAAACCCGCGAAAAAGAACCAAGTTCCGTATCCAAAGGAGTTGAACATATACGGAAGACATTTGCTCATCGGAAATTGGGTTGCCCATTGGACGAGGGCTGCATAGGTACCAGAGAAGTTTCGTAAGGCACCGGGGAAAATTTCCGCAGAGACAATCCAAGGAATACCATTCAGACCGAAAGACCAGAAAACGGCGTAGATCATAATCATTGCAGTTGCTGCGTGACCCCCGCGAGTCGTGGAGTCTGACAAAGTACCACCATCGGCGATGACGGCGGCTGGGTTACCAACCTTGACATATGCACCGACATACCAGAGGCAGAGGGAGCAGACAATCGAAGATAGAATGACTGGGCGACGACGACCAATCTTGTCGACAAAAGCAATGTAGAAGATGAGGGATGCAACCGCCTTGACAAGACCGTAAATGCCCGTGTACAGCGCCGTATCTTTGATCCCAATGGACTTGAAGAGAGTAGGCGAGTAATAATTGATAGCTAAAATCGGTTAATTGAGACGAACAAAGTCATCATGGGAAGGGTGATCACGTACCAGAAGCACCGGACAGATTGTTCAAAGCAAAAGCACAGAAGACGAGGAACACACGGTTCCGCATACCTCGGCGCGAGAACTCGTCCATTGCACCACGGAAGAAGGCCCATGATCCCTGGCCATACTTGCTTGCGACACTCGCTTCTTCATTCAATCGATTCTGAATATTCTGGATCTCCTGCTGGACGTAGGGGTGGTCCACGGGCAATCTGCGCAGAGTTTCGAGGGCACGATAGGCCTCGTCATTGCGCTCTTTGCGCATAAGCCAGAGTGGAGACTCGTGAAGCAAAAATCCGCCAATGAACAGGAACACTGCTGGAATGAGCTGAACTCCCATGGGGATCCTCCAACTTGTCGATGATTTGGCAGACATGTTCTGCGTGATACCAAAGTTGATCCAGAATCCAATCACGGAACCGATCTGGTAGGCGCACTCGAAGAAGCCTGTCAAGATACCTCGAATGGAGGGAATCGATAGTTCTGCGATATAGCTAGGAACGGTTGCCGTAATGGCGCCGCAGCCAATACCCGTCAACACGCGACCGGCGTCTAATGAATATGTCGGTTAGTGGCAGGATCTATATACTATAAGTGGAAAGCAGGGGTCATCGTACATATGAGACCCAATTGATGGGTGGCCGCAGTCATCATCACCGCACCAATAATGAATACAACCACATTGATTTGCAGCGTCCATTTTCGACCGAAACGCTCAGTAACTAGAGAGTAACGATCAGTCAGTAACTTTTCCTGTGCCTTTCCTTCCAGGAAGGAGGAGGGCTGACTCATATGACTGACAGAAAAAGCAGAAAAGAGCTCCAAAGAATGCGCCAGCCTGGAAGATCGAGGTGATATTGCTCGAAATTGCACTACTGTTGGCTTTGGTGATGTGGAAATCGGTCATGAAACTCTCGCGTGCAATAGTCGTGCCCACAAAGGCCGAGTCATATCCGAAACTATTCGTTTCTTAGTTTAGCCCGGCCAATCTCTCGCTCCTGAGCACCGATCCACACTTACAGCAATGATCCAGTGGCAATGATGATAGCTTCGGAGTACAAGCGCCAGTTGTAGACCTCCTTCGGGGTAGGACGATCCTCGATGGCCCCAAAGCCCATGGTGGCTAGTGGTGGCTGGACGTGTCTTGGTGTTGGTTATTGATGCTGGTTAGCGCTGGTTCAATTGCCGTCGTTCGTCAAATGCCGACTGGCAGAGAGGTCAAGGCTCCTGGATTGAAGCCCTCCGAGTGACACCACGCGGGGTATTTGAAGCCGCAACGGTTCTTCCTCTCTTCTAGAAATGCCTTCTTCGTCGCTTGACCATCTCGGGCAAGGGCCGACTGCGGGTTAATTCGGGGGCGGGGCATGCCCCCCGGATTCTCACAATCGCACGTTATCCATGTTGCGATTCTTTTGCGCTCGGGAACAGCCCGGTTTGAAGGTCGGGGTTTGGCATTGAAAGTTCGGTTCTGGGGTCGCCCGAGTGAGCCCACGAGATTTACCACCAATCACGGACTCGGAACCTGGAAGAGTGGAGTTTTTCTCTGCGAACCGATCGGCTTGCGACAAAAACGGTGAATAGCCGACGAGTCCGTTGCGGGCAACTCTCGCCGATCGATGGCCGTTCTTTGGAAATTGAGTCCATCGAGTCAGCTGGTCATTCAAAGAAGCCAGTCAATCCGGGGGTGGGGAGGTGGAAGAAGGAGAGAAATTCCACGGGCCGAAGTCCGGACGGAGATCATTTTCCAGGGCATGATGATACTTTGTGAGGCATATTCGTACATTTGTAGACTTAAATGCCCAATAGCTTGGACGTCTTAGATGATAGAAGGCGAGTAGCTCATTTATAACTTCAATTGTCCCAAGTTGTCTATACCTTGAATATCTTAAGATTACATCCTTACTTCAAGCCTGTCACTTTACAGTTGTGAAAGTGTATACGGCTTCTTCTTCTGAGCCGTTTGCTTTTAGGATTCTCTTCCCTGGACATTTCTATACTTCACAGGCACTGTAACCACGTCCAACATGGCAAACGATCAGACTACACCATCCAATTTGGCCCTCTGCGTTACTACCGACGACTTCGAGGCAGCCGCAAAGAGAGTTCTCCCAAATAAAGCTTGGGTCTACGCCTCCAGCAGCGCAGCTTCGGGTCTATCTCTCCAATCCAATCTAGATGACTGGACACGAATCAACTTTCGACCTCGCATCATGAGGAGTGTCAGTTCACTAAATCCAACCCGGTCTATCCTGGGTCAACCCGGCAGCCAACCATTCTTCGTCTCGGCGATGGGAACTCTGGGTAACGCACACCCAGGCGCAGAGCCCTTGCTGGTACGAGGAGCGACCCGAAAGGGCTTACATACCGTGGTCAGCACGGCGACGAGCAAGCCCTTGGAGGAGATTATGAAGGCTCATCTCGACGAGCAGCGTCAACTTGGAAATCAAAGCCCATCCAAGCTCGCGTTCCAGTTATACGTCCCAGTGGATCGGAATCTAGCCCGATCCCTGATTCGCAGGGTCAAGGCTGCTGGGTATCACAGTCTATGGATTACCGTAGATACTTCTACGCTCGGTAAACGAACGGCAGATCGATACTTGCAAGCACAAGAAGCTCTAGATCAAGGAACCAGTCAGACAGTCCGAGAAGCTGCGGCCGACAACGCCTTTGGCCCTGCATTTGGAGGGCGTCCGGTGCCGGGATATCTGGATCCTGGTCTCAATTGGGATGATTTGGAGTGGATCTCTGAGGAGTGGAATGGGCCGATCGTTCTGAAGGGGATCCAGACCGTGGAAGATGTCAAGTTGGCGGTCGAACGCGGCGTGCAAGGTGTACTACTGAGCAATCATGGTGGCCGGCAAATTCACTCAGCTCCCAGTGCCCTGATGACTCTGTTAGAGACTCGTACATACTATCCGGAAGCCTTCGACAAATTGGAGATCTTTGTCGATGGGGGCCTTCGGGACGGTGCCGACGTTCTCAAGGCTTTGTGTCTCGGGGCAACGGCGGTGGGAGTGGGCAGGCCATATTTTTACGCCATGGCAGCGTACGGTATTGAAGGCGTGGAGAAGTGCACTGACGGTAAGTCAACTCCGTCGTTCTAGGAATTGAAGAGTTTCATTGACACCATTTTAGTTCTCGCCGAGGAGGTTGAGATCACCATGAAAATGCTCGGGGTTTCCTCGCTCGACCAGCTACGACCGGATATGGTAAACGCCAGTCGATTGTTGAATGAGATGTGGCGCCCAGATATCTGGTGGAACAAATCCAAGCTTTAAGGCTGTGCAGATAGAACTTGACATCTGACACGTCTTGCAGTTGTCGATTACATTGATCGTATGTATTGGTCGTCCTATTTGGTGAGAGAGGTCCAATTGGCCTGCTGGTTCTGTTCGGCTCGTACTGTTACTTAGCCGAAGAACAGATTAGATCGCATGTCACCACAAAACGTTCCAAGTTATTCATTGAACATAAGCTGTAGGTATCGCAAAAACAGATTCAAAATGCGTGGGTTAGATAGCCTGACAGCCTCTAAATTCCTTATTGTACACCAACCGGTCGAGCTCCTGACAAGTTCACCACTCGGCCACCCCCGGCGGCGCCAGGCCGCACCCATCCCGGAACGTTATCATCGTCTTTTTCGCGAGCAAAGATCGTCTCCCAGATGTTGGGAAAGCCGGTCGGTAAGGCACCCCGTAGTCGAGCCCCAGGGATGGCGAAACGGGGGTTGCGATGGGTTAGATAACCACGCATAAGTCCCTGGGTGAGAAGTGAGGCAAGGATGGATTCGACCTCGTCCATGAGCAGCGACTGCCTGTCTGCTTCTGGGCCGTCTTCCGTGGCCTCGGCGTAGGGATCCAGTTCAAACGCATCGTAATCAGCGCCCGGATTTCCGTCAATCAACTGACCAGGCATGTTCTCGTGCCAATGGCCCCCTTCATCGAAGAAGCCGTCCGGCGCAAGAAAGTCTCCAAATTTCTTTAACAACTGCTGACCTGTCGGTATCTCCGAGTCATCGAGGCCGCTAAAGTCGGGATCAATTGGCTCGGGAATGACCTGAGACCCGTAGAAATGGAATTCGGATATCGAATGGTTGACTCCGTTCGACAACTGAGCTTGGCGATGTTGGGACTGGAGCCATCGGGTGGCTATAGTCAATTTCTCAAGGTAAAGATAAGGTGGGGGGCCACGCTGCGCCTGCGCCTGCGGGTCCCCATGATATCCACTGTGAATAAACACCTTCCGGCAGAATGAACGCCACACCATGATCTCACATCGGTTGCGTAGCGTAAGCAAGATTCCCTTGCGGGCAAACCACTCGGCAGCGGGCGAGCTCGGGGAGAGATACTCTCGGAAAGCGATGTAATCCCCGCGAACAATCAATCGGCACAACTGTTCGAATTTGTCGGCCAACCCATTTGCCTCGGGCCGTTGTAGTAGTTTCCGAGATGGGAATCGACCCATGATTATATTGCATGGGATCAGATAGGCGAGGATCAAGTGTCGTTGGCTGATTGCTTGGCGGTGACATTGGTCATAGGCAGCTTGAAGGGCAATGAGGGCGGGATAGAAAAGGTTGTTGGAGAATAAGTAGCGGCCCAGGTAGTAGAGATATGTCACGCGCTGTGAGGCAGGGAAATGGGCTAAAGGAGGGGACTGGGCAGTGATGCTGGCGAACATTTGTTCGGCATTTCGCAACTTGCCGCACTGAATGGACGAAAGTCAGTTCGGATGGCTCTTCAATCTCGAGTGACAGTAAAACACCCATTGGTTTGCAGTACATACCTGAAATAGGAGCTTAAGGCACAGGTTGGCCATGAGGTAGATCCCAACGCGCTTTCCTTCGGGCTTGCCCTGGGGGCCTGGAGTTCCAGTGCGATCTGTCAAGCACTTGATGAAGGCCTCGCGCACCACGTTTGCCGATTGTTCCACCAATGTCACTTTTTCGGTACTCTCATCGTTATCCATGGCCCCTTCCGTGCGCAAGATATGCGCGATTAGTTCCGGCCGGCGGTCTAATCCCATTGCTAGCTTTGCCAACACTTTTGACAGGTAGAGGACAGTAGGGAGAACGATGACGCCCATCTGGCTGTCACCAAGGGCTAAAATACATTGACTATAGTCGACAAAGGAACGATCAACGTAATTAGCCCGCGATGTTTAAAGTCGTAGAGAAAAGAAAGTGGAGACTCAAGCTTCCACTTAGGAATGGCGACTCACTTAAGCAGTGCCTTGAGCTGATTGTATGTATCAAGCAGGTTGTCGGTATTGACATCACGAAGAAAGGTAAAATAGAGCTTCATAAAGGTCGGGAAAGCTGTCCATGATGAACCACCCTTGGTGCGCGGTACCAGTGCCTCGCATCGTTGTAACAGATTCGAATCGGTCTGAGGGCCCGGTGGATATCGTTCTCGGAGCTCCTGGATCAAGCGCTGGTATGCTTCCGAAAGCGGGGGCTCAATCTGTAGAAAATCCTGCAGTTTGGCACCATCCCGATTTTGGATCTGGGCGGCTATGCCACCGAGGAACTCGTCTAAAATGGGAGGTTGGCCGGCCATAACGCGGTGGGTAGGGCGGAGGTTGCGCGAGAGCAAGTAGACGGGGAAATTGGACGATTAGCGGGAGATTAGCGGCGACAACCACACCATTTTCGACTCAGAATTTCAAGTAGCACGTCTTGATCATGCGCGAGGGTCAGATCCTGTAGTAGGGAGGGGATAGTGAACAAAGTTGATCTTCTCAAAGGCGGGACTGGCAGGCCGACAATAAAGCATCCGGCAGAATACCGACCGCCCTTTGTTGACCGCTCTGGAGTTTTTCGGAGGCAGCGATCAAGTATGTATGGCTATCACCGAAACACTTGATTGGTCAGTTTTCGTCAAGCATTTCCATCGTCCAAGTGGTCTTTCCACATCAATCGATCCAGTTGACTAGCATGATATCAATTTTCTATCATTTCAAAAGATGTCCATAAGGTGAAGGAGTATCCAAAGATCTTACCAGCCTGCGTGGTCGATGTATAAATCCCTGTGGGATGAAAAACTAATGCAGAGGAAGACCTATAGCCTTGCCCAGGCATGTAGCTTGCAGAGCGGTGGCTCTAAAGCAAGTATACCATCTGAGACGCAGACCTTGTGTTTAGCATAAACACGTGAAAGGAAACAAGATATCTAAAATTATCTATGTAACACAGGGCAGACTAGCGTAACTGTTTTGCATGTGTCAATGCAGAGCTCGTTGCGGAGCGTGCAATGCTGGCCCCACCATTTATTTATTCTGTCATTCCCATTATGCCTCATCTATCCTCTCAGAACAAATAGTCCTAGTTATTCTTGTTCTGAAACCGAATCTTACATTTAAGATTATCATGTAAACGGCATGCCGACTCGGGAGGGCGAGTTCATAGTCTGGACGGGGTCTGGCCAGAACTTAGTTAACTATCCGGAGCGGATGACATCATGGGCGGCTCCATCGGACATCACTACAACAAGCATTCCGACCAGATTTACGTTCAACATTCAAGCTAAGGCTATCACATGTAAAGAAAAGCGCCTTTTTTTGTGCTCCACCGATCACGTCACTCTCCTGGTCCAGATACAAAACATCCCAATTTCCATTCTTTGCTTGTCAATTGCACTCGCTCTCTTCTTTTCGTTATCCCTATCCATTCTCTATGGCGTCTTCTCAATCGTCGATCCTCGCCTTGATCAGGCACCCTTTCGTGCAGACCTTCACTTGGCTGTACCTCATCTTGCAAGCTGTGCTGAGATTTGTCTTTTCGCCAGCTCCACCCCCTCCGACTGCAAATAAATCCAACCTTCCCCGCAAGAGGGTTGCGGTCATTGGTGCTGGCCTGACGGGTGTCTCGTCTGCTGCACATTGTGTGGGCCATGGCTTTGATGTTCAGATTTTCGAGTCTAGACCCAAGGAAAGCGGCTTGGGAGGAATCTGGAGTGTAAGATCCACGTGTCTAGCCTACAGGGAAACAAGACGGTATTAACGAGAAATAGCGCGTCAATTCCACCTCGGCCCTCCAGGTTCATAGCTTGATGTACCGATTCCACCCATCGGTGCACTACGATAGTGCCTATCCTACTCAGCAGCAAATTAAAGAGCAGATTGTTCAGCTATGGAAGCGCTACGACCTCGAAAGACGCACAGTGTTCGACACCCGCGTCACCTCGGTAAAAAAGACAGAGGATGGACAATGGATTATCAACAATGACGAAGAGAAATATGGCCGCTTTGATGGAGTGCTTACCGCCGTCGGTGTCTGTGGAGATCCTCAAATGCCTACCTTGCCGGACCAGGACAAGTTCAAAGGTCAGATTTTCCACTCGTCAAACTTGGATGGCAAAGATGCCAAGGGCAAGAAGATCTTGATCGTTGGTGGCGGTGCCAGTGCAATCGAAGCTCTGGAATTTGCAGTCAAGTCTGGTGCGGCAGAGATTGATGTCCTGTCCCGCTCTGACAAATGGATCATTCCCCGAAACGTGCTGGTTCAATCCTTGCTAGCCTTCAATATCTTCGGTCAGGAAACTTCACTTTCCTGGATTCCCGAGGGGCTGCTCCGCAAGTTCTTCTATCGCGATCTTCAAGACATTGCTCCAACCGATGATGGAATCTTCACCCAGACTCCCATGGCCAATTCGGAACTGTTCAATCAGATCCGCCAAGGCAAAGCACACTGGCTTCGGGGTGATATCGTCTCCGTGGAGGAGAACGGTGTGGTGTTCAATCATAGAGCCCAAGGTGTTCCTAAAGGCGGCCCAGGCAAAGAGCGTTTGGTTGAAGGCGATATCATCGTCATGGCTACTGGATTTAAGCGACCATCCTTGAATTTCCTCCCCGATGAAGTCTTTGAAGAGCCATATAGTCCCCCAGACTGGTACCTCCAGGTCTTCCCACCCAAGTACCCCGATATCTGCGCCAACAATAGCACCTATGTCAACGCAATCGGCACGGTTGGCAACATGCACATCGGCATCTACACGCGCTTCCTCATCATGTTCTTGACTGATCCCTTGACTCGTCCATCGGAGCAGCGGATGAAGACCTGGATTGATTTCACGAGACTTATGAAGCGTTTGGCTCCCACAAGAGCTTTTGACTTCTTCACCTACGCCGAGCTCATCTACTGGTACATCTTTGTGCTGCTTATTAATCCCTTCCGATGGAAGTGGGCTCTATTCGTCTTCTTTGGTCTTGGGCGAGCCTTGCCCTTGATGGTGGTGGAGCAAGAGGAATTGTTCCGCAAGGAGCTTCAAAAGCAGCACAAAATCGATAAGGCCGAGTAATGTTGAGTTGGATAATTGTAATGACACGAGCGATGAAGGATGCATGTTGTGGACGAGCGTTACTTCCTTGGTGATCATCTGATGAGCGTGCATTGAAAATTTCTAGATCTGCAGATACTGAGGACAATATGATTGATGACAGTTCAAATGGGAAGGCTGCCGGCCTATTCAATGAGTCATGGAAGATGGAATTGATTGCGTAATTTCTTGTAGAGCTAGATTATCGACAATTTCTTTACTTTCAAGTGTTCATTCTTTCTTAATGTCGGGAATCTTCTCTGCAATGTCGTAAGCCAGGTTGCCCCGTGATATCCAATGGGGCAAATAGCCCTTTTCTTCCAACCACAGCATAGGCCATAGCAAAGTCACACCCAGAATACAGAAGAACGTTGCAATCAAATGCCAAGCCAGGACTAGCCAATACCCGACATGTGGCAGGAGAAACTTGACAAACTCGGAAGTTTGATACAGATCCTCTTGCTTGGTGATGTAGTACCGCGTGTGGTCGCCATTGGCCGGCGCACTACTATTGGCTGCGTCCGTGGTCAGATCCAGGACCGTCGTCAGAGTCACCGGTGCAACGTGGAAAGGCACCAGCCAGATGGAGAATAATTGCGACATGTGAACATATAGCTTTTGATGATCTTCGTCGAATGCTGTGAATGCCTGATTAATCCTATACTCATGAATAGGGGCCAGAGTTCAGCACGGTACTAACCAACAGAGTGAACCTCCATTTCAATCCGAGGAGACATGATCTTGTACCATTGAAAGATCTTGATCACCCACCAGCGGCTGCCATTAAAGCTTGGGACTCGACAGAACGGATGCACAAAGGACGCATTGGTGGTGAAGAACCGCTCTAGAGCCTTCTCCTGCAAGGATGGGGTGGATTGAGTGAGAAGACGGATCACCGTTCGGATCTCGGCCACTGAAGATGAATAGGCTCAGTCAAAACGCCTGAAAGGTATATGAGTTGAACAGACTTACCTGGATTATCCATGATTACGGGGGATGATAGCTGCAGAGTTGATCCAGGGACAATAATTATGGTACGCGATACAGAAGGACTTGGTGGCAGGCAATGACATCATACCGAGTTCCGACATGTGAACATGCCAACCTCGCGCGTGACGATGGACTCGTCGGGGCTACATGCACCCGTACAGGGTCGGAATCAAGTAAAATAATCATGATGCCTGTTGTAATAATTGGTAGAGTATGCTACCAGTCTTACACATGTGACATGGAAGAGCTTCCCTGGAAAGTCCCGTCCAGCACTCGGCATCCCGAGTCGAAGCTTGAGGCCCGATCGGCACTGCCTATCTTACAAAGAATTACACATCTAAGTGTGCATAGCAGGAAGAAAGCCATTAAGCCAATTCTATACAATTGGATGCTTCAATGCAGACATATAGTCATGGGCAACTAAATACAAAACAAGTCCTATTTTTCCATACCAACTCCGGGAGATGATCGCAGGCTCAGTGCCTGTCACATAACAAAGGAAACATAAAAAATGAAGAAAGAAAAAATAAAGTCGCAGAGACGTCCGGAATTTTACCGCTTCCAGCTGTCAATCTTCTTGCGACGTTTGTCAAAGATGTCACCAACCGCCACGCCATCGCTGCGCTGTCCATCCTCGTTCTTGCGCTTCCGGCTCTTCTCGAGAGCGGAGCCGCTGTTCTTGGAGCGGCGGGTAAGGCGCTCGATACGATCGGCTCCCTCGGTGAGACCCTTCCATTCGTCACCACCATATGTAGCTTCACCGCGGCCACCACCGCGCTTGGCAAGGTCCTTCTTGGTCTCCTTGGGAAGACGGACAAAGTTGGTCTCTTCGTACCGGGTTCGCTCGGCCTCATGCTCACGGTCTTTCTTGGACTTGGTCTGGCGTCCACCGGCAATGATGGTGCTACCGATGCTGGGCTCGGCCATTGGCGCAGCGGACATTTCGGCGCTGACAAATTCATCAATGACGTTGGATCGAATAGGTCGGCGATCACGGCGTTCACGACTTTCAGTGGTAGGAAGGGCAGTAGGCATAATCTTCGGTGGGCGATAAATGCCATCACTGGGCTCCTGTCGGGTCGCCTTGGCTTGGGGCTGCTTTTGCTCCACCTTGCCTTTCGCAAGTGCCGCAACGTTGGGACGGTATGCCATCTCATCCATATCCTCTTCCTCGTCTTCATCCTCCTCATCGCTATCTTCCTCACTGTTGCTGTCCTGATCGTCGTCCTCGGACTCATCCTCGCTTCCGGAGCCAACAGTCTTGCTGGCCTTCTTGGGCTTTTTTGATTTAGCTGGGCGCTCTGTCCGCTCCGATTCCTCTGCCGCCTTGATAACTTTGTCGATCTGATATTTTAAGCGTCCCTCCAGAGGCCGAACACCGCGATCAAGGAACACCCGGAGCTCAACCAATTTGTTCACAGCCTCATCGCGAAGAGCGCTGTCAGCCGAATTTTCGAGCTCTTTCGATTTTTTCTGTCGCAATTGAAAGATAATCAAGAAGACGAGATTTTGAAGGTAAGAAAGAAGAATTTCGCTCTTGGTGTCGAGGAGCGAGATACCGTCCTGGGGCGGCGTAATGGAAACATCAGTCGACGCATCTTTCTCAACGGCCGGGAGGGAAGAGCTGGTGCTAATGAGACATGAAGTGAGACTCTCGAGGAGTGCCGATAGATTCTGTGCGCGTACAGGCGCAGTCCCTGCTGAAGCCATGATGTGTTGTGTTTTCTAGAGTTAGGGTCCCTTCGTCGACGAGGCCGCTGGAAATTTTTTGGACGGCGCTTATCAGCACGTGACGATTTACTCTCGGGATCGTGCTAGGTCCCGAGTCCCGAGTCACGTGTCAACCAGGCTGCTTCGTTGATCGTCATTTGTCTCGGGGCCATTCTGTCCTTTCATAGCCACGAATTTGTTTTCCCTCTGTTGAGGTATACGCATGAAGCCACGAACTCATTCCAATCGAGCTTTGTAAATTGGTATACTCAGATTGTGCGATCGGTGATCGAACTTACACGCGCCGCTCCAAGATTCAGATAATCGCCCGTCACAACACATGAAGCTGGTCTGAGCATTCCACCGAACGCTCCACGGTCACCATGCGGTTCACCGACCACACCTCCCTTTTCGCCTCGGTCCTCCTATCAATTCCTTCGTTCTCGTCAGCCTTCTATCTTCCTGGTGTCGCCCCGTCCTCTTACGACAAAGGCCAATCCGTCCCGCTCAATGTCAACCACTTGACCCCCGGCCTATCGCGCGACGACCAACTCCATTCCGTCTTTTCCTACGACTACTATCATCCAGCGTTCCACTTTTGTCGGCCGGAAGGTGGTGCTCAAGATGTGAGAGAATCACTGGGAAGTATTTTGTTTGGTGACCGCATCCGCACCTCTCCGCTGGAGCTACACATGGCGCAGAACGAGACATGTAAAGCAATTTGTGGGGAGGTGGTATTTGACGGGCGAAGCTCCAAATTTACCAATCGCCGCATCTCGCAAGGATACAACATCAACTGGCTGGTGGACGGGCTGCCAGCGGCACAGCTGAACTACGACGGCAACACCAACACCCAGTTCTACAACCCGGGTTTCTCGCTAGGCGACGTGGATGAGAATGGCCAATCTGTGCTCAATAACCACTTCGATATCGTGATCGACTATCACCGTGTGGGTTTCAGCGGTAAAGACAAGTACCGGGTTGTTGGGGTGCTCGTGCAACCCGAGTCTCGGCTCGATTCGCGAATTCTCGAGGATGGCACTGCCGAGTGCGGCACCCAAGGAAACCTCCTCCGATTAAACGAGGATGGAGATACTCCAGTGATCTGGACCTATAGCGTCTACTGGAAGGAATCACCAACGGCCTGGGCTACCCGCTGGGACAAGTACTTGCACGTTTATGACCCGAAGATTCACTGGTTCTCCCTCATCAACTCTGCTGTCTTTGTCGTTTTCCTGGTGGGAATGGTGAGCATGATTCTTATGCGCGCGCTCAAGAAGGACATTGCTCGCTACAACCGCCTAGACCAGATCAGTCTGGATGACCTTGATGGCACATCGGCCGCAGTTGAGGATGGAATCCAAGAGGATTCTGGGTGGAAGCTGGTTCATGGCGATGTTTTCCGTTGCCCTAAGTCTCCTCTGCTGCTGAGTGTTTTGCTCGGCAATGGTGCTCAGCTGTTCATGATGACTGGCGTTACCGTCGGTAAGTGATAGATTTTCTCCTGTTGTTTTCCTTTCTCCCTTCTTTGCAATTGTCTGACCGCAACCCTTTAGCATTCGCACTCCTCGGTCTCCTCTCACCAGCCAATCGTGGCTTTTTAGCTACTGCCATCCTCCTTATTTCTGCACTGTTCGGTGCCATTGGAGGCTACGTCTCGGCTCGCGTGTACAAGGCATTTGGCGGCGAGGCGTGGAGGCGCAACATCGTCATGACTCCCCTCTTGCTTCCCGGGGTCATTTTTGGCACCTTCTTCCTCCTCAACCTGTTTGTCTGGGCTAAGGGCTCTAGTGGTGCCGTGCCATTTGGCACCATGCTCGCCTTGGTTTTGATCTGGTTTGTCATCAGCGTGCCCTTGAGTGTGGCAGGTAGCTGGGTTGGGTTCCGGCAATCGGTACGTCGAATCTTCATCCCGATCGTTTCTGACTTCTATTTCCATGCTAACTTGGTGTTTAGCCAATCGAGGGTCCAACCAAGACCAACCAGATCCCTCGTCAGGTTCCTCCTATGTCAGGCAGCCTGCGTACTATCCCATCCATTCTCCTGACAGGCATTCTTCCCTTCGGCGCCATCTTCGTCGAGCTATACTTCATCATGACCTCCCTCTGGACCAACAAGATCTACTACATGTTCGGATTTTTGTTTTTGTGCTATGGGTTAATGATTATTACTTCTGCGGCCACAACAGTCCTTCTTGTATACTTCCTGCTTTGCGCAGAGAACTACCGGTGGCACTGGCGTGCCTTTGCGGGTGCTGGTATGACGGGTGGCTACGTCTTCCTGAATGCCCTCATCTTCTGGGCTACCCGCGTCAGCTTCGGCGGCCTGACTGGTGCAGTGCTCTACGTGGGTTACTCGGCGTTGATTGGCTTCGTCGTCTTCATTCTGACCGGTATGTGGCTCCGGCATCCCCTTCGACTTGACAGTTCACTAATGCTCCCTGCAGGTTCCATTGGCTTCTTTGCCAGTTGGGCATTCATCCACCGTATCTACGGTTCCATCAAGGTGGATTAAACAACGTGTTATCGTGGACCCGCTTTATTTAGCCGTCCCTTCATCCGGGGCAACCCGCCCCGGCGCTTGTTCTCTATTTTCTTCGCATGTTTTGATAGCCCTAGAAATGATTAGCATTGTCCTTTTGAATATTTTTACTTGCGCCTTTTCTCGGTTACTGGGATGAGATGGAAAAGCCTTGGTGGAAGAGAGGGCATCACAAATGTATATAAAACACGTGTGTGTACGGAGTTCCGCGGCAATTACAAGCGTAATCGTGTCATTGCCAAGCCACGCCTGTCCCCCCGGATGGTCTGGACTTCCTCCTCGCCACATGCTCCAAATTGGCTTTATTTTTCCTCCCCTTGCAGTGACACTCAACTCGCACATTTGCTCGCATTTGTACGATCCCTACAACCCCTGACTCTTCCTACTGTCGGCCGGTCGCTTCGCTTGAGACTCCTGCACAGCCCCTCGTCTCCAGCCACGCCACAGCATCACAACTCAGCCACACATTGTCTACCCCGCGTCACCGATTTCCGTCGCCCTTTTTTGGCGCTCACTCCGTTTTTGACGATCTCGCCGAGTGTTCGACGTACATGCGCTTTTGACCTTCTGTGTCAGTATCGGTTTTGGGTGTTTGATCATGGGCAAGTCGTAAGTCCGATCGGTCCTCCCGTTACCCCTCACTCCCGCCTGCGACGCGCCGCAATCAACTCGGGTGGAAGGGACTGGGACTTCGACTTCGGAGATGCTTCTGCGGTGATATGACTGTGGCATCGTCGCGACCGGGTCTTTCACATAGCGCTCTGGGCGGGCTTCGGGTTGTTGCGAACATGAATACTGACTCGGGGTTCGCAGACAATCGAAGCTTTCGCCTTCGCAGCTCGAGGAGCTGCAGAAAGCCACTCACTTTGATAAGAAGGAGCTCCAGCAATGGTACAAGGGTAAGTGATTGATTTCTGTAGTTGCACAGGGTATTCTTTATCCAGCAACTCTTTTGACAGTGGACGTGACTGATCGTGGGCGCTCTGCATGCAGGATTCTTGAAGGACTGCCCATCGGGCACCTTGACCAAGGAAGAGTTCCAGAAGATTTACCGGCAATTCTTTCCTTTCGGCGACCCGTCATCGTTCGCCAACTATGTATTCCGGGTGTTCGATTCAGATAACAGCGGCATGATTGATTTCAAGGAATTCATCTGTGCGCTGTCGGTCACCTCGCGCGGCAAGATGGAGGACAAGCTGGACTGGGCATTCCAACTGTACGATATTGATGGGGATGGTAAGATTACTTATGACGAAATGCTGGCCATTGTCGAGGCAATTTACAAAATGGTACGTCCTGGTCGAGGGAGGAGGCCGATAGGCCTCCTCACTGTGGTCCTTTTTTCTCTCGGTTTCGCTGCCGCGCGCGTTGGAAGATTACTGACGGTTCGCATAGGTGGGATCGATGGTCAAGCTTCCCGAGGACGAGGACACGCCGGAGAAGCGGGTGCGCAAAATCTTCCGGATGATGGACAAGGACGAGAATGGCAGCTTGGATATTGAAGAATTCAAGGAGGGTAGCAAGCGTGACGAGACCATTGTCAGCGCCTTGTCACTGTACGACGGGCTGGTATAGTGTGCAAGGGTCGCTTTTGAAGAGGGCGAATGCGGCGCAATGTGATCTTTGTTATTCTATGTTGATGCTTGACTTGACCATTTTTTCTTTCTTATTTCTCTTACTGGGAGGTCTGGGGGCCCATTTCTTTTCTGGTTTCGCATATGCGTGCTTCGTTCTCGGTTTCTCTCTCTTACTGGTTCTTTGATCTTCTTCGTCATACCATCATCCCCTTGATCGCCTTACATGTACATGAACCAAGTATCGGGTATTCAGTATACCCGGGAATACTCCAGTCGTTGTAGGATCAGCAATCATCCGACGTTCCTGGTGGAAATGTTCTTTCCAGTCTGTATCCTTCAGGCTTTATCCTTGTTGCAACACCCACGGATTCCAGTCATGAAGTATAAAAAAGCCGGGGAAGCAGGAAACCCACCGGCACATGACTGGGTCTCGTGACCAGTTCTTCAGCCTCGTTTCAGCCGCATCCAACGAGCCTCTTTTTTGACGAGTCTCACTAGTCACGACTGTATTCCACTTTACTTCTTGTATTACTTTCAAAAGGGTCATTAGAGGCTGCAATGGCTCGATAATACCAGGCTCGTCTTCTCGAAGGACCCCTCCCGCTGATAAGACCAACTTTAGCTTTGGACCCGCCAATCAGTGCTGTTTCTCGGTGAGTCGATGGATCTCATCGCCCCCAACCCCATACCGGGAGATGACCACATTTGCTAATCTAAATCAGCCCGCCGTGGAAGTTTATCCTTCTCCTTTCCACCCCTTTCTTCTCAATGCCGACTCTTCCGATTTTTGGCTCCCCTTCATGCCTTGACAAGCATGGTCCCAGCGCCCCGTCGCTGTCTTCGATGCGCCCGTTCATCCGTTCAGGTGGGTTCTTACCCCCTTTTGTCTCTCGTGTTCCCCCTCTTGTACTCTGTACCCCTGCCCCTTTACCCCCTCCAAAGAGGCGTGCCAATGGCCCCATCTGCACGTTGCCATGAGGATGTGACAGAGTCCCGATCCATTAGTCGGAGCCTCAACCCCGCTAAGCTCGGCGGTGTCTGACATGTGGGCCCTGCACCTTGGGCCCTGGCCGTTGCCGCATTATAGCGCGGGGGAGGGGTTTATCCATGATTCCAGACAGACACATTCGAGATTTGTCAAGGGCCGTGACATGTAAAGCCCAATGCTCATGCCGCTACTCGAATACTCTCGAGCCTTCTTTTTCGCAATGGGAATTGTCTAACGTTTGTAGTGTGACGGGAAATCTCCTTGTCTTCGGTGCCATAACTCTCGTCTTCCTTGTCATTTCGAAGGTGACCCGCCCAAGGTCCAGAAAGCAAGCTCCGACCTACCTTACCGATCGCAATCAACTTCAGCTTCCTCGTCATCGTCAACCTCTCAGCAAGCCCGGTCGTCGAGCCAGGAGCTATTATGGATCTCCCGCGAAGGCCGAAGTGACGCGCGCTATTTGAATCTATCGCCCAATCACGGAAACGTTACGCCTTCGCTCGTCGCTAAGGCTGCGGCTGCGGGGCAGATTCAATTGTATATCAACTTTGTACTAGACGCGTATCCATGCTACTTCAAAGCTACCGAAACTCGAGTACCGATCAATTGGGTGGAATATGTCGCCGGGAGAGAGAGCGGCAGCGCGCCTTTCGATCTAGCCGTCCGCAGCATAACCACCATGTATGCCGGTAGTCGGCATAACGACCCTTACTATGCCGATGTTGGTCGAGAGTTTTACACCAGGGCGATACGCGGTCTTTCTGCCGTGTTGAACGATGAGTCCAAGGCCAAATCGGACGAAGCATTAGCCACTGCCATCACTCTTGCGGTCTACGAGATGCACTGCTGCACCACATCAGATGATTGGATCCATCATGCTGCGGGTATCCGAGCTCTGATGCGCCTTCGAGGGCCCCAAGCACATTATAGCGGGTTTGGCTGTGCACTGTACATCGCATATCGCAATACCCTCGTCACGTCTGCGCTGGTCAGTGGGGAGGATTGTTTCTTAGAGGAACCCGAGTGGCAGGCTCTCAACGAGCATATCGCTGCGGACAATGCCAAGCAGCCAGATTCCTCGGTGTATACGGACATCACCGAACGTGCTTTCCGGGAGGTTGTCAAACTTCCAGGATTTGTGAAGCGAACTCGTGCCATCCAAGGTCTCTCATTAGGTGCACAAAAACGCGAGTGCCCTACACTTCTACGGGAGATCCTCGCCACGCGCGCCTCGCTGCGGGGCATTCACACCGAGTTCAGCATGACAGCCTCCACACTCCGGGCTGGGCGAGAACCGAAAACCGGTTTCATCGGGCCGATCCCACATCATTTCTTCGACGGATTCTCGACCCTGACCATGCAGGGTATTCGCTCGAGCATTCTCCTCCTCAACTATGTCATTATCCTCCTCGACCCGTCGCAACGACCATCCGCGGAAGCAGAGAACCGGATTATCGCAGATCGAATGCGAGCTGCGAGGGGTTCCCGGTCTGCCGATAGCCTTGATGGGTCATCTTCTCCTTTAACACCCCCGGGGTCACCGGGACGACCGCGGTTGCTGATTGAGTCCCGAGTGACTCCAGAAACACGCCAGCCTCCAACTACCGACTGGATGGATCGTATCGCTACAACCATGGGTATGGAAGGTGTACGAATTAGTCTTGTCGATGACGGTTGAAGATAGAGTGTTTTTTTGCGGAAAAGTTTCAATATTATTAACGATGGTTGGCGCTCCTCTGTGATATCTGGAGCTACAATTGGTTTTCCACGGCTTTAGAGCTCCGACACGGCTCTGTGGGCGCGTTTTAAGTGTTCAATATATATGACATAAATGCTCCGTATTGAATATCTATCAATTTATCAAAGCACAAGGCACTCTTTCATTGCATTGGAAGGAATAGCCAAGCCAGCTTGGTTGCAGAAATCAACAAGGGTCATAGATGTTTGGTCTTGAAGATCATGAGTCGATCTATCGATCTTGGGCAACAAGTCTCCAGCTCGTTCGATCATGTCATAATCTCATCTAATCAATCATCACTTTCCAGTATCCCATGTCCCGGCCAGCCGGGTCGAGGGTAACGATATTCCTCATCCGAACCGCTAAATTCCAAAAATTCGTCAAAATTCAAATTTCCCATACTCAAGTTGAGATGACCATCGTGGGCATCACGCCCCTTAATCCGACCATATAGAAGACCTCTAATTGAAGGGTCCTCAACATCTCTCAACAGTTCGGTCGCTCGTTCATCATCCTGTGGCCAGATATAATGATCCGTGTCCACCATGAGGACTGTCTGATCGACGCCGGACTGCTCATCAATGAAGAATATTGGCATCTGGCAAGAAGTACACTGTCGTATTTCCCAGAAGATCCTCCAGATATCGTCGATAGTCCCGTCGGGAGCATTTTGGTTGCCCTCTTCCCAGGGAACGAAACAACACGCCTTTTGACCGTCGAGCCGTGCGTCCTCCGTGTGTAATTCCGTCTTCAATGCAAGGATATTATCATGCGGGAATTTATTAATCAAGAAGAAGACGGCAAACGAAATGAGTCCCTCTCCATTCACCGGTTCCCACGGGGGAGGATTATAATAGAAAGGTTCATCGGGTCCAATCAAGAACTCCACTTGACTCGATTCGGGCAAGGTCCCGTCTTTCAGACCCTCTTGCAGCTGTGCAATCTTGCCCAGACGGCCGTTGGAATGATTCAACTTGGCCTTGATCATTTGGTCAAGGGTGTTGCGCGCCATGAGGACAAACCCGTCATTGCCATGATAGATCGATCCGAATTGAGCACCGTCAAATGCGAACAACTGGCGCGAGCCGGGTGTGATTGGTGCGAGTAGGTAATTCAAAGGACATATAGCACGATCATGGGTTTCTTTCCAATGATATTCCAAGTCCCGCCGCGTTGCATCAGATTTCCGGTTCCAAGGAATCAATTGAACTTGTATGTCGGCGTGCTCCTGCTCTCTCTTCCGCTTTGTTGGACTCCCGGTCCTCCTTTCCAAGCAACTGTATGCCTCTCGCTGTAGACTTGACTGTATCAGATCTCTTTGCTCTTTTGTCGTAGGAAAAGTGAGGAAGATGACAAGACCCTCTGGTTGAATCTTCACCGGAACTGAACAAGGTTGACTTCGATGATCGAGACTGGAGACGATGCTGACGACTAGCTCGGCGGGCAGTGGCGTCGATTGCAACAATGCAGTTTTTGTCTCTTGTTCGAAACGCTCGCGCCCCGTTGTCATTGCCGTATTGGGGAGAAGAACTGCATGATCGGGGTCATGAAGTTCGAGGCCATAGTTGCATAATCGGGTCGTAATATCGATGCTATTGCCTCCGAGAAACGTATACGAGAGCTCAAATGTATCCAGTAGACTCGGTAGAGTCCCGACATCCGTTGGCCAAATCGTGTGCCGCTTCGCAATGACACGAATGTGTTCGCTCGTTTCGCTTTCTGCGTGTCTGGGCTGGGTTCTTAACATCCTCGACGGTAATCGAATACCAACCATCACCACCGAGAGTATTGGACTCTCTCCCGGTCTTGGGTCACCTTTCAACTGGCGCCTCGTCATCCTATCTGCGAGAAGGAAGCTACACCTGCCATCGCGATGAGCCAGAATTGCCAGCCCATAGATATTGGCTTTGCTATCCCACTGTCCCTTGTTCTCGTAGAACGGCTGTGGCATGCCAACTTTAGGAGGGTGCCATAACTGCACATGGCAAGTATCCCCGATCAAGTGTTGCAAAGTTTGCACAAGGAGCGTTTCGTCGGTATAGTCCAATCCAGCCAGCGAGGCAACCAACAACGATTGCGGTTCCCTCTTCTCCGATGGTGGAGTCTCGTTATCCATCCCGCCCGTTTGCGGGGTTGATGCCTCGTACTTGAGATAATACCAAGGAACTAAGGCAATAAGATGTGTTCTGGGGCTGCAGAAGAAAATGCTCCCGGCATTGCTTGGCCCCCACCGGATAATACGAGGGGCATGCCGATCTTTTCAGCCGCACGCAGAGCCGCACGCAGATGACGTTGGCAGGTCTGACAGATCAAGGCTGGGAAGGGCGAGTGCTGATGATATACGACAAGTCCTAAATTCCTGAGTTAGTTCTGGTTAAGGAACATGTCTGGTGGAAAGATCAGGGCTAGAAAGTAAACACCAAGCTGTCAAGAATTCGGGAACTGTCGTCAATATTGACAAGAGTGCAACATGTCTAGTGCAGTATTACATCCACCATTTACTCTGCCGCCAACGATGATCAGAGAATCGAATCATGCCATCACAGCCGTAGACTACCGTTAAAATAGATAACCGCTCCGCTGCAATCTATCAGGGTTTGATGTACAAAGGGTATCAGCAAGATCCACAAACCTCCCCCCTTCCGCCTGCAACCAGGACGCAATCTAATGTACTGGAATGGAAAGAGGCAAAAGGAAACAAGAAAGAATCGACATAGGCATCACAACACAAACGAGAGCCGGGATTTCTCCCGACTAGGAGGGAAGCATAGGAGCATAGTCCTCGCGGGAAATACAACGGAAGAAAAAACAAAAAAGAATGCGAATAGATGAGACTCGTGGGATGGCGTTACGAAGATATCAGATTGAGCCGAAGGCCAGCGACAGGAGAACAAACTGAAAGAGGTCCGGTGTCCACGGCAGACAGCCGTCGAGTTTCAAGAGGAGCATCGCCACGGACGAGCATCCTTCGGAAGGGGTAGCGGGATCATTTACGGTCGAAGAACCAGCTCGAGCGCTTGCCCGATGCCTCCTGCGATTGCACGCCCGCGATGTTCGCATTCGCCGGCCCGTCCGACCCGCCCCCGCCACGCAGTGGCTTCGCGATACGCGATCCTCCAAAGCTGAAACTCCCGTTGCCATCCATTGAAGGGAGGCCGCGAGTGGAACCCTGCTTGGCAGCCTCCAGGCGCTCCTTAACGGCGGTGAGTTGGGCTTCGAATCTACAAGGATCAGTCAGTATTTACGGCGCTTCGAGCATGAAAATTGAGAGCCGGGGAAGGGAGTCGATATCAACATACCGATGGTTAGCCTGGGTCAGCTTCTCCTGGCTCTCCTGGAGCAAGCTCTCAAGGCTGGCAATGCGATCGTTTCGTGCAAGCAGCTTCCGCTCTGCGATAGCAACCTCCTTCTTGAACAGGCTGTTCTGCTCCACCAGTTGGCGCTGGACGGATGTCAGCTGCTCCAGATTGCGTTCTAGGAAGGCCATCTTCTTCTGTTGGGCGCGGCTGTTGGAGGAGCGTAGCACGTTGTTGTACTGCTCACGTGCGTCGTCCAGAGAAATTTCAAGCTCGACAACCCGCTCGCAACGGTTCTGCAGATCACGCATGAGCGACTTCTTCATGGCGTCGAATTCGGCAATCCGCTGCTCCAGATCGTCGGCAACGGCCCGGTAGGTCGAATTTCCGTTCTTGTTCTCGGGTACCGACTGTCGCATCTTGTTGAGTTCCTCGTCCTTCTGGGTGATCTGCGTTTGAAGGTGCTCGATCGCGGCTGTCTCAACCTCCTTTCGGCGGTCAAAGACCTTCTCCACGCGTTGGAGAACTTCGTCGACATCATCTTCACCCACGTTGCGGGTGATAAGTTCCTCGTAGTCACGGAGCAAGTCATCGAACTCCTTCAACAGGTCAGCATAACGGCTGTCCTGCCCCGCGCCAGATTCGCCTCGGTCATTCATGGTGAGCTCCGCTTGTCGAATGAATCCTTGCGTTTCCAAAAGGCCGGTTTGCAACTCAAGAAGGTCGTCAGGCGCGATCGTGCCCCCGGCAGCGCTCACTTCGTGAAGAGATTTGACGTGTGAGATCCAACCCTGCAACTTGCGCTCGTTCGTAGAAAACAAGTCGTCACCAAGATCAAAGCCAGCCATCATCTTGGCCATCTTCTCCGCCTTCTTCTTTTCCTTCTCATCCAACGCCGCGGTGGTCTCCTTGGCCTTCATGCGGACATCCAGGAGCTGCTGCTTCACCTCATCCAGCTCGCCAGTCAGCTCCGCGTTGGCTTCCCGCAGGCCGTCCATGGTGATGCCCGCCTCCTTACTCTCATACGACACCTTCTCCAACTGCATGCGAAGTTCATTGACTTCAGAACCCAGACGCTCATTGTCTTTGACCGAGCTTCCGGCATTCTCCTTCAACGACTTCAACTCCTCCCGAACATCACGAAGACTACGCTCGACATTGGCAATATGCGTTTCCCTCTCCGCGATCTGGTCCTGCAATTCATTCTCCCGGCGAAGGAACTCCTCGCGCTCGTCCTTCTCCAGCACCAGGCTGGGCGTGCTAGAGCGATCGCCGACGCGAGAGTCGGGGCGGGGCGTTTCCGAGCGAGCAGTCTCCTGCAGGCGGGATGGGGTGCCCGGTCGAGGCCCGCGGAACTCAGCCTTTGCAGCACTCACAATCTCATTGCCCCGGGCTGGAGTCCAGTGGTCTTTGGGGACGCTATCTCCACTGCGCCACTGGCTCACTTCGCCCTCGAGTGCGGATATATAGGTCTCGTAGCTGGTCACTTGAGTCTGGGCCTTGCGCAAAAGCTGCTTAAGCTCGGCAGGGCTGAGCTCGGCATTGACCTTGGCCTTGTTCTTAATCGCCTTGGCACGAACACCGAACCGCAGAGTCGAGATGGTCTCTGCATCGTTGTAGCTACTGGGGGAACAGTTGATAATCAGAGTGGTTCGAGAGTTACCACCCAGCGATTCCTGTAGAATACGAGTGAGTTTTGAATCACGGTACGGAACGTGACTCGATTTTCCATCGGTGAGAGCGTTGATGACCATGCCCAGCGCACTCAAACTCTTGTTGATCTTCTTGGCTTCCTCCAGAGTCTGACCACTGGCTCCCGTCTTGCCAACCTTCTCACTACCGGCCAAATCCACCAAGAACAGCTGGCCGCTCTTGGCCGATCCCGTCTCGACATTCTTCTGGCTGACCGTAATGACGAAGATCGAGTGCGAACGTGATGACTCCTGGTTCATGTTGGTTGCGGCCACTGCTCGAGCATTTCCACCGCGGCGCATCACTTCGTAGACCTCTTGCACACTAGAGACGTACACTTCTAACAATCCTTTGACGTAGACTCCACGGGACTTCTCCTCGTGAACCGGGAGATTGTCGTTCTGCGGCACCAACAAATCGCGAATTCGCTCCATGTAGATCTCCATATAACTGACCCGTACGGTGTATTCGATATTGCTCGGACTCGTCAAGATGCTGGCGAAGATTTGTTCGACAATACGGGGGATAACACCCTTGCCCACGTCGTCATCGATATCGGAACCCATCATGGTGTACGACTTTCCCGCACCGGTCTGACCGTACGCAAACACCGTTCCATTGTATCCATTCAGAATATCGTCAACGGTTGGGCGGATCGAGAAGTCGAAGATATCGGCCTGGGCAGTGTTCATAGGAAACACACGATCGAAGGTAAAGGGGCCGGCGCCCTCATTTGACTAGAGCCTGCCCGTTAGCCAATTCCGTATTCTCGGTCGCGCAATCTGGGAACGTCCGCTCACGTTGATGATACATGACTCCTCATTCTCGAATTCGACAACTGGCTTGCCACCGGAAGCTAATTCAACCTTGTTCTGGGGGCGGAATCTGGCAACCACTGTACGGCGTGGTTAGTCTGACTCTGTCCGCATCTATCGGCCTCTCCTCCACGTTGTGCGTGTGCTTACCCTTAATGGTGTTGGACCCCGAGGACCTATTTTTTGAGTCAGTAATACCCTAGATATCTCCTGCCAAGCATACTTACGCCATATTTGCCGTTCACAGGCTCTCTCCTGGGACAGAACAGACCCCGAAGAGGGGCAGATAAATCCCGGGGGTCGAGGTGTTTCGCACTGCCTGGAGGGTCCAGGGTCAGGGGTCTGCACGTGAGCGTGTGCGCACGTCCAGGAGGATGTATAATAGGGATTTTTAAAAGGGATAAAGCAAAGAAAAGCAGTCAGGCACGACCACTTGGGACGAATAAGGAGTGAAATGGTCGGAGGTAGCAGGCCGGAGTGGATTTGTTGACACACCCCCGTTTAGGACGTTTGACCGACCGCCCCGAACTAAATTACTTGGGACGTGCGGGACAGTCTGCTTGGCCGCTTTGGATGCGCGTAACCGCACGCACTAGTTATGCGCGCCACTTCTATTTCATCCATCAGCTATATTGTCTAGTCCCGGCCCTATTTCATGGGGTATTGGGGTATTGGGTATTTCTACATGAGCTGAAATCCCTTCGTTCTTATCAGACTCCTAACGTATTGATGGCTAATGCATTGAGGCTATGGAACGGAGCGCGAACAGGATGTCGACAGATGCACGAGGGGAGTCATTCAGGACATAAGACAAAAGAATAGAAAACAATAAAGTGCAAAGAAAAGAGAAAAACACGAGGATAGCACGAGACGAACGCAGAAACAAAAACCATGCGCCTTAACCCCACGCTGTGCAGATCAACCGGCCCAAATTTGGTATTTGACACCCAGATATTCTCTAGCTCCACGGCCCGAACCGTATCGTCGGACGAGTCCAGAGGGACGGGCTTTGGGTGTAACTGGAGAACCGAGTTGTGAGATCAAGAATTTCTTCAATCCTCCCAGCTTTTTTCAACAGTCTCTCGCACCCGCTTGATGTATTCTCTGCGGTTGTCCTTGTACAAGTTCGAAGCTTCCACGTTGGCCGGAGATGAGGTGTTGGGGTCGTTGAGGAGACTAAAAGACGAACCCCATCAAAGTCAGTCTTCTGGTATTGTCTTATGGAAAAGGAACGATGTAATTGTGAGCTCGTACCTCTGAATACTCGTCAAGATAGCAGCCACATCGTATGTAGGGCTCCAGCGGTTCTGGAGAATATCGAGGCAAAGCTCGCCGGTTCCATAGACATTGGGGTGGAACATCTGGCTGATGAATTTGACACCCGGTGGCTTGTTGGGATACTGTTCCTCAAAGTTCATCACCAGGCGGAATGTGCCATCCTCGAATGGGGTATCGGCGGGGCCGATGATGACGGCATTCCTGTAGAGTTGTTAGCCGACGGCATCGACCACAGCAATAGCTGAGAAGACGCTCTACACATACCAGGTCATGACATTGTCGGCAACGGGGGATGCGGAAACACCAGCGGGAGGGTCGGTTTGCATGCGCTGTGATAAGAGAAGCTCGTGGTTAGTGGAGGGGCAAATAACCTTCCCAGAGGACCTCTCGGGACAGCGTGGGAAGAGGGGGTTGTGAAGAGGCTATCCAAGTGCTATTGCCTCAAATTCTTCGTGGGAATAATCCTTATCCGAACCAGTTGAAGGTCCGAATTGACACTCAATTTCAATGTGATGCTATCGAACGTACCTTGAAGTCCCGCATCAAACGGCGACGCGCGGAAGTCGACATGATGATATGAGTGTGGATGAGGTGATATAGATGAAGGATGTTGGCAGAAGCTGAAGTTGGATACGAGCAACCAGGAGAGAACTGGAAGCAGAGGGAAGGAAGCTGGGGGATGTTACTGCACGAGGCGACTGGCGATGACTGGAGAAGGAGGAGGGGAGCCGGGAGAAATATCCCAATCGGGCCCGGATTCACATCGGAGAAACTATCCCAATCAATCCGGCTCGCGGAAATAGTCCGAACCCTTCATCAGGACCATGAATCTCGCCTGTAGAATCGGGTAAAAGCAGATCATTTGTTGCGGAAGAAAACTGTCAGAACTTTATTCTGGCTATGGGAAGCATTCCCACCCTATCAGTCCTATTTCGAGCTTCGAGGAGCTTGATGACGGCGACTTATTAATCCGGGGACTTGAAGGTCTCAACATTGTGTCTACATACCTACTACCTAGGACGCTCTACGGAGTTCTTGTTTTTATCACGAGAGAGACCCATAATAATTTCATCTTATACCTGTCATCTTAAGAATTTCGATCCTATGACTTTCTGTGTTGTTACCGATTAATAACTATACTCTTCTTTCAATGTCAGCGAAATATATAAAGCATAGTCGGGGCACGAATAAGGCACCTCGATGGTCACTACAAAAGCTTTCTCTGAAGAAAGAGGAAGATACCTAATGATGAGAAGAATCTCAACCAAAGGATGAGCTTGTACAAATCACCGTCGGCCTATTGCTCAATTGTGGTGTGTATTTTGTACGGTATCTTGAGAGACCAATGATATCATGTGGGCTTACAGCCTCGGCTCAGCGGTTACAGGCGGCAGGCCAGCGGGTAGAGAGGCGGGCATGTTATGCTGCTTATGTTCATGCCATGCCACTTCTCTCCTTCCACTCCCTTCACCTTGTTCTTCCTCGTTGATAACCTCTCCCCCTGAATTGACCGTCAGATTCAATCTCACTTCCTCTCGCCATGATCAACGCCGCAGGGCTGTCTGCCCGTCTCCCTACGCGAGGCGCCATCCCCGCATTCCGCGCTCAGCGACACTTTAGCTCCGCCCGCCCGGCCTTGAAGGAGATCCAGGATGCCTACATTCTCAGTGCCTCTCGTACACCGACTGCCAAAGTAAGACCCTTTATTGAGAGCGGGCTTGCAGTGGCGGCGCCCTGTGCTCCTCTACCTCCACATACTGACCCATATATTCTGTCTCCAGTTCAACGGCTCCTTCGCCTCCGTCTCGGCTCCCCAACTCGGTGCGGTCGCCATCAAGTCCGCCTTGAGCAAGTCCAATATCCCCGTGGAGAAGATCACAGATGTGTACATGGGAAATGTCCTACAGGGATCGGTCGGCCAGGCTCCCGCCCGCCAGGCGTCCATTTTCGCAGGCCTGCCCTCCAGCGTTGAGTCTATGACCGTGAACAAGGTATGCGCGTCCGGTCTGAAGGCCGTTGTGCTGGCAGCCCAGAACATCCAGCTGGGTCTGGCTGAGGCTCAGGTGGCCGGTGGAATGGAGAACATGACACGAGTGCCATACTACATGCCTCGTTCCAGCCAGTTGCCTCCTTTTGGTGAAATCAAGCTGGAGGACGGCCTGATCAAGGATGGTCTTTGGGATGTCTACAACCAGTTCCACATGGGCATCTGTGCCGAGCAAACGGCTAAGAAGTACGAGGTCTCGCGCAAGGACCAGGATGAGTATGCCATCCGATCCTACGAGCGGGCCCAGCAGGCATGGAAGGAGAACAAGTTTGCCGACGAGATCGCTCCAGTGACCGTCAAGGGCAAGAAGGGCGAGACCATCATTGAACGGGATGAGGGCTACGAGAACTTGCGCATCGACAAGTTGACTAAATTGAAGCCTGCTTTCCTGCGCGACGGAACCGGTACCGTGACTGCTGGCAATGCCTCCACCATGAATGACGGAGCTTCCGCCTTGGTGCTGGGCAATAAGGCCCTGGCTCGGGAATTCGGTGGCAATGGTCGCGTCCTGGCTCGAATTGTGTCTTCGGCCGACGCTGCGATTGACCCCGTTGACTTCCCCGTGGCTCCGGCCAAGGCTGTCCCCATTGCTTTGGAGCGTGCGGGTATCACCAAGGACCAGGTGGCCGTGTGGGAGTTTAACGAGGCCTTTGCTGCAGTCATTAAGGCTAACGAGAAGGTGAGATACCTCAGATGACATCCTCGGGATTTCTGGACTCCTAAAATTGGTGCTAACTTGTATATTTGATTAGATCCTCGGCCTGCAAGACGCCAAGGTCAACTTGCTGGGCGGTGCTATCTCCCTGGGCCACGCTCTGGGCAGCTCCGGCTCTCGTATTCTCGTCACCCTTCTCCACCAGCTCCAGCCCGGCGAGTATGGAGTGGCTGCCATCTGCAATGGTGGTGGTGCGGCAACTGCAATGGTTGTGCAGAGGCTGGATCGCGTGGACTAAAGGCCTCCGTCGGACCCAGTCATAACCATCTTCATGATACCCTCGAATTCTAAACACTGAGTAAAGTGTTTCTACCCCCCTTGTATATATTATGGCGAGCCTTTTGTGATCAAATTGAAGTATCAGGTTCCAACTAGAAAAGAATTCAAGATCTATTAGATTTCATCCTTGTTATAGTAGCCACCCGGAAGAGAGCTAAATAGAACCTGTCCACCACGGAATCCATGAAGTAGTCTCAATATCCTGCTGCCTCGCTGTCTTCCAGACAGACTAAATTTCTTATGGAACAGGTGCTCAAGTATAGATAAGAATTTCCATCTACCAACTTGAATCACCAGGAATTACCTCTTCCACTAGGGATACAGGGATGGCGCTAGTCCCGATCGGGTGGGTTCAACACACGGAACCAGCGCGCTTTGCACTGAGGATTCCCTTGCACCTCACTCACCCAAAATGAAAAACTGAGAGGTGCATGAGATCGGTGACTTGAATCTGGCATCCAATATGCCGAGCCCTGTGGATTTACCGTTCTCTCCCTCTTGTTTTGATGCCCTTTCCTGGTCATCAGACGGTGACCTTGCCGTGGCGGCGGGCGAGTATGTCCAGATCCTGGTATGTCGAGAATCTGCAGAAATCGATGCCCGATTAGTAATGAGAGACTAATAAATTTATAGACACCAAAGAAATTGGATACAGATTCCTCTGCTCCTAAAAACCAAGATGAGTGGAACATTACACGCATCCGTGTCAATCTCTTCACTCTTGCCGAGTGGCAGTTTATTCAACCCCAGAATCGAGATGACTTCTCCCTCGCAGCCGAGCAGTCAACAGGTACAGTGGTGGGTGTGGCTTGGTCTCCACCGGGCTTGGCCCGATTTCGCCGAAGTGTGCTCGCTGTTCTGACATCGAATCTTCTCCTGTCTCTATGGGAGCCTGTTGGCATCCAAGGCCAATGGACACGAGTCGCCATCGTGAACCACATCTTCCACCTTGATCCTACAGCACCGGCTCAGCTGACTGGCTTGGAACTACGAAGATCAAATATTCGTTCATTCCAATGGTGTCCACCGTTACTTGCGCCCCGCTCTCAGAATGCGGGTTTAGCACCCGAGTCTGATTCTCGCTGGGGTGTGCACCTACTTATGGTGACCAACGACGCCAATGAGGCCATTCTTCTACGCGTGCTGAGGTTAATGAGTGGGAAAATATCCTCCGTACCCTACTCTATTGACAAGCTGGCACTCTACTCAATGGAGGACGGCCAAGAACGTTATCCGCAAGCTTGCTCCGCATCGCTTCTTCGGAGTGCGCTCCATACCAAGGCACGGGCCCTGTCAGTGTCTTGTGGTCCATGGCTTGAGGTGCCCCGAGCAAGTGAAGATGGATCCTATTCTGCTACGGCCGTTATTGCTACAGTTTTCGGGACACAAATACGAGTTTTCAAGATCACGGTGACCTTGCTTGCATCCAATCCGGTTGATGGTATTATCACTCAATATGAGGCAAGAGCAAGACTCTCGGATCATCCGTTGAGCTCATATTCCTCGAAATGGACCCCACGCCCTGTGAATGGCCCACTCAACTGGGCTTCCACCGTAAGTTGAATTTCAGCCACGCAGAATCAGCACTCGTTGACCTGAATTCAAATATAGAACCAATCGGCTGCGATTACTCTTACAGCTCCCACAAATGTGGGCTTATTGGTCGTATCCATTCCTCGTGCTGTGTATGATGGCAGTGCAACACCGCCCGATGAGCTCGATACCCGTGAGTGGCCTTTATCCTCCATCGCCGACGAGGACGGTGAAGGCCCAAGGAGATACATGGAACCGATTTCGGGTACGTCGGCTGTCAAATTGATTGGTACATTCTTGATTGCTGATAATCTTAGGGATGACTGCCTTGTATGATGAGCAAAGCGGCGTGCTGAGCCTTCATTTAGGCACAATGAGTGGATTAGGAGCCGTTCTAAACCTAGATGAATCTAGAACTGATGGTAGCCCGAGATTACCGCAGTGGAGGAAGATTGTTGAGGACCGTCTCGAACAATTTGATCTCGATCGTGATTTGGGTGGACAGAGCGTCGCCCGAATCTGGGGACTTGCTTCCTACCGCGGCGTGGTTGCCGTGCTCTTCTCCAGGCACCCAACGGATATGATCGAATATAGAGTCACATCCGATGAACGGTCTGTCCTGGCATTTGGCTCTGAGGACCCAGATTACTCCCCGGACATAAAAACACTTCTTGCTCCAATTATCTCGGCCACAGAGTCGTGGTCGCCGGCGGATCAGCGGGAGGCAGCGATATCGTATGTGCTCTCGAGCATGGATGAGACAGCTGCAGGGGATCCAGAGAGCCAAAGGCTCATCTATGCCTCAGCCTGCTGCGCCATTGTTGATCAGAAAGGCGAAGCTATCCGATCTCTTGCTCGACAGTCGTTAATACGGCTAGCAGTCCTGACAGGTGCGGACCTGACCGAGGAAATAACCAGATGTGATGAAGAATTCCCAACATTATCTGCAAAGTCCCTCGAGCATCTCAGCGGCCCGGGGGCACACATGTTCGAAAAGTGCGAGATTTGCGACGCGGGAATTGCTTGGGTTTCAGCCACTGAGGCCCAATGCACAGAGGGCCATCTCTTTGGTACGTTTTGCAATAAAGTCTACTAAACATGACCTCATTCTAAACTGATCCACATTTAGTACGTTGTGGGCTGAGCTTCCTGGCCATTCAAGAACCCGGACTGTCCAAGTATTGCTCTCGCTGTCGGGCAGAATACATCAATGAAGAGACGATTGCTCAAATTCATGAAGGCACCCTCTGCCCACTTTTCAGAAATCTCTTTGAGGCCTTTGATACGTGCCTATATTGTGGGGGCAAGTTTCAGGCCAGCATCTAGATTCTGCCATGATATGTTCTGGATGCAATACAGCGCAATCGTTCTCTAAAAGATCTTGACGAAAAGACTTTCTGGCTGATGAAGGATTTCAATGACCTGGTTCATACGTATTTCATCACCGAGATCATCTATGTTAAACCGAGCAAAGTTCCTGCAATCGGATCCCATTCGTCATCCCATCGACATAAGCTCTCTTTCTGGGCACCTGCCCGCAGGCGATTCAATTTTTGGTCATCACTGAACAAGTCGACCAGCTGATCTGTCAGCTCTCCCGCGCTTCCAAAACCCATCCCATTGACACCTTCTGTCACCAACTCTGGCCAGGCCTCGAACCGATTCCAGCCAACAACCGGCAGTCCCGCGCCAAACATATCGACAACCTTCATTGGAAGGTCAACGCCGCTGCTACTGGTGTGCAGGCTGACACCCAGAGATGCCGATGCCAACAGAGACGCGTAGTCTGGCACCGTTAACCATGCGGTGCGAATGGTAACCTTTTGAAGCTTTCCTGCAGCTTCCAAGGTAGTGATCTGCTTCAGATACATTTCCTTCTGCGGTCCCTTCCCGGTAATGATGGCTAGGATTTCCGGAAGGTGTGGCTGGGCTACGGCGATTTCGGAATACTTTACCAAAGCCTCAATGAGGACGGAAAAGTCCTCATCTGGAGTCCATGAAGTGGAGCTCACTAGGACCCGAACATCGCAATTTTTGAGCAGCGGGCGAACAGACTCGGTTTCTGGGAGAGTTTCAAGGAACGCAATGCGTTCATCTGGGCTGGCAATGGGATGAAAATGGCTCGCGGGTCGGTCATGTAATGACAGAATGGGAGCCTCAAGCTGAAAGTCCTTCTTTAAAACCCGCCCCATTGCATCTGTTACACACAGGTGGGCTGAAGCCGACCAGCCGAAGATCTTTTCATACCAAGTCGATAGCTTAACAAGAGGGTGGGTGTCGCCTAGCTTGAGCGCAAGAATCGAGTATCCAAAGTTATGCCAATCAATGATGAGCCGTGTCTGGCGTAGGAAACAAGACAAGGATGTCACTGCTAGAGTGGGAATAGAGGGTGGATTCTATTGAACATAAGCTTGCGTCCAAGCCATTCTCACTGGTGTTGTCGACTTACCTGTACGATAATCCACCGCGCGGGGGCAGTCGTGTATGCAAGACATTGCCAGAGACAAGCGATCTGGAAGAGAACCTTCAATGGCCCAAATATCGTGAACAGAAGCTTATTGCTAGTCTGTAGGATGGCCGGATGAGGACGCAAGGCAACGATGGTGATATTTGGGTTCGATACAATATCGGGGTGGGGGTCGGATTCTATTCAGCGAAGTATAAAAAACGCCGATTAGCTCTAAAGTCAATGAAGAGGGGCCAATTAGAGGAGAACCGTACCTTTATATCCAATGATAACTACCTTTCCACCTTTTCTGGCAATACTCAGGGCATGGTATTGCATGCGCGGGCTTCGTCCAATATCCCCCAGGACGAGGATCTGCACAGTCGGCTTCTGCTTCTCCGCCTGTCCGGTAGACGATCGGGGTGGGACATACTGCGAGGGGAGCAGTAGAATGACCACCGTCAGCACGCTGGACAGGCAGAATGCAATGGTAATGAGGGATTCGATCATCTTGGGGATGCCCAGTCCACCAGATCGGCCGAGGTCGTTCGCGTGTCCAAAAGTGACGGCGTGCGGCTTATCGGTGCCCGATAAGGGTCACGTGCATAGAGCAATACACTGTATTACGAATGAAATCATGTACTATTGAGAGAGCACCCCGACTGTTGAACATTCTGGATAATACACAGGTCAATGGCTATCAGTAACTGAAAATCATCGGTAGTTATGACTTGAGCTTTTCTCGAGTATCACCTGGGCATCATAGTGGAAACGGCCGCAGACAAGGGCCAGGCAAGTACTGATCTCTTCTGTATTTAGCGGGACGCTATCGTAATGATCGCTATCGCTTGCCCCCCCGGAGGTCGAGGCCTCAGCGCAACTCTCCGCAAACGACTGCGCGACTCGGTGGCCTCCTTTCCTTATTGTCAACCCGTCCCCTCATTTGCCCCGTCGTAGATCGGTGCTCAATACACTCCTTTCCGATTGATTCTCCTGCGCAAATGCTGTATGCTGTTTCAACACCCAACCACCCAATTTGAGCTTTCGTGGCTCCGTTACCGCTCCAGGTTCTTGGCGCGCCGCCCCTGTCCGTCCTGTTCGCCGCCGCTCGAATCCTTTGTCCAACTGCACACCAACACCCAAGGAGATAATGTCAGGGGGGGCGTTGCCCTCGATTGCGGACATCGCTGCTCCGCCTGTTGGACATGCACACGGTCACAGCCGTAGTCGCGGTCACGGCCATAATCGATCTGCTCGCTGGGCGCAACCACCTCCTCCCCTCTCCCAGGGACATACCAATGCCAGCAGCCCACCGCAATCGGAGCCGACCGGCGCTGTGAGTGGCAGCTATTCATATAGTCATGTATCACAACCATCCACGTCTCATCATCACCATTCGCATTCCTCTCACTCGATTGGGCACCATCATCACACCCATACGGCGTCCTCGATCCACCACGATGCGTCGCATGCGCATGCCCACGGCCACGACCATGATCACGACCATGACCATGATCACGCTCATGATGTCAAAATGGGGTCGTCAGCACAAGCGGATAAGACAAAGTCGACGTAGGTCGAAGGCTCTTGGTCATTGAGCAATAGCTGACATCGAATTCTAGAAATGAGATATATACCGGCTCCCTTATCGCATTGCCTTGGATTGCCCTATCGTGGTATTCGCGGAGTTGTGCCCAAACGGAGATCCCAGGAGATTCGACAACTGCATCAATTGGCTCGGCTGAGCAAGTCACATCAAAGGTTGGACTCGTGACTGCTATGGTCCTCCTCACTTTTGGATGTGGACAGATCGTGAGGAAAAATCACCTACAGGGTGGTGGTTTGATGAGCGAATCGTCTATCAAATTGCCAGCGGCCAACCTCAAAACAGCCCAATCAGCTTTGCAGCAAGTCTTCTCCGTCGGACTGCCAATTTACACTGCATTGAAGGTGGGAGGCTTCCTGGTAGCTTTCGCTCTTCTTCTTGCAACGGCCTCTGGGCTACCAAATGTGGTCAACACAACCTTTCAAAGCGCACCCTCTGAGCGATACAGCAAAAAGATTTTTACCATTGCGCTTTTAGTGGCAGTCGTTCTTTTGAGCTTTCTTGGTATGAACCAGCCTTGGGGTTCCTCGCCGCTCATGGGATATGTGGCACTGTTGGCATCCGTCTTTGTTCTCCCCCCTCCCTTTCCGACGCTTCGCTGCCAGGGACCCATCCCAGAGCCGGGTCTCGTTGCTGAATCTATGGCTCAGAGTAAGGCCGCGGATAATGGCCAATCATCTGTCGTTGTTATGATGGATACATCTCTCGCGCTCATCACTGGAGCTTCCCTGGCCGGGTTGACTCTATTATTCTCTCGTGGCTTGCCAGTCAGCTCTTGGGAGCTGATCTACCTTTTGCCCACCGCGGTATCCTTTGCGATGTCATTGATGATCTGGTTCCCCTCGGGCCTTCGTTCGTCTGATAAAGTTGGCCTCGCTGTTAGCACTGCGGCAGCGGCTCTCCTCTCCTCTACTCATATCAAAGACGATCACCTGTTTATCTATGCCGCCCGTGGTATTCTCGCTACCGTCTCATTCTTTGCCGCCCGAATGGATGACAGCCATCTACGCCTAGACGCCCATACGCACACTCACGGCCATAATCACCACCACCATGGGCACAATTCCCATGACAGCACAGAGACTACCCGAGTCACAAAGTGGCTGCTTCATCGCAGTGAGAAATATCCGCTACTGCATAGCATCCTCAAGGAGAAAGATTCTCGCAGCATCTTCTACTTCATGTGGTACGTTGTACATGCTCAAGGCTCTTCTATCCCCTTGCTAATCCTTTCTAGCCTGAATTTTACATTCATGCTTGTTCAGCTGTCATACGGGTTTGCCACCGGCTCTCTCGGTTTGCTTAGCGATAGTATTCACATGTTCTTCGATTGCCTTGCTCTCGTTGTTGGACTTTGCGCTGCTGTCATGAGCAAGTGGCCGCCGAACGCGCGATTCCCATATGGCTATGGCAAGGTGGACACTTTGTCTGGCTTTGCCAATGGTATCTTCCTCATGTGAGTACCTTCCCCCTCGGGATCTCCAATATTTCAACTCTAGACAATATCCTGACAATAACTAGGATCATAAGCGTGGAGATCATCTACGAAGCTGTGGAGCGGTTGTCTTCAGGAAGCCAGATGCACCGTATCGGTGAATTGCTTGCCGTTAGTGTAGCTGGCCTGCTTGTCAACTTGGTCGGCATTTTCAGCTTCGAGCACGGACACCACCATCATGGTCATGACCATGGACATGACCATGCTCATGGCAATGAAAACATGCATGGCATTTTCCTGCATATTCTTGCCGATACACTTGGCTCGGTGGCTGTGGTGATTTCGACCATCCTCGTACATTATTCGGGATGGTCAGGCTATGACCCTTTGGCATCATGCTTTATCGCCATTTTGATTTTCGCCTCGGCCGTGCCGTTGGTAAGTAGCACGGCCAAAACTTTACTTCTCACTTTACCGGCGGATACCGAGTATAATGTTCGTGAAACCCTGGCCGGAGTGAGTACCCTTAGAGGGGTTGCGAGCTACACCGTGCCGAAGTTCTGGCTTGATGATACCAACTCCTCGTCTTCAGGTCATGGCCATGCTCATGATCATACTGGCCATGGCGATTGTGCTCATGGTCATGATCATGGCCACGACCATCACGATCATAGCCACGCTCCTAGCCATGATCATGGCCATAGTCATGACCATGGTCACGACCACGATCATGCGCATGAACACAAGGCCCAGAAAGTCCTCGGAGTGATTCACGTGGTTGCCTCCCGCGGGGCCGATCTGGAAGATGTTCGCCAACGGACAGTGAATTACCTTCGCGAAAAGGATATGGATGTCGTGGTTCAAGTTGAGCGTGACGGAGACGGCCGTTGCTGGTGCGGGGGTGGAAACAAAGGCCCCTGAGTGACGCAAACCAACCTCTTATTGGAACGTCAATTTCGAATCTGTCGGTCAGCATTTCCTACTCGGCCTATTTCGGTATCTTTTGGCCAACCCAGCTGTCTCTAAACCCCAGACGATGTATAAACTGGGGGCAATGGAGTTGGTTTACCCATTTGGTACACCAATCATCAGCACATCACATATGTTCTAAGAGAATACTACATACAACGATTATCTTCTGTCAAACCTACCCCAGTCTTTGCCTGTATCACCCGTAAATTAGACGTGCTCCTGGACGCAGTAGCATCCGTGCTACCAAACCCTTCCGGTCGTCGGTATGAGCCGCCCTTTCCTGCAGATCGTTAGGGACATCATGCATTAGCAACAGGTCCAGGCCGGATCTCAATTGTCTTGTTAGACTGGAAAATCTCACAGAGTCGTACAAATTTTTACCAAGCCTCGGTCGGCACATGATCATGATGCTTTTGCGAAGGAGAGCTTTTTCAGTCTACGTTTGGAGATACCAGATTCAAAGCAAAACGTAATGGTACTGTATTCCACTCCACTGTAAACTCGCAGCTAGCCATCGACAGATACGTATCAAAACCTTTGAAGGCCCGGGCCTGAATAAAGCCGGAAGTCGTCTCAGTAGTTGTCCTACCAACCATCATCGGCCTTTAACATTAATAGATCTACTTCGCCAGCATACCGCTGACACATACTCAGAATATTCAATACCTTCCCATAGTGCCTACAACAAGTTTAATTTCCGGGATAATAGAAGAGAACACAGTAAACTCACATCGAACTTCAGAAACCGAACCCCATGTCATCATTCCCAGCGCGGGGATCTTCCCATGCCGATCAGATCATTCGAGAGGGATATGCAAAGATCTTTGAAGGACAAACGGTTTTTCTGACCGGCAGTACCGGATCCTTAGGGGGCTGTTTATTATATAAACTGGCACTCCAGCTGCCTACACGCAGAATATACGCATTAATCCGCGGGACACCGGAGCAAGCCATCGAAAAATGGAAGAAAGCCATGCCCGATCAAACACCAGCCATCCTCGCCTCGAAGAAAGTGGACTTTATTATTGGAGATATCACAGCAATTGATTTTGGCATTCAACTTTCGGCATTGGAGAAGCTGCGAGATGAGGTCACCCTGGTCATTCACACGGCCGCCAAAATCACATTGCATGCTGGTATTCACGATGCGATTGAGAATAACTGCCTTCCCTCGCTGGAAATGGCTCGCATTGCTTCCCACTTTCGACGGATGAAGCTTCTCATCCAGATATCCACCGCCTACGTGAATAGCTTCTTACCGGATGGCCCCGTTCTCGAACGTCCATATAACCTCTCCGACCAAGATCCGGAGGAGGAATTAGCATCGATTCTCTCGCTAGACCAGTCTCCCTACACGACTCGCTTCGCCTCGACATACGCGCAAGCCAAGTATCTGGTGGAACGACTTCTGCCCCAGCGCTACCCCCTGCTACCAATTCTACTTCTTCGTCCAACGATCTTCGGCCAGGCACTACGCCATCCATACCCGCTGTACGGGCTGGAAAATTCAACACCCGTGAACAAATTCTTCCAATACTTCATGGCAGATCGAGGCGCAACGCAGGTCTGGCATGCAGCAGAGGGATATACGACTGGAGCGAACATCTTGGACGAAATCCCCGTCGATTTCGTCGCAAATGCATGTCTACTTCATGCCGCAGCCCGTACAACGGGGATCGTCCAAATCGGCTCTGAGTTATATCAACCGTTGACATTCGATGAGTACCTGGAAATTGCGGTTTCAAATGCCCCCCCTGCGATTCGTCGTGAACTGCCACAGGTAGTTTTCACCGAAGATCGGAGTGCACCGCAATGCTTCTTGGCGGAGTTGGTGCAGGTTGCGTCTCGCAATTGGCTGTTTGATTGTGGGAGGTCTTATTGGCTGAAACAAATTGGTGGACCGCTTAGTTTGCGAGCGGATAAGTTTGAGGTTGAGGAGGTGAACAAGATGCGGATTCGACAGATTTATAAGCGTGCGATGGAGAGGGCAGAGAGGGCTCGGATGTGACAGGATAGGATGTCGTCCGGACGAGTATACTTTTACGAGAGACTGTCAAAATGGTGTTTTCATTTTCCATTGAATCGATATATGATTGATATATGATGACAATTTGAGGTCAGAAATGTAGGAGGGAAGAGCTTTTGGAGATGTACTGTACATGCTGTCCATGATAATCATAAAAGGCACAAGGCGATTCTATGGACAGGCCATACCCAAAGGCAAGTAATCATATCTGCATCTGTCCGGACAGAAATACACTTTTCATACCAGGGCTGAAGACAGCTAAGACTCAAGGTCAAGTATTAATGACACACCCCATTGAAAGATGTTTCATAGCAGGCGGGCTCATCGGCCGTGCTGAACCAAGCCAACACGGCTCGCAAGATGTTCTCCGTCCAGGGAGACGAGAGGGTGGTTGCTTAAACCACATGCTGACCGACAGCCGTATTGACCGAATGAGGCGCTTTGGGGCCTGGGGCTGAACACAGGGTGTCTTCAATCAAATCTCACCAACTGAGAGAGCCACGGGAGAGACCCGGCGACGACTGGGACCACTGAAGCTACTCGGTTGGTCGTTGAACGTGTCTGCGTTGGAGGTGAGGTCCATCTCAACCACGATCATCATAAACCCATTCTTCGTTGAGGCCATGACAAGTACTCCGTCCACCGAGCATCCGCAGGGAGCAAAACTTGCAGCAACTCCAAAACCAATGATTTGCCCGAATTCGACGCCCACCACCACCGGCCATCCAGCTCGCCTAGCAAGACACCCCAATGCATGAGGATCAGCAATGCCAGTGGCTGTTGGCGCCGCACGTTATCCACAAATTCCTTGTCGACGGCGGCTAACCAGGCAAGCACTTCCCCCGGATCTTGCGAGCTCGCATACAACGTGTAGCAGTCGCGAAGATGATCGATGACTTCTTTATTGATAAGATATTGTTGTGCATCCATACTAGCCACGGTCTCTTCATTCAACATGGCGAGCCGGTCAAAGGCAGCCGATGCGTCGCTGTCCAATTCAGTCGGACCCATGGACTCATATCGTTCCTTCTGGCGAGAGTAGAGGTTGATTTTAATCCAGGACCGACCGATATGAATAATTTTCTTCACACCTTGGAGGAGCTCAAACACCAGCAGGATGTTCTCGGTCATGTTAGAGTTATCATCGCGAGGGGCCGTGACTCGGGGCAAGGCGATGCCAATAACCGTGGTGACGATCGACTGCGCTAGTACGGCCTCGCAATTCTGCGGCGTGAGGTTATCGATAGCGGCACGGAAGGGCGCAAATGACAAATTATGATACTGGAGGGCGGTATCTATATACGCCAAGGAAGTAGGCGACTCGGTCGTCGTGGCAATATGCAGGGCCGCCAAAGCCAGAATGCCGTTCATCAAAAAATCATATTGCAGAGCCAGACGCGGGATCACGATTTGCCATACGTGGAATTTGGACTCGGAGGTAGACACGGTGCTGAAGGTTTCCGTGGCGAATTTATGCATCAATTCGAGGTCCCGCACCCCGGAGATGGCGGACGGAGTGGAGGCCGGGCTGATGGGCGCCAACGGCCGGGGAATGTCCAATTCTCTAGCTGGGGCGGGCGCATTATTACGTCTTCGCGTGCTTGGTGCATCGCGCGGCGGGGCTCTTAAATAGGTGCAGCCGAGTTCGCGTGAAATACAATTCGTGCACGGAGGGCCCTTTTCGTCGCACTGTGTTTCGTCAGCCGAGTTCCAGCGAGTTCAGCCAGTAGGAGGTTTGGTAGATAAGACGTTTGGATGTGTAGGACGGGGGGGGTGGTGGTGGTGGTGGTGGTAATTATTGCGCGATCCGCTCGACGGTAGGTGCGCAGGGACTGGAACTTCTGGAAGGTCTGGAACCTACCTTGACCCGGCGTCGCTTGCATTGGTCACAGCCATTGCGAGACTTGGTATGGGCCCTTCGAGGAGGCATGGCGACCGCGAGTTGTCGAAACGACGTCGCGCCGCGACAGAAAAGGCCGAGAGTCACGTGGCATGGTGAACGCTGCTTCGTTACATTCACTGGGGGTTCCCTAGGTTTATCTCCGAGATGATGATAAATCTCAGCACTGCCCGTCAGGGTCCGCGGGGAATGGGGATTTATGATTCCTCTTCGAACAGGAGGAGAATTGAAATCCTTCAAAAGGGTCTTTCAGAAAGATTTGGGTCCACCCTGGGAGATCAGCCCGTGGGAATGACATACGTCGAGTCGCGACTAAAAGAGCCTCCAATGCCCGTCCCCAACACCACAAAACCGACTCTCGCCGTTTGCTCAAATTCCCCGATTCGTCATGCATAGCTCCGGCGATAACTCAAGATCTCCGGTGGATACCCGGTGGGGTCCAAATGGTCTCCTCGGGCCCTGCAAGCGAAGCTGCGAAACGAAGGCGGGCACGAAAACGAGAACGAGAGCGAGAACCAACTGGTCCAATCGCCTTCGCGGATAAAGCCCGTTTCATTATATTGAAAGCTCCACCTGCCTTAGCAGCCTCGCGTCAGCGTCAAAGCCTTGGCCAGGACTACGTTCCCCGTAGTTAGTGCTGATCCACGGTCTGACCTTGTTTAAAAGATAACATGGGCAAACAGACCCTTTTCTCTCGCTTTTGCGGGACAGAAAACGTCAACAGGAGCATCAACGCCAGCACCAGAGTTTGCGTGCGATAACTTACACCTCTCCCCAGAGCGTTGAAATCGCTCATCGCTCTCCCCCTCCCTTATCGTCTACACAAAAGAAGGCAATTCAATCTCGGCCAAACCAAAATGCCGAGCTACGCTGATTGCAGCGCCGTCAGCCCGCAGTGCCCTGTCGAGGCCACCACCTACGGCTACTATCCCAACTTTGGCGGCAATGTCTTCTTCACAGCTTACTTCGGTCTCCTGGCCATCTTCCAACTCGGCTTTGGAGTCTACTTTCGCACCTGGACGTTCATGGTGGCCCTGGGCGCCGGCGCGATCATGGAAATGGCCGGTTACGTAGGCCGAGTGTTGATGAACGCCAACCCGTGGAACGAGAGCGCATTCAAGCTCCAAATCGTGTGTCTGGTCCTCGCACCGACCTTCGTCGCCGCGGGTGTCTACCTCACCCTCAAACATATCGTGTTGAACCTAGGTCCCGAGCACTCCAAACTGAAGCCACGCCTGTTCACCTGGATCTTCATCAGCTGCGACGTCGGCTCCTTGATCCTGCAAGCAGCCGGTGGTGGTGTCGCGGCCGCCGCTGGAAAATACAATCAGAAGCTTCTCAAGGCCGGTGACGACATTATTATCGCGGGTATTGCCTTCCAGGTGGTTACGATGGCAGTTTGTGGTTTACTGGGCCTCCATTTCTTCTGGAATGTTTTCCGCAAAGGCAATGGGCTCGTGGGTGAGAAGTCTGTGGATGATCCTACACCGGCGATTTCGCCTCGGCGGATGAGGCTGGTCATTATCGCCGAGGTCTTTGCTTACTTTACCGTGTTGATTCGGTGTATCTATCGGTAGGTGGATAATCCGGAGATCGGAGTAACGGTCTGGTAGCTAACGGCTCGACAGTATTCCCGAGATGGCTGGTGGTTGGGGCAGTCCATTGATGCAGAAGGAGAATGAGTTCCTCGTTTTGGATGGAATGTGAGTCCTCAAGGGAGCCGTGACTGAAATTCATATGTGCTGATACTCTTTAGGATGATTGCTTTGGCCTGTACCGCCTTCACCCTCGTCCACCCAGGTCTCTTCATTCCTTCCATGCGGACCGGTCGCAAAAACAGCACCTAGACGGCCATTTTGTTTTGCAACTAAAATTTCTTTTAATCTTTATTCTCCGGCAATCTGCCTTTTTTACGTGTCCTTCATTGCGTTGGATAGAATCGGGCATAGCATAAATTCACTGACCATAGCATGAGCATATGATGAGCTACGTTGAATACAGTCCCAAGCACACTGGACATAACCCGTTGAAATGCATATCATTCCTTGATCGCTTTCTGGCCAGACCAGGCCAAACCAGGCCAAACCAGGCCAAACCTTACACCATAACATACGACGACCACAAAAGACGTAAAAGAAGACCACGTGCGTGGTGAAAAAAAAGTCCAATTCGAGGCTCCAAACCCCCACCAGAGAGCAGCACTTCCGATTGACTCCAAAATAACCCAAATCCGTGCAACTCACATAACATATAGAAATATAATCCCCCACGGGAAGCATGAAACTTCACCAAGGTTCCATGAATGCTAGATCATTTCACCCATAATCAAACGAAAAGTTCCCCATAAGCGCTCGCTCTTTTATGCAATCAGGAGAGCAACACCACGAGCAAGTAAGCAGAAAGAAACCAAAGGACAAGAATATTGACACTCGGGCGTATGGAAAGAGATGGATGAGTAGAAAGAAGAAAAAACGCAACGAAAATATAACCAGCCATATGCACCCATGGATGAAAAACAAAAAGAAAATATCATAACCGTCGGACTTCGTTTGTCGTTCTTCATTTACTCATCCCCTTGGCTCTGCCGCACGCACCGGCGCACCCGCTTCTTGAACTCGGCCGGATCCTCTCGCCACAACCGCGCAGCTTCCACGTTAGCGGGGCTCTCGTCATTCGGACTGGATAGCATAGAGATGACAGAGAGCAGGATGGTCTCGGGGGTTTGAACGGGCGACCAGCGCTCGGCGGCAGACTCATAGCCAAATTTGTCCTCCTCGGGCGGGTGCAGGATGGAGATGCAGACGTCGCCGTTCTCGTAGACTGCCACGGTGTATAAATGTTAGTCTTCCCAATCTTTTCTAGTCCTCGAAGAGACAAGTATGAATCATGTAGCGAGTCGTCCGCGAGGCATTGGGAATGGCGATCAACTTACTATTCGGGTGGAAGAGGGGCGATTCGAACTTCATCTTCGGTGGCATGTGGGGATACTCGGGCGGGAATGAGAGACGAGCACGGAAGAAACCACCTTGAGAGAACGTTAACGATCCAATCTACGATATCCGATATCCCGGTCGAAGTGAACGGGTCCCTCGTCCGAAGGGTCCCCGCAAGGTAGAGTCAAGGATCACCGAATGATCGACAGGGAAAAGGGAAAAAATCCAGCACATACCTCCATACAACTTGACGTCGTCCGAGATCATCAGCATCACCTCCCATTCAAAGACGTTGTTATCGACCAAGCCACAGCTGATTCCGGGAATGTCCTTATCAGACTGCATTTGCTGCAGTTGGCGGGACAGCATGCGCCCGGCGGGAGAGGTCGCCATGGTGACAGATGCGGAGAGGCGAAGAGGAGAGGTAGTGGAGAGGGCGAGGGGTCTGGGGGGGTAAATCGAGGACAGTTGAGGATGGACGAAGGTTCAAGTTGAGGGGGAGGAGGAAGAGGAGGGGAAATGCAAAAAAGTAATGAAGGCGGTGAGCCAGGAGGAGCGGGGGTGTGTAGCTGGACGGTTTTCCGTTGGGAGAGTTGCAATACGATTGGATCATGTTTTACTTTTGATGCTATTGAGGGTGAATCTGAAGCGGTTTCAACGGTTATCTTGTCGGTTTCTGAATTTAAAGACGTTGAGTAGGGTTGGAAGAACGGTAGTTCGAGTACATTACAGTAGTCATAACTCCGTCTCTAGATCTACAGGACTAGAACGATAGATATTCCAACATCCCAGCATAGGATAGGATTTTCATGCGCTGGGAAATATAAATGCAGTAGAAGAAATGAAAACAGATAGAGCATCAGGAGAGAGTGTAATCGTAAGGTAGATAAATGGTTCCAGAAGGGCAGTCCTCGATACTATGGGGCCCACCATGGAACAAGAATGGCCCGAACGACAGGTCCTCATTTATTTAAGCGGTGGAAGGCTTGGCAGAGCCATCACCCTGGCGGACAGCGTTGGGAGCCATGGTAAAGATCTGGACGAACAACAGAATACCGGCCAACAGGCCCAGGGCAACCTCGATCGCAATCGTCTTACCCATGACCTTGGCGAAGCGAACACGAGCGGCCCAGTCAAAGGTGGTCCAGGCATCCAGCAGACCAATGTGGCCGCTACCACCGACAATCTGGGGCTGAACCTTGCCGCCAAAGGAGCGGTCAAAGGGCACGATGGTCTCGTCCTCTTCGGGCAGCATCGAGGCGGCAACGCGGATGAAAATCACGCGAGCGGGGATGGAGACCACGAAGGCGAGCAAGGCAGGGAACCCCATCACCATCAGGTAGCGGCACATCACCACCATCGAGCTCTCGTTGCTGTCGTCGAACTCGATCCAGCCGGCAAAGCTGGCAATGGCCATGGGGAAGAAGAACGCAGCCGCAGTCAGGATATCCTCCAGGGCAGCGGCGGGGGCAATCTTAATCCAGGTGCGGAAGCTGGGAATGCGCTGGTAGAAGCGCTTGGGGGAAGGCTCGGAGATGACAATGTGCACCCAGGCCATCTGCCAGGTAGCCAGCAGGACGCTGACGATCGACTGCACGAAGAACTGGCTGATGAAGGAGCCGGCGGGGAGAGGCATGAACCCGGAGATGATGCCACGGGCCAGCCCATAGCTCAGGTACATGGAGAGGCCCCGGAAACGGGACCAGAAGCCTGCGCGGGCACGCAGGTGCCTGATGGTGGTGCGCAGCTTGCTGGTGACGGGTTGGGGAGAAGGAGCGAGGGCGGCATGCTCGGGCTCGTTGGGGTCGAAAGGCTTGGTTGGGTCCTCCTCGGGGGGGTTATCGATGCGGACGTAGACATCCGGGTTGGAGGCCTCGACGGCGGCAAGAGTGGCTACGACTTGACCATACGTATATTCGACCTAGCGGCGTCATCAGTCAACGATTCTCTCTACTTCTTATTGACACTAGAGAACTTACTGCCCACATGGCAAAGCTGAAGATCAAGACGGTCAGGGCCAACCCGGCAGCGAGAGCGCCCGAGATCTGCTCGGGCTTCTTCTCGGGGTCCTTGAAGTGGGCCGAGGCAAGCTCGGTACCCCGACGGACGAGATGTCCCGCGATGGAGGACATGATGGGGAAACGGGTGGATGATATAGAGATGAAATCAGATGGAATAGATGAAATGGATGGAAAAAGACGAGGGAGTGAGATGAAACGAGAGTGAGATTGATGGAAAGTGGGAGGAGGAGGGGGCGGTGCCTTTTTGAAGGACCAAGCTCACGCAGGCAGCGGCGGATTGCGGCTCCGTTAGAGACGTGCGCGAGTTAGCGCCGGACTGGGGAGTTGGGCGATTAAACTAGTGGCAGTTAGTCCTGGATCAGAAGCAGTTTACAATCGTGCTTGAGATGGCCGAAGTCTCCACCCTTGATGGAGCAGCCATAGGGTCCAGATTGATGAGGCTCTTTTGAGGATTACTGTATCTACCATTTTTGACGTTCTGAACAAGTCCATACTCCTGCTATTTCTACTTTGCTATGACTGGTGATAGGTATAGCGAATTGCTCTCTTCCATTACTGCCCCGCAGATAAATGACTCTTGTCACCTTCTCTCGCGTTTGGGTGTCAGACAAGGTCTTCGAGTAAATATAGAAACTCGTTGCCCCCCTAAACCCATCGGTGGTTTTCATCTCCGACCGTGCCGAACCAACAAGAGGAGCCTTGGGATTGGCCCCCGGAGGCAAAGAGGGGCTCGATGAATTTCATCAGCCAATCATGATTCGCCTCGCTTACCCCCTCCGGTGCGCCGCCAGGGCCCGTGCAACCAATCCGGCTCCGAGCTAGACTCGACAGCTCCCTCTGCCTAGAACAAAGGGAACAAAAATTATCATCGTCAATGTCCGAGCAGTAATCAAGAAAAAAAAAAAAAAAAGGGCAGAGAAGAATTCAACATAATTCTATCTTGCAACTATCTGGCAATGCTCTCGACATAAAACGATAAAATATTCATCGAGAGGTGGAGTTCATGACTCGAGAATCGTCAACAACCCCAATCCTTCCCGAGTCAAGAATGAGACCCCCGACGAACGTGGAAAGCGGGGCCTTGTTGAGCCCCCACGACGGAGAAATGCCGAGCAAGAGCCCTAGAAGAGTGATAAGATAGCTTTTTTTTTTTTTTTTAGAAAGTTGGCAGCTAGAATTTATGTAGATAGTCAACTAATACATCCGTCTTTCAGGATTATATTGAGCAGCTTTTTTAGCACTATAGAAAGTAGCCTAAGATAAAGTCTGTATCCTTATTAACTACAGAATAGGGCGACATCCGGTTGTATTTGGAGAGCTACAACCACGATGAAGCCGATATAGCCTGTCTGAGGGCGCATGTTGACCTTAGGAAGAGAAGATAACTTAACTACTTTAGGAGGAAAAAGCGGAAGTCAAGCAAACCAGTATTATGATATTTTGGATTTCTTTTTTACTTTTTTGATATCGGTTTTCCTCCTCCCTTACTCCACTTTCGTTAACATTGGTTAATGTTCTCCAACAGTCACCTCGGGAAACTCCCTACTGGACCTATCTAGTAACTCATATTTCTTCCCCTTCAAAACGGAGTCGAAAAATCGGCTAGTATAGGCGCCAATTACCTGAGTGGCTCTTTCCGCGTCAATACTCCCCAGGAATGCGGCGGCCTCTGTCGGAAAGCGCTCTCTCAAACCGATCAAATCAGCAGCCTCCGCCAAATCCGTAAACGTACCATGCGTACTCCCGCTAATCGTAAATCCTCTCTTGAAACCCTTCAACCTCGGCCACAGTGTAGCCCAACTCACATCGGTCGTCAAATTCTTGCCTTCGTGCGACATGATCATAAAGGGCTTATCCAACCCCCGGTCGACAACGGAGCCGAAAAAGGTACCGTCCAGATTGATGCCCCCAACGAGACGGGAATCAGAAAGCATAGCTTCAGCTGCGGTGGCGCCGCCCAAGGAGTGACCGTAGATCCCCACTTTAGAGGTGTCCAATCCGCGAGTTCGGCCTGGGATGAGCCTTGAGATGACCGATAGACGGTTGACTTGGTCGAGGACGAATGATACGTCTTTCACGCGGACGTCCAGGTCATCTAAGATTTGGGTATCGGTTGTAATATTTGCAGCGAGGATTGTGCTATTGTCTGGAAATGTGACGATGCCTGCGTCGTAGGGATGGTCGATGGTTATGACGATGTAGCCAGTACTGGACAGTCTGTGGGGAAGCAAAAGTTAGAAGACCTGTCGAGTAGAGGCCTAGATGAGTGAGAAACGGAAGATAGGTGATACGGACTGCTGTGCCATAGCGCTGTACAAGAGTCGAGAATTCCCCAGGCCAGGTGAGAAGAGAACAAGCGGATAATCGGACCCTTTGACGCAGCGACTGGGATCTGAAGCCGGACAAGACTTGCAGGTTTGGAGGGTCAGTGAGCCGAAGGCGCCGGCTGGGACACCAACCGGTGCATACTCTTCATCCTCGAAGGTTGCGCTGATAGGGTCCATGTAGGGCGTCAGTGAGAGGCAACATGCTGCTGGAGGGACGGGATGAAAGAGAGAGATCATTAGAGTACGAGGCTGTGGTGTTGGAGCGTACGGATCCACACGATGATGATCAATGAGCTGGGTTATTGCAATGCTGGTATTGAACGAGCCTACTGCGGCGGGGAAGGATACGGCGCCGATGCTTGGGAGAAGCTGGGCAAACAGACCGGCAAGCAGCAGGCGTTGTTTCGAGACCTTGAACATCATATTGAAAAATTGAAGCGCAAAGGGCAAGAAGAATTGTGTTTTAGCAAATAAAATAGGAGGCACTTCTTCGTCTTATAGAAGATTTTAGAGTCAACCCTACGGTCCCTCCGGCGCCCGTTTGGTCCAATGTTAGCCGGGACATTTGGACGTCTATACTGCCTAATACGGCAATGATTCAGCGCATTCATGAATTATATCCACAAAGGTGTGATAATATGCTCGTCCGTCGCTCCTAACTTGGACTGATGACTGTGGAGGCTGAGGTTCCCGTGCCAAGATAACTGCGTTCGAATGATGCCTTTTCAGGAAAGGCCGGGAAACTTAGCGGCGGATCGCTTGGCATAGAACCACGGCAGAAATAGTGGTAGATGGTATTGTCGAATACCTAAGAGACCGATTGGAGAACGTCTATACTGTTTCAATGATCCTCCTGAATGCGATACCATAATAACTGCTATATTGTGGCATAGATTTTCCCAGTTCCTGAGAGCACAAACGCGATTGTTACCATACACAAGGCTGGTGGAGCGGTGCTGATTCAGCATGCAAGCCTAATCATCCAGTTGCCGCTCCGTTCAAGTCGTGAAGAGTCACGAGGCATTTCCAGGTCACTTCCTGCACAGAATGCCCGGAAGTTTTTCCACATTGAATTTCCAGAAATGGTGGTCCTGGGGCCATTCGATCGGCGGACGGCTCGCACCAGATGCATGGCCTGTGCACGACGCAAAATCAAGGTCAGCATTTCCTTGCCGGTGAACGCTGCCATATTCTAAACCCCGGTAGTGCGAAGGCGGTTCTCCCTGTCAGTATTGCATGAAAAGAAAACAGCAATGCGTTCCTCAGGCAATTCAGCCCCAGGCTAGTATAGTCTTTGTTAATGCCTCGGCACCATGCAAACGCTCGGGCTGTCTCCCGCTCGCCCCCCAGCTTCCTACGCTGAGGCTCTGCCCTAAGGTTTCAGAAGGAAGCTCAGCTCTCTTTGTCAAGCATTTCTTCTCCGGCTTTCTGGCCCGAAATGACTTTGGAGGCCCCTTGGACCTTGGCACTATCATATCGGAATTCCAGAGATCTCCCAGCATGTATCATGCATCCATTGCACTGGGTGCACTTGATCTGAGCAGGAGGCCGGTGCCGACTTTACCCTCGGAAAGGAAAGATGCGGCTGTGGAAGCATTCACAGCCTACCACACCTCGATCGCCAAATTGAAGGCCGAGATTATAAGCAACAAAACCCCTAGAGATGTCAATCTATGGACCACATTCTTCTTGGGGCTGTTTGAAGTAGGTGACCGATATATCAAGTGGAAAATATATCAGAAGCTGCATATTAATCTTGCAATTAGCTCATGCATGATGTTACTGGAGAAGGCTGGGTGAAACATTTTCTGTACGGCACGTCCACAATGCTTCAGCTTCGCGGTCCAGAAGCTCATATAGCTGGCCCCGGGCGTTCTTTCTTCCTGACCGCACGGGTCTTTGAGATTTGCCGCGCACTTATATACTCCGAACCTACTTTCCTCTGCCAGCCGGAATGGACATCACTCACGAATAAGATTTGGAACGAGGGTGATAACGAGCACTGGCATCCAAAAGAACTATTATTCGATCTGATGATCGAATGTTCTTCGATAAGTGACCGGTAGGTACACTAACAGGGCCTCTATATCCTATTATTGTATGATTGACCGAGAGCAGCGTATGGGATCTGCTTAAACCGGGCTCAAACTTTCCAAACATGCTCCTTCACAGGGCCCTCCTTGAGCTTGCCGCTGAAGGTTTCGTTATCCGGTCAGCTCTCGCTGATTGGTTTGCGAACTTCCAAAAATGGTCGGCCGGTACTGGCACGCCCATATCTCATCCGAGCTCCGTTCTCGCAACAATCTATTTTCACGGCATTTCCATCTATCTATCCGGTATCTACGACTATCGCGCTCAATTCAACAAAATACCCACTCCCACAATCTCACAGGCTGCTGTTCAGAATCACGTTGATGAGATTCTACGAGTGACTGAGATCTCTTTGAAGACCGGAAACCTGGCGGCTGTGTTGTTTTTCTTTCCCTTGAGAGTGGCAGGTGCAAGAGTAATGACCGCTCGAGAGGCGGAGTCAATTTGTGCGATGCTTGAAGAGATTAAGATGAGGGGTTTCGTGGTTGCAAACGCATTTACGGCGAATTTGAAGTCTGTATGGCTTGAATGACGCTCATTCATGGCTAGGAACTGAATCCAAGGTAATGGAAAGATACCACTGAAGAATTTAACAAGGATCTCAAGTACTCTGTCTGATTCGACAGAAGAGCGAACTAGGTGAATGGCCCAAGAGACGGACGCGTACGAAAGAAACATGGGGATCTTGCGCTGTCGGATTTTCGTTCTCAGAGACAGATCGCAAAGGGAATATAGACATTGAAAGAGGAGCTCCTCATTCACGTCGTGCGCATCGAGGGAGAATGGAAGCCTGGTGCAAGCTTTGAGGTATTCCCGTGCTGTCTGATGAACCAAAACGACGTAATCGCTGGAGTTTATGACCACAAATTGACCACAAATTTCACTGATTGTGTGTTTGAGGTCTATAACCGTCCGGCGTTCCGAGGCATAGGGCTTCATGAGCTCTTCAATTTTGACAGGTCTGGTCGAGTACATGGCCCGAGAAAGGAGTATCTTGAAAAGTGTTGCATTTTCCTCTCTGTCAACTTTTGCAATGGCCTCGGTCATTCCATGATAGAGCTTGTCCATGCCATCTGGCGTTGCCCGTAGAACCTGTTTGACCTCTTCTTGATAATGGCAATTAACGACCATTTTAAGGATGAGACTGGCCCACAGGAAGTTGCCTTGAGAACGAGACGTAATTTCTATGCAGTACTCCGGACGGAGTGCTGTTGTTAGATCTGTGGTCCTGTCAGGCATAACAATATAGGCAGACATGTGCGGGACCAGATGCGGTCTCTTGCATGGCTTACTGTGGGGGCATCTAGCTAGTAGCCACTGTGACTGGACGGATGCAAAGCCGGCACACTCGGACGCATTATGCGGCTGACTTTCACGAATAATCAGACTACTACTCCTCAACCAAGTGCCAGCCACTGCATGGAGTGCCCCAGTTCTCGCGGCACGGCCCATGCGGACATCCGAAATGAGCCAGCTATTGATTGGGTCTGACCGGTCCACCCCTTCCACCATCACCGATCAAACAAACGAGTGTGTATCTGGCATCGTGAATGAATTGATCCACCGTCGTGAATGGGCGGGCCGCGCTAGGCCTATTTAGAGACCCATTCACAAACTCAGATACCGAATTAGGTTTAGTGTATGGTATTAAACAGCCGAATACACATAGTAAGATTTCTCCTTTCCAATTTCCCCTACCTAAAATCTTATACATCTAATTACATAATTAAGAGGGCTTTTATAGTGATGAAGGGGCGAGATAGAATTAAAGGAGAAGCTAGAGTAACTAGATATCTAGAGGCTATCTACTAGACTTTACTAAGATATCTATTAGATATCTACGAGATACCTAATAGACTTTATTAAACATAAGTAGATAAGTAGAGTGTAGGAGAGCTACGGAGGAAGGAAAGTTACGAGTAGGGCTGTATGCCAAGGTATTTAGAGTGGGTCCGCCTGAATAGGAAGCCAAGCCTAATTAGGCTTAGCCGATACCCATTCACGACGGTGGATCATTTCATTCACGGACTCAACTATTCCTCCAAACGTACCACAATAACTGCGGCCCATGATGCGCGATATAAGTTTTCGGGTGATCCATGAACCAGTCTGTGTTTGACTTGTTGATCGCTCATATCTCCCGGTTTGCGTTTGACTCATATCTCCGGGTCTGTGTTCATTTAGGTTTGCCTACCCTACCCGCACTAAAATGAGGTTGACAATGACTGTCCGCGGGGCCGTGGAAGTGATCCTACTTCGGCAGTGAAGTTTGTCCTGGATCCCGTCGTGATCAATGGTTCGGACATCGGCCCAATCTCCTGAAGTTGCATGATTGTTGACTCGGTGCCTCCTTAGCTCTTCCCGAAGGTCAGGAGGTAGTTTCCGCAGAGCGATATGGGAATTCAGCCTGGGCATCCACTGCGAGCATCACAGTGAGAGACAGTGACGGTACTCTGCATGATTACTTCGTAAAGGTAAGTGAGCTAGCTATCTACTCCCGGCCTCATCAGCCTGGTTTGTTGATATGTGCTCGTAGGTTGTCAAAGGGAAACTCGCCGGGCCACGCGTCTTGGGAGAGTTCTCGTGCATGTCTGCGTTGTACAAGACCATGCCTTCCATCGTGCCTGCGCCACGGGGATCGGGGAAGTGTCTAGATTCCGATGATTACTTTTTCCTTTGCGATTACCTAGACATTGACCATCGTCAGCCTGACCCCATGAGGCTGGCCGAAAGTATTTCTGAGCTTCACCGTATTAGCGTTTCTCCTACGGGCCAGTTTGGCTTCCATGTCACTCCTTACGATGGGAAGCTTCCTCTGGTGGCCAAATGGGATAGTAACTGGGTCTCCTTTTACGGAAAGCTACTGGAAGGTGTGTACAAGCTCGATATCCAAATAAATGGGCACCGGAAGAGACTCGACGACGCCATGAAAATCACCTTAGATAAAGTTGTTCCCCGGCTCCTTAATCGCCTATATGAAGAGGGTCGAACTGTCAAGCCGTGCTTGATACATGGCGACCTCTGGGAGGAGAAAATCGGCACGAACCCGCCCATGGGGAACATCTACATTTTCGATTCGTGTGCATACTATGCGCACCGTGAGATGGCGATCGGGATGTGGCGGGTGGACCATCACCATATGAAAGCGAAGTAATACCGTAACGAGTATTTCAAACTCTTTGAACCAGATGAACCGGTCAAGGAGTACGATGATCGGAATCGTCTGTATTCCCTTAAGGAGAAGATTATGTACTCCGCCCATGTGCCTGGTACCAAAGCGAGGGAACAGGCGTTGGAAGATATGCTATACTTGATCAGGAAGTTTGTCAACCAGGCATGGCCATCCGACAGGGATGACTACGTGAATATGCGCGATGAGTCCTGAGATGCCTATATCCTCGGCACCATCGCCCCATTTCTTCTTCCCTTACTCAGTCTTTTATGCCGTTCGGAAATCTTGCTAGACAACTCAAAACAACTTCGGTTGCTTTCGGTTTCTTTCAGTTTCTCTCCCCCTTCTTTCTTCCCCTGTTCTGTCTTAGATAGATCTACGCTATTAGTAGGTATGCCAACTCGAATCTGTCATTTGATAGACGGGGTGCCGTACGTGTATATGTATGGTGTGGGTCACCTGGACTCGAGGTATGTCATGCAGTTGCTGTAATCTACCCTTCTCTCTCTCTCTGATATTGTACCTAGTACTGCCTTATAGTAACTAGAGCGCAAATTATTACATGTTAAGGCTGTCACCCCTTTACCGCGAGACCTACGGGAACTGAAATTTCACGACACGAAAACAGTATCGCAAACCCGCTCTACGTGCCCATAGACGCAGCTCTTTATCTGAAATGATCACGTCCAGACCTACTGTCATACATCCCCGCCCCCCATTACTTGCTCCCCAACTTCATATTCACCTTGGATCCTCGTCTATATGCCGTGTGCATCATGTAGATGGCATCAGTGACGCCTTATGGCATAGACGCCACCAAAAACAAACCAGATCGAACAGCTGCGGTCCCATCACAGGGCGTGACTTGTTAGCGCCAAGAATACTTGGCAAGCCAGCCCAAAGATGACCCCAGAACCGAGTTGTCAAAGAAGAAATGGCGGTAATAAAGAAGATTGTCGCCAATAGAGCATCTTCGATCATGCGGTCTAATTGCCCCCGCCCTTGGTCTTGACACCAGTCAACCCCACCACAGCTCCGTCACTCTATGACACAAACTCACCAACTACCGAGCTTCTGACAGCGACTCCGAGGAACCATGGGATTGAGGTTTTCACCTATACAGGAAAGACCCATCATTGATGAAAGCAATGACCTCAACGTCGGATTAAGTCCATTAGAGCATGATCCGGAGATTCTAGATACAGATGGACGAAAACAGATGGCAGTACCTCCACAGGAGTCCTTGCCCTACTCCGCGTTCAGCATCACACAGAAAAGATGGATCATTACTCTTGTTGCCTTTGCTGGCTGGTTCTCCTCTCTCAGCAAATTTTATCTACTTCCCCGCGATCCCATCCATCGCCTCCGATCTGGATCTCACCACGGAACGGATCAACCTGACTATCACGGCCTACCTCATCATGTCTGGCATCTTCCCTTCTATCGTGGGCAGTGCTGCCGATACGGTCGGTCGACGACCGGTCTTCATCGTGACACTGGCCATCTATGTTGCCGCTAACGTTGGCCTCGCGCTACAATCCTCCTTCGGCCTTCTCTTCTTTCTAAGAATGGTCCAAAGTGCGGGCATCTCGGGCTCATACTCTGTAACGTATGGTGTCTTGGGCGATTTGTTTACCCCTTCTGAGCGAGGCGGGTATTCGGGTCTGGTATCCTTCATTCTCAATACGCCACAGAGTGTTGGACCCGTCATCAGCGGTTTTCTGATACAAAGATGGGGCTGGAGATCAATATTTTGGTTTCTCGCCACTATTTCTCCATGTTGTCTTGTTGCGATTCTCATGTTCCTGCCGGAGACGTCTAGACATGTTGTTGGCGATGGCCGCGTAGCAGCGACAGGCCCCAATCGTGTCATCTTCTCATGTTTAACGCCATCAAAACTTACTGTCGAGTGTCAAGTGCCTACTTCAGGGGCAAGACCTTGCCGGTACCCGAGACCTTGGGCCTCTTTGGCCATTCTACGCTGGCCAGGCACTGCCATTGTAATCGGGTCTGTTGGGGTCTACTATACGATGTACACCTGCATCCAGGCCTCCCTATCAAGCCTCTTTACACAAATCTATCACACCTCAGGCTTAGTTTCAGGCTTGACATACCTCCCATTTGGTTTGGCATGTGCGATCAGTGCTTTTGCCACCGGTACGGTAGAGCTACTATACTATCTGTCTTGACTTCGGTGCTGATTTTCTGGACTTAGGTAAAATTCTCGATATCGAATATCGATCCACAGCCTCCAGATACAATATACAAGTAGATAAGACCAAGAATCATCATCTTGCGTCTTTTCCAATTGAGGAAGCTCGTCTAAGGATCGTCAAATACTCTCTCGTCGTATGCTGCATCCTGATTATTGGTTACGGTTGGTCTCTTCAATATAGGGCCGTAGGTACTGCCATCAAAATGCTTTCTCAAGTCGATTATGATAATTAAAAGCACATGGCAGTGCCTCTTATTCTTCAGTTCTTCATCGGCCTTACCATGCAGGTGGTCTTCACCTCTACCAGCACTCTTCTGGTTGATCTTCATCCCGAATGCCCCTCTACAACACAAGCGACAAGTAATGTTATCCGGTGTGAAATGTCCGCTGGTATGCTTGCCCTGCTAGATGCGCTTCTTGGAAAGCTTGGTCCGGGATGGTGTTTTGTTTTTTTCGTAGCTCTGGCCCTTCTCTCCATACCGCTGCTTTATCTTCTGCAAAGAAGAGGTATGTTCTGGCGACAGAAGAGGTCCCGGTCAGTAACGAATGAACCAGCCGAGGAAGGGCAAATGGAAGAGGACAAAAAGAGGACACCTAGTTAGACAAGAGAAGCTCCCCACCAGCCGTTAAAATTGATTCACAACAGAGTGACTGTAACGGCATTTCCGTTCAATTGAATCATCTTTCATGACATTACCTTAGGGTGCCAGGAAAAATGATGATCAGCATCTTCAGTTAATGGACTACCGCTGGCATCCTTTGAAGAGAGGCCGGATAGCCGAAACACCAGTTCAAACTCTAGGAACTATGCAGTACATTCAAAGCGATTGCTCTCCTCTACTTCAGTCTCATCTCCTCCCCTTCTTCAACCTTCACCGAGTTGCAGATAATTATAGTCTGATCCACGGGGAATTGAAGGCATTGCAGCGATATGAAAGAGAGGGAGCAAATATCAGAGACTTCTGCCAAAGGAAGAATATTCTTTGCAAAGGTGCAGACCCAGCGCCTTACACTTGGCGTAATTTCGAAACATGTCAGCTCGGTTTCACCAAGCAATCCAGCTCATTCCTTCAGCTGGTCCTTCTGTTTTCATCGTGGGAGTCAATATCGGCTCCCATTGCTATCCCTTTACCTCTTACTACTCAGGAAGGCGGCGCCGGAAGCTCTGGGATTGACTTTTCGATCGTTCGAGGCGGGGTAGATGGAATGGGAGGGAAGAATGGTGGCGGCAGATATCGAGTTCATCAGGAGCTGGGCTGTCTTAGAAGGGTTTCAATGGCAGAAAGATCTCTAGGCAAAAGTCACGTTCGACATAGAGTATAAAATAAACGGCTAAAAGTCCCGATCTAGTAAATTACAGGTCCCAATATCACAAATCGAAACCAGCTGTTAGTTAACCATGATACATTCAAGGCGATGAAACAATATCTATCAACTATCCAGCTACTGCCATCCGTGATTCCTATATTTTCGCTTCCAACGGCAGAATCCTTGTCCAATCCATAGAACCATACCCAAAGAAAGACAGAAATGCAAGAATAAGCGGTAAAACAAACCACCAGACAATCCAAGTATACCTCCCAGCTCCCTTCTTCGACGAACTCCCGAGAATAATCTCACTGGCAACCTTGGCACTCATAAGAGCCACGGGAACTCCAGCTCCAGGATGCGTGCTTGCTCCCACGAAATATAAATCCGCGATTGTAGGATGCTTGATCTTGGGCCGGAAACTCAAAACGTTGAAAAAAGAATGCGAAAGACCCAGGATAGCCCCACGATCAAGATTGAATTTCATCTTCCAGCTCTTGGGTGTCTCAACTGATTCGCGGGTGATACTTTCGCGTATTCCTCTAGCTCCAGTTCGAGACTCAATGGTTTGGAGAACGGCTTCTCGAGCACGATTCACGAGAGCATCCCAGTCCTGGGGGTTGGACGGGTCATCCACGATATGGCCCACAGGGACCAATACCACCACGGCATCCTTACCGTTTGGCGCTGCAGTAGGATCAATCCGACTGGGGACATTGACGTAGAAGGAAGGTTCAGTGGGCAATTGGTGGTGATGAAAGATAGAGTCGAAACTCTCCTTGTACTCCTCTGCCAAGAAGACATTATGCACGGAGAGCTCCTTGATGACTCTATCAAAGGACCAAAAGAAGGAGATACTGCTACAAGATGCCGGTCGTTTGGTCAAGCTTTGGGCGTAATTGGTTGATGGTAAAAGGTTGTTGAATGCGTAGACCAGATCGGCATTGATGATGACGGTATCGGCAAGTAGCTCTTCACCAGATGAGAGCCGCACACCACGGGCAGTGCCATCGGGAGACTGAATGATCGAAGTGACGGCTGTACCCATACGGTATGTCACACCGAAGCGTTCTCCAACACGAGCCAATGCTTCCAGAACCTGCGTCCATTAGTTTGAGAGTCACTCATAAATTAGGCAAGACTGACCTTGACAAATCCTCCTTCCGGATATAAAATTCCATGTGCCAGCTCAGTATATTGCAAAAGCGAATATGTCCCCGGGGCCTCAAACGGATTCATCCCAAGATACATGCTCGCAAACGTAAAAGCCCGTCGAAGCTTATCGGACTTGAAATAACGCTTCACACGACCATACATACTCTCAAACGGATGCAATGATAACAATGAAAACAGCAGACCCGGTCGAAGCATGGCCCAGATATTAGGGAAATCCTTACAAAGGACATGCTCCATGGAGAGATCATAATGTTGACCAGACTCTCTCAAGAATCCGAATAGACCCTCAAGGCCACCGCGGCCCTCGAGACGCTCTATTTGAGGCTTCATTCTACTGATATCGGTTGACATTTCCAGATGATCATTATCGGAGAACCAGATACGGTAGTTTGGCTCACATGTAAGTAACCGGACATTTTCCTTTTCTGGGGTAGTCCCCAGCTCGTGAAATGTTTGATGAAAGACTTCTGGCATCAGTAAGAGCGAGGGTCCTTGATCAAATCTCTGGGAATTTTGTTAGACTTGGAACAAAGGCATAGGGCTTATTCGCATAGGTCGTCAGTGATGGGGATAATGTACTGACATAGTCTTCATGATGCACAAGCGAACATCGACCACCTAGAAACTCATTCTTCTCAACAACGGTGACCTTGTATCCATCTTTTGCTAAACGGGCAGCCGTGGCTATTCCTCCAGCTCCAGCTCCTAAGCCTTTGTTAATACCACTTCGGTTTGCTGCAAGATTAATGTTTGCTCACCCACAACGATAGCACTCGGAGGGGCCATTCCGTATCCAGAAGATCTGTTTTTCTTCTTTTCTCTGTTCACTCAACAAGAAACACTTTGCGTAAAACTTTTGACCAAGCAAGACTTTGGAGGCAGAAGTTACCCCCGGGGTCTCGCCTCTATCATACCAAGCCAGAGTTAGCAATCGTTCTGGTTCCGACCCGAGCATCCCGATCTGATCGCGATCCAGTAGTACACAGCGTTACAGCCTGAAATATACCGTATGACGATGTAACACCCCAATACACACCCAATACACACCCAATACCGGGTCGATCGATCGAGAAGCGATCGCCCCCACCCCACGTAAGTTTGATCTGCAGCAAGACCAAAATAAAACATGCTTAGAAAGGGTGATGCAATGTTGGTATTATCGCAGCTTACCCCGTGTAAGCATTCATCCCTTGTCGGATACGGGGCCGATCGCAGCATCGAGCAAGGAAGCCATCCATTGCCTTGTTCTGAGCTGTGCCTTCCATGATTTTTCGGCCTGCACTTTGACCATCGGCGGTAGATCTATACCGATGCATGCCAGGCACGCCCTTCTTTGTTCCAGTTCTGCCGGGTGTTTCCGCGAGCCTTCATGTCGCTACCGCGCGATAAGGGAAACACACGTCTAGCTTAGCGCTTGACGTCTTAGCGGGTTTCCAGATATATCTGACTGCAAGATTTGCCTCCCAACCATAATGAGGAATCAAACCCGCCAAATTGGCGAGGGTAGCATATCACTGTAGAACCGATTTTTGTCGTGGGAAGAAATCATGGAATTGACCTTGAGGGTGCTCTTATCAAGTATATTTAGATTTGTTAATTGACGCTGCAAAATGCTGGATCAAGTGGATCAGGACACAAGTTGAATCCTCTAATGGTTCGCGTACATCTCCCACCACGCAAGCCTCAATCTCCTCCACAATGGGACCTTGAGCTTCCCCTCTATTTCGATCGAGTCCTGTCGTGCCTTGCGAACCATCTGGCCAATCATCATATAACTCTCGACGGTAGTCTTGACAGGCCCTCGAACATCTTTCGGTAGCTGATCGATCGCTTCCACACTCGACTGATATGCATTCTCTGCTTTGACAAGCATCTGTGATTCGAATGTGGCCAATGCAGGATCCGTCGGATTGTTAATCACATCGGCAGGCGTTAACCCTTTCGTCTTCAACCAAGCAGAGGGAATGTACACCCGCTGAATCGCCGCGTCTCGCTTGATATCGCGCGCAATATTGACATACTGCAGCGCCTGGCCCATTTTCTGGCCTGCATTGATGATCTTTTCCCGTTGCGCAGTACTATACTGTACTTCAGAGTGACTGAAAACCAGTTCCAGTAGGCCAGCTGCAACAGTGCCAGCCACGCGATGGGCGTAAACTTCTAGATCCTTTTCTGTCTTAATAGGGAATTCATGGTTTTCAGCGGAAAACAATAGATCCATGTCAAACCCGGATAAAAGTTCAAGTAATGGACCCAGGCTGAGTCGGGAAGCAGGTAGTAATGCGATAGAATTGAGCAAGGGAGTTGAATTCGCGCTGAGCTTATCGTCCTTGTCGGCCTTGAGGTAATCGTATAGAGGCTTCCTAGGGCTCTTAGTGGAAAACCGCCAGTGCAGAACTTGAGACGCTTCTTTAATGCTCTCTTGGGCCTTTTCACGAGAAGGAGCCTCGTCGACCAAGTCATCGATGATTCTGCAGAAAGAGTATCTATAATACGGTTAGAAACTCCCAGTAGTCGGGCAGTCAGCGAGAGATGTTGGACTTACAAAAAGATCAAATCAACTCGAAGCCCATCCTGAAACATTGCGCTTCCAAGGTACATGCTCTGGCTTTTACGCGAGAGCTCAGTCACTGCCGCGCGAAGTCCCTCTAAAAAACCCACGTCAAGGGGTTTTCGCTGTTGGGTGATATACGACCAAGCGATTTGACCCAAGGAAGGAAGAGACTTTCCGGGTGACTCTGAGGTAACAATATCATATTGTGCCAACGCAATGGCGTGGTCCATGGTGACCATGCCCAATACGACCATGACATTGCTGAGGAAGAAGAACGTTGCTTCCCTAGAAAAGATCAGTGCATGTTTATCAGGGAAGAATTTTCGCTTGAACGTACTCGATGTCTAAAAATCCCCAGAATTGAATGTCTAGCTTTGTTCCTTTTTCTATAACCCATGTGCCACGTTGAAGTGACAAAAGGTCCACCATCCATAGATAGATGGTTGGTAGGAGAATGGACATCAGAACTTGCTTCTTTGGCAACGCGAGCAGAAAGCTACCACAAAGGTGCCTGTTGAATACTTTCGTCAGGATTGAAAGATTGTCATATAACTCTCGGGATCTTACCATTGAAACAAGACAACCGAAAGAGCCCATGTCAATATAAGGCCCATATAGGTTAGGCTGTTTTTCATCAGGATGCAAATAGCTCCAAAAGCTATTCCGCCAACGATCGCTGCGGATCCAACATTCTTGGTGAATTGATGAGAGCGGTCGAGTAGATAGGCTGGAAGCAACAAATGCTTAGTGAGGATGGTGTACAGCAAACTTGTGCAATATGTTTGAATGACGAAGAAAAACAATTCCTCAATCGGAATGTCGAACAAAGTGAGGCCAACCACAGCGTCGGATGGGTACGTCCAGATGCGATTACGAATTAGGTACGAATCCCACGGTATCGTGGCACAGACTGCTACCTGGAGAAGTTATGAGCGACTGCCAAAGCGACAAACGTGAAGATATCCTACATTTATCAGGATAAAAGTCTTCCAGATCTCTACTTTCGTGGAAAACGGCCAATAGGCCACCGTGAACAAGACTGCCGGAGGAATTGTCCAGGTTAAGTGCCTAGAGAAACGCGATTAGAACCTGAAGCCTCAGGACTTGCCCTGGAAGACAAACACCAGCCAATAATCTAAACCCATATCGAACAAAATTAGGACTTTGAGTGCCGACTGAGTTATGGTGCAAATTGCATGTCAGGAAATGGAGCAGATGTCGTCGCTCGACCTGGACTTTTTTTACAAGGAGTCCGTTGCTGACTATGTAGTACGATCGCTACCTTGGTGCTAGCCTGGTTTCTAGCCGTAAGGAAAGCTGCCCACGTCAAGGAAACACGGTTCAAAGGCGTTCGTCAAAAACCGATCTCCCTCCTGTCATGCACGTTCCAGGACCAGACTTGGTTTTCGTTCTCGCTTCGAGACTGTTGCGGATGCCCAAAATTACAGTCGACGAATTGCGAGCGTTGGCGGGTTACGGCGGAACCTTGGAAGGCATTCAACCTCAACGGTGTAATGTAAGCGCGATCTGATGTTGGAAATAGCATATGACAAATCATCTTCCAAGATGGCCTGCGGGTAGCAGATACAGTCTGGAGCTACAGAAATACAAATCAAGGGACAGTACAGTACTCTAGACGGCTGGAACCTTGACGCTTACGCCTGGTATTGATAAAACCCGTGTATAAGTTTAGGCCGATCGATCGATCGATCGTCATCGACCACTGCAGCTCCAGCGACCTCCATTAAAGCAGGTTTGAAGGCATTTCTAGCGGGTGAAATCAGCCCTTGGCTGGACATTATTGTATGGTTGTTCTGCGTTACAGTACTCGTCCAGAGGATGGAACAGAATATGTACTATAAGCTCTCGGCGGCCGGCTTTTGACCGCAAACAAGGGAGAATGCACAAGGTCAGAACAGGACATGGACGCTCGGCTTTTAAGCTACCCGAAGACTGTTTGAATAGACATAGGCTTACATATGCCACATTGCGACGATTAAGGACAGGGCGCCAAGGAATGCCATTCGTTGCAAAGCCCACCAATAGCCGTAAGCAGTAGTCCTCAAGGGATCCTTCTTACCATGAGCACTCCCAGTTTGCCAAGATATTGGGACGTCCAAATCCCGCAAGACTCTTTCGGCAGTGAGTTTCGCACCCGATAGACAAGTTGGAACTCCAGCTCCAGGATGTGTGCTGGCACCGACAAAGTAGATGCCATCGATGACGTCATGTTTGAGATGCGGGCGAAAGGAGAGGATGTTGAAGAAATTGTGATTGAGCCCGAACACGGAACCTCGGTCGGAATTGAACATTTCTTGCCAGGTTTTTGGTGAATGGAAGCTCTCATGTTCGATGAGGGCATTGAGTCCCACGATCCCGGTTCGGTTCTCGATACAAGACAGGATGTACTCGCGCGTATCTGCGACGAGACCGTCTATATCGCTTATATCGCCCTCTCTGGGGATTTTCGAAGTATCGATATTGTCGACTAGAATAAGGACCATGACTGTGTCCTTTCCTTCCGGTGCAGCTGACGGATCTGTCCTTGAAGGCACGTGGACGTAGAAGGAGGGCTTCGACAGTTTATTGCAGTTCCAGTATACATCTGGGAATTCTTGTCCACACGGCTGTCCCACAAACATATTGTGAGATTCGAGTTGTGGTACCTTTGCAGATAATGACCAGTAAAAGGTAATAGCACTGCATGAGATGTCTTCTTTCTTCCTCGAAACCAACGGTTTCGCACTGTACGACGGGAGAAGCTCTTTGTATGCGTAGAGAAGGTCGGCATTTACGACAATAGCGTCGGCTTCGACGATTTCGTCGGAGTCAAATAAGACACCCAGAGCCTGCTTGTTGGGAGAAATTGTAATACTCTTCACTGGGTTCGAGAGATGATAGCTGACACCTAGACGTTTGCCTATATTGGCCAACGATTCCGCAATCTTCTAGCATTAGCGTAGCCCCTACCATCAGGCATGGATAACCTACTTGGTAAAATCCACCACGAGGATACCATATTCCGCCTGTGAGCTCGGTATATTGAAGAAGAGTATATGTACCTGGTATTTCAAATGGTGACATGCCCAGATACATACTGGCGAGGCTAAACACTTGGCGAAGTTTGTGAGATGGGAAGAAATGAGAGGCTCTCTGCCACACTGTATGAAAAGGGTGTAGTCGAAATAGGTACCGCAAGAAAGCAGGCCTCAAGAGTGACAGGAAGCCAGTGAAGTCCTTGTTCAGCACATGGATCACACTCTGTTGATAATGTTGATGAGATTCCTGGAGGAAAGCAAGGAAACCACCAAATCCGTGTTGATGATCAAGTTTCTCTAGTTGGCGCTTCATTCGAGCAAGATCGGTGGAAGTTGTGAAAAGTTCTCCATCATCGAACCAGAAATTGCAATTGGGATCGCATTTGAGAAGGTCAATACCTTCTGAAGGCATCGATGTTCCCAGATGTTGGTAAGTTTCCTCGAATATCTCAGTCATCAGCAATAGAGACGGCCCTCGATCAAAACGCTGCAAAGTGTTAGTAATACTCTACATAGTTGACTTGGGTGACTCACGAAGCCATTCCGAGTGATGTTACTACATTTTCCACCTACAAAGTCATTCTTTTCATATACGGAAACTTCCACTCCGCATTGTGCTAGCCTTGCTGCTGTTGCGATGCCTCCGATTCCAGCCCCTTAAGCGTTCACAACATCAGTATTTCTCCCAAATATCGAGGTAGACCTCGATGTTCTTACCTATGACAACCACCTTTTTCTTCCTTGTCGGGTCCATAGTCAGCTCGACACTGAAACCAGATTTTAATCAGCCCAGTCTTCCGTACCTGCCTATATGCAACCTATATCAGTCTTTCCTTAATTACTTCGGGACCTAGTCTATGAGACCCGGGCTTGGTACGCATACTGTAAGTCAGCATACGTAATATTACCGAGTGATACGCATCCCGATCTACTTCTCGATCTGGAAGTGGCTGCCAGCTAAAAGGCTGGGCGACCGATTATTGCCCGAGCGCCAGGCAGCTAGATATATACCAAAAAAACGTTGTCGTCCATATCTTTCATCCCGCCCGTGAGCCCCAGCCTAGTAATATCAGATGCACGGGCCACGTTCAGTGCTCTCGGATGGTCTTCGACAGTCCCTCGGTTAGATTACTTGGTAGCCCACTCTAGGGGTAGTTAGGTCACCCGAGTCTACAACAAAGTATAATGTCCTCCGATGCCATCTCCCTACTTGAGGCCAATGAAACTCTCTCAGGAAGACAGTCTGATATTCGTAAAGCTGCTTAAACTCGGTCACCGCTATCCGTGACGTCACCGATACAGGTATCGCCCAACTGTCTTGTGCAGGGGACAAGTCCTACGAATATAGACATTCTAATAGTTGTGCGCAACGCAGTGCCTATCGACTTGATATGTCAGCAGAGGCATCGTCTAACTATACAGTTCAGAGTTGAAAGGACAATGACTGAGGTGACTGGAGCACTTAAGACTACCACAAAGTCAAAACATCGGTGCACTACTCTTTCCACTATAGAAAGAAACACGGCGAAAGACAAACTAACAATATACAAGATGTCTTGTTGGGAATTTCGCACCCATCCATCGCCAACTCCCAATAACCCCATGCACATACTCTGGAACTATTCCTCCCGAGCTTCATGGCGGCCAATACGTTCGGAACGGAGGAAATCCGAGCTTCGGTGACCATCTATCTGAAGACGTCCATATGTTCGATGGCGATGGCATGCTGATTGGAGTTTGGTTCCGTCTGAATAACCAGACAAAAGAAGTTGAACCATGTTTCGTCAATCGGTACATTTTGACCGACATTTATCTCGGGGCCAAATCGATGCCTAGCCTACGAGTGCCTATACTGCCGAGCATCGCAACGTTAAATCATCCTCTGAGGACTACCCTTTCGATATTTTTCAAGCTTTGTCGGTTTCTAGCTCTGATCGCGTGGAGTTTTGTCAGTGCCGACAAGCATAAGATTCGGAAAATTAGTGTCGCGAATACGGCTATCCTCTACCACGACAAGAGAGCGTTGGCCACATGTCAAACGGGGCCGCCGATGAGAGTTCAACTACCAAGTTTAGACACCGTTGGCTGGTTCAATGGATACTCAGCTGTCAACGAAGACAAACATTCGAGATCAGACAAGGATGCCTTTGGCTGTACTGGACCTTTTGGCTTTCTGAAAGACTGGACAACGGCTCACGTATGTCACCAATAGGCAATTCAGCCATGGAGGATATTCCTACTGACAATCCACTAAACAGCCTCACGTCGATCCAGTCACGGGAGATTTCATATCCTTTCAATCATCTTTTCTACCGCCTTTCGTATGGTACACTCTCATACCCAAGTCGACAACCAAATCCCACGCACCTGCATTACACGCCCCAGTCCCGGGGGTATCAATCCCAAAACTAATGCACGACTTTGGCGTTTCCCCTACCCATACCATCATCCTTGACCTCCCAATGACACTCGATCCCACCAACATGCTCCGCGGAAGACCAATAATCCACTACGATCGAAATTCACCATCCCGATTCGGCATTTTCCCCCGACGACATCCCGAGCAAGTCCGCTGGTTTGAGACGGAGCCGTGTTTCATTTTTCATACAGCCAGTACATGGGATGAGTCTGAGCCAAAGCACTCGAAAGATTCCGAGATTGAAGCTGTGAACATGGTCGTTTGTCGGTACACGAATGGAAATATGCTGTACTCTATGGGCGCTATCGAGCCCGTGGAGAAAGAACAGTGCGATAGCAAGGTATATTATTATCGATTTCTTCTCGCAAACAGGGAGAAGAATATTATCACGCATCAATGGGCTTTATCTGCCATCCCCTTCGAGATGCCAATCGTACCAGCGAACTTCTCGAGCACGGGTCCGAAATGCATCTACGGATGTTCCTCACGAGACGCAATATTTGGCGCAGAAACGGGCGAGCCTATGAAGGTGGATTGCCTTGTCAAAATGAATGTCCAGAATTTGATTAGACGGGGGTTGAATGAGGACATCCAGTCTATCGAGGGCTACGTCGACAAAAGAAACATACAAGAGGTCATGTCCAGCGATGATCCGGAAGATCCAATCAAGATATTCCAAGCTCCGGAAGGGTGGTACGCACAAGAACCTCAATTTGTTCCACGAGATGACGCAAGGGAGGAAGACGATGGATATCTCCTAACTTTGATGTTTGATGAATCTCAACTCGATACGGATGGGCATGCTACGGAGGATGCTAGGAGTGAATTGTGGATTATCGATGCACGAGATATGAGAACTGTTGTTGCGAAGATTTTGCTTCCACAACGAGTTCCATATGGGTTTCATGGCCATTGGTTTAGGCAACAAGAGCTTGAAGAGCAGAGACCGTACGTTCGGTTACGGACAGACCCGGGGGAGGCGAAAGAGCAAGCAAGCGATCAAACTTCCTCGTAGAGTTTTTTGGTGTTTTAGCAGGCGTACTCAATCAATAATACATGTATCAAGCCTGAACACTGTACCGCTAACGCGGACAGCTTCACTACTCTGAAGAGATCTTAAGAAACGAGATAATCCGAATGTTCATTGATGCAATCCATGTGATGCAATAAGCACCAGGTCTATACAAAAGAGATAAAAAGTCTCGGGCCGAGAAATCGACGAGCCTAAAAGCGGGGGTATGGAATCGATGTATCTCTAAACCGGCTTTGAAGTATGTCCGGAAGGGGTTCCCATGCAAGTCGAGCGGACCGGTCATCAACCGTCACAAGGGTCTTTTCACAAATAGACGGGAACCAACGCTGCAAAAGACACATAAGAGAAAGGGCAGAAAATGGAGGATATATATACACAAGACAGTACGAAGAAGGCTAGTTTAGTCGAACATCTTCTTCATGAACTTGTGCGCGAGCTCGACACCCAGGCTGGAGAATTCAATGTTAGCATCGAAAAGAGACTGCCAAGATAGTAGAACTTACAAAGTAGCCGCGTTAGCAGGGACGGCACGAGCCAGCGCAGGACCGAAACCAGGGAAGAAGGCCTTGAAACCACCGCTGGCATACACGGCCCTGACGGTGCCGCCAATAGTCGGCTTGCCCGGTGCGCTCTGCAGGCGAGACTTGATCGTGTCGACGGGGAAAACGGGAATCCACATGGCAATACCGGCGGCACCACCCGCAGCCACAACCGCCGTCAGGGACAGCTCGCCAGTCACATTGCCATTGGCATCCTTAGGGGTCAACGAGCGCTTGATGTACTCGTACGCAGCGAAGTAGGCGGCCGATCCGGGGCCATCACGAGCTAGCGTCATGGCGCTACCCCGGAAGACACTGCGGATACCGCCCTCCTTGTACAGCTGGCGCACAACGTCCACACCACCGGAGTACTTGGGCTTCTGGCCCGGCGGGGGCGGGTTCTGACCCTGGATCTGCAGCAGGACCTTGACGCGCTCGAAGGGGGCGGTGATCAGGGTCATGGGGATAGCGGAGAAGAAACCGGCGGCGGAGATTTGAGCGATGGAGTACTGAGGGGTGCCATTTACCACTGGAACAACGGAGGCCTTTTCGACCAAGCTCTTGCCAACGTCGTAACCCTACATGGACGTGTTAGATGAGACACCCGAAGATTGAACTTGCTCGTGTAGACCGTGGACGAGACGGTCAAAAACATACCCAGAAGCTGACAGCGACTACCCAGGAATTTCATGTTAGCTCATCAATTCTAATAAAACGGTCGCACATCATATACGAGGCAATTGAAGCTGTGGGAACCACTTACACATCGGAGTGACACCGACCAGCGGGGCAGACACACCCGCGTACAAGCCCTATTCACATGCGCCGATTAGTCTAACGATCCAATTCCACAATCCAAGGACTTCAATAAAACACCTACCCGCGCCAAACCCTCACGGGCGATCGTCTTCCGCACTACATCCATGGCGCCCGCATAGACGCCCCGCTCGGCGGTCTGCAGGCGCACCTTGACCAAGTCGAAGGGATGTCCCACGACGACGGCACAAAGACCACCAGCAGCACCCGCGGCAAGCGAGCGAAGCTGCTGGATAGTCTGGTTCACAGGCTTGACAGCGAGAACCTTGATTTCATCCTTGATTTCTTGTGGGGAGGTGGCAGAGGCCGACATTGTTGCGGCGGGTGGTCGAGTGGGGGGCGGAGCGGAGGGCGGTTTTGACAGTGAGAAATCCGAGGCAGAGTGCGACCGGGGAAGGAGGAGGGAGGGGGAGAGAGGGGGAGAGAGAATGCGAAAGAAAGAGGGAGGTTTGAAAGGTGAAAAAGGCGAGGAGAGTGAACACAAGTGTTAGAAGAAAGAGCAAAGTTGATCGGCTTGACGATTGCGGACCGAAGCCGAACGGCGGTTCAGTTTGATTTTGGCGGAGAATCTTCCCCGGACAACTGCAAATGAGCCTCGGCTCGGACTCGGAGAAACCGGGCTACCGTTGATCCACCGAGGATGAGCTGAGGCACGCCGAGGAGAGTTGAATTATGAGCTCGTAGTGATATAGAAAATGTGTTTTTGTTTCGATATCGTGTGGAAGGTTATCTTTGAGAAGAGATTGTAGTCTGCCCGTGGGATTCTCTGCCTATCGGAGGTCGCCGATCCGGGTGAACGGGAAAGTGACTGCTGGCGCTGCCACTTTTCCGGCGGGAACATGGAAGTGCTGGGGCCTCGACAGGCGAGAGGTCTGATGATTCTATGATGATGATGCTACAGGATACGAAACAAAGGAGTCTATATGGCTTTGCAACTAATAAGGTTCCCACAAGGGCCAGAGTCAAATCCTACGAAGTCGACTACAATAGAAGAGGTTCCGCAATCACATGCGATGTAGAGCCTGGCACGTGCCTGGGTGGAGCATGACTTCATTAAATCGACATTACAGCGACAGACTTCGTGGATCAAAGTGACGGTGATTCATAAAACACGGGGGGAAATACACGGATCGTTCCTCGAGATATGATACTCGAGATTCGAAAGGCCAACGGCATAGATCTTACAGCACAAGCAGGGCAGCGAGACCCAGTGCGCCAACCGCGCCAGTACCGACAGTCGCCATGGGGTGAGCCGCGCCGGTGCTGCTAGACGAGGCAGCGGTGGTTGAGCCAGAAGAGCCGGAGCCGGTGCTCTCAGAGCCAGAGCCAGAGCCAGTCTCGCTGGAGCCAGAGCCAGAGCCAGTCTCGCTGGAGCCAGAGCCGGAGCCCGAGTTGGTACCAGTCGAAGAAGCCTCAGAGCCGCTAGCAGTGGTGATCAGGGTGGTAGAAGCACCAGTGCCGGTCGCGCCAGTGCCAGTGGCATCGGAGCCAGTGGCGGTAGCGCCAGTGCCGGTAGCATCGGAGCCAGTGGCCTAGTATCTGTATTAGCAGGGTGAACGAGTTATCAAGGGAGTCAAGGACTTACGGTAGCAGTGCCGCTGCCATTGGAGTTGGTGCCAGTAGCATCGCTGCCAGTACCGGTGCTCTCGCTGCCGGGGCCAGTGGTAGTGGCCGATCCGGAGCCGGAGCCAGAGCCAGAGGTACCCGTGGTGGTGCTGTCACCAGACTGAGTGCCGGTGCTCTCACTGCCCGAACCGGTGGTGGTCTCGGATCCCGAGCCGGAAGTGCTGGAGCTAGAGCTAGAAGAGCCTGCAGGGAATGTGGTCAGCGATATGATCCTTCCTCTTTGGGGATGAGACACCAGGGAGACATACTAGAGCACGAGGCAAGGGCCAACTCGAGAACGGTGGCAGCATCATCGCTGGGGCAGGCCTCAGTAGTGCAGTCACGAATACCATACTGGTAGTCCTGGCTCTTGCACAGGCAGGCCGTGTCACCAGAGGTGCAGCCCAGCTCGGAGGCCTTGGCGTTCATGTTGCTGATGCACATTTGCTGCCCGACCATGAGAAGTTAGCATTGCGTCGCCAGAGTCTTGAAAGGACCCATCGCCAGTGACGTATGACACATACCGCGCAGTCCGAAGCCGAAATCTCGGCAGCGACCATACTGGTCGCAGCCAGCAGGGCGAGAGCGACGTTCGAGAAGGACTTCATGGTGATGATGACGATGTTTAGGTGGGTGATTAGATGTGTGAAAGTATGGGGTATCAAGAAAAAGAGGGATGGGGAAATAGAAAACAGGGGTGGAGAAGAAAACAAAGTTCTACTGGGCTTCGACAAGGGGTCTTATAGAAACAGCCCAGGGGAGGAAGGAGCCAGGCAAAACGAAGGTTTGGGACGAGGCAGGAACCCCCGGGAACCAAACAATTCGATCTGCAAGTAGCTGGAGAGTTCCAAGAAGCTCAAGAGAAAAGAGTGGTCCCACTCAAGAAAAAGACACTAGCACGAGTCTTAGTCTGGCAAGAGGAGACGACCAAAAAACAAAAGCTCGCTTCTCAACCTTTACGGAAACACTCCAGCCACACGGTGATCGGCCAAGTGGAGTTGACCTGCGGCGGTGACTGGAGGCGTTTGCTTTTTTTCCCTTTGAATCGGCTGCACTCTTTCGTCTCTGTTCTGTCTCGTTGGTCACTCTACTACTCTTGTTGGCTGAGCCTGGCCCTGCACTGTGCAGTGTCATGCAGGACCTGCATCATCGGTGCTTCCCAGCCATCCAGCCAACATGGCTGGAGCCGAGAAACCAAGCACGGGCCTAAATAGGTAGGTCCTTTAGGAGGCAGCAGCCAAATTAATCATGAAGTCATTGGGTGGCAGGGATGGGCATCAAGCCCTGGAGAAGCGCCGAGATCTGAATCTTGATTAGGGAGGGATCGACTTGAAGTTGTGGTCCTGGGAGCGGATCTTCGTCGATCTGATAGGCCCGTTCGATGGAGCCAGGGCCAAAGTGGAGCCCAGACTCCTTTGGGGAGACCGGGATTATTTATTATTTATCATTTATCATTTGACTTTTTGGCTGGTCCATCTTTTCAGGAAATTGGGTCCCTTCCTCGGGGATATGACGAGTATAATCCCGATAGAATCGGTTCATTCGTGCAGGATGCCGGGTCTAAGATTCTAAGAGTATCCTGGGAGTAGGTACAGTACTCTCGAGTATTGCTGAGGTCATGGACAAGCCATGAGTGATTTGTTGCCGTATGCATCGCTTTAACAGAGGTGGAAATCCGACTGGACCTTATGGTAACCAACTGATTTTAGCGTTGCCCCGGGAATCTCAGCCACAAAATTCAATTGCAAGTACCGCCAAATGTGAATATCGGCACAACAGAGGAGTCCTGCAGTGACACATGGCCGACCACGCACGGAAAGAGGGAGATTAACAAACTCCACAGTGAACTAGTATCACCATTATCCCTCCATTATCATTCAAATATGCAACAGAAAAGCAAACAGAAACCGCAGGCGTCCTCCGTGGCCCATGGAATCAAGGCACCGGGTGGCGATGATCGACCCTTAGTTGAGCCTAAACAGCCTAATCTCCTAAGCTCGGGGCCAATCTAGCCGAATAGTTGATGGATCCCTCGCGAGCTCCGATCGCACTATTGAATTTTATTGAGCGAGCTCTGAGAAAAGCTTGTCTAGTCTAACTCAAAGCAGTAATGTAGTCCCCGGGGTCACCGCAAGTGTGGCTAAGCACAGCCACAGCATCAATCGGCGATGCGAGATCAGACACGACGGAATCGAATGACGGAGGAGGACCTCCCGGGTGGAGAACGATGGCCGTGGTGGCCACATCATTTTTAATCTATATTAAATTGTGAATTAATTAACTAACCATGGAGTGCTCTGTTCCTCGGCTTTTGTTACTGTGCTCGCTCGCATCCGCACGTTGCTAGGCAAGTCTTGTTTACCTCTGAAGGTCGGAAGAACGGGCGCGTCATTATGCAGGTCCAATTAGGGTCTGAGCCCCTCCCTATGTTCATGAAGCATTATCCTGTCCAACGTTTTTTTCAAAATGTGGGCCGTCCTTCTCCACTGTTATGGAATCCATTTAGACAGGCCTCGGGCGACATAGCAATCCGTAAGCCACAATTTGAGGTCATTTCTCAATTACGGAGACGTTCGTTCGAACTCTTCCATCAGTACTACACGGCAGAGACCGACAATCATTACAATGAGCCCGATCAATATATGATCAATCAGCAGGAAACCCACATGGCAGGCTGGCACATACCAGGAAACCTGTCTACGCGTCTTACTTGAAAGCTTATCAAGAGCATTATCAACGGCGTACGTGGTCCTGCCCGAGCGCGTTGCATTTGCATGCGCAAGGGAAAGTCAAAAACCAACATAAGTAATAGACAGCTTGCTACCCCGGAATCGACGACGGTGCCTTTACACGGCAAAGGTGCAAGGTCTGCGTGCGGGCGAAAGCTAAATGCAGCTACTCGCAGCCGTATACGCGTTTTGCTGCAGGCGATTCCCTGCATCCATGCTTACCAGCAGATCCCAAGTCCAAGCTCAGACTCGTACAGGCCAATGTTAACCCATAATGAAGGTCTCCAGGCCACTTCCCCCAAAGCCGATCACTGCACGTGGCTGGGCGTGCGCTCGGTTCAGTTGTTCCCTTCGTGAACCTGCACCGCAAATGTTGTTGGATATGCAGACCAGCCTCCCCATGCACCGCACCCGACGCAAGGAGCCTTTGGGGACCACCCTACCCACAATAGACTCGTTGACCTTTTTGGATCCGTCCCCAGTCCAGGTCTGACACACCCAAGATCCTATGGATCAGGCATTCAGTACTCGCGACGGGACATGATCCAATGCCTTGATCAATACCCATGGCATCTCCTACGTGAGGACTTTACCTCACACTAATTTCATCGCAGCCTCTATGACGAGAGGACGTACCCGTAATAGCTACGCTAGCACGAACCTTGACGGTGGTCTGCTGCGGGAGCACAGTAGAGATCGACCGCCGAGGGTGCAGGTTTCGCACGACACGTAATGGAACTGCAGCGACCGCGACTTATCGTGTCGCACCGCACGTGCAGTGGCATGCACCAGTGGGATGCTCTGCATGCCCATGTGTATAGCATCCTCGAGTTGCGGGGATCTCCAGCCCAGGGCGATGATGGTTGGAAGCAAGGGTCATGCCGAAAAGCTTAGGAGCTCCGTTTTCAGTGGAAATGAATCGGGTTTTTTTATCACCTATTCTGGACTGGCACTTGATGTCCCAGTCACATGTGCGGCAGTGAATAGTATTCGAGACCTCACGACGGAACATCTTCCTCCCTAATTTTTTACGCTTTTCAGCAATCATGATTCAAAGACTGGCAAGAAATGTCCATGACATGAGCCCTTTCATAAACTAATTCTAAACATACTTTTGCCTTGCCTCACGCCCTCTGAGTTGCTCGAACGAAGCAGTAGTGAAGGCTTACGATAGACTGCAAAACCAACTCATCTCCAACCGCCGACGACCTTTCACCAGCGTTTCATTTGGTGCTAAATCTTCTAATTTGGACATGGCTACTTACAAGCATCTCCGATCACTTTTTACATCAATCTGATAAGACCGGCTCAGGCCAGGATAGTTCTCACGAGCTTCGAAGTTCGTCATACTATGAATCGCCACCATGTCTACACAACTCCGCACGCATCAGAGCTTCATGACGCTCACAATCGACCGTCTTCCTGTATCACGATAAATGGTCTCTGGATGGATACTTATAGAGTGCACTGCAAAAACATCAAACTGGAAGTTCTCTCACATGAAATTCACCCGTGTACTCACAATAACTATTGCAGCATTCGTCCACAGCATGATCTCCCGAGTCACTACAATGTTGACTATCTCGAAGAATATACTTTAGCTGCCGCGCCTTAGCAATCCTGATGGGCAGTACATGGATGTGCTGAAGCTGGTGAACATGATACTAATCCCTCGAGGGTGTCTGGGAACCTGCGAGTGGGGGTCTATGTCCTAACCAGCTAGTGTAAGCTTTCTCTCCTCTTCTTGAGGTCATCATTCCCTTTCACCAATCGATCCACCCGACTCACGAAACCTGCCAGTACACAGCTGATATACAACCTCACTCCCAGCTTGGCTATCGATATTCGCGAGAGTACCCACCGAGTCTTGGAGCTCGACATGTCACGGCGAGGAACAAAGGACCGGGTCACTCGTATTGGCATGACGCTTGTGTAATGAGCTCTCGAATCCAACTGAAAATTTTCGGGCATGAAGATGTTCCTGCGCAGCCTTTGTAAGGGCCATCTTGTATTCCATTGAAGGTGGTGTTGATGTTCGGTGACGGGGCTACGCACTACATAATACAGCCCTTCGATGAATAAATACATCAGATATTTCGACTCCGCGCCAACTCGGATTTACTGAGATGTGCTTTGTCCGGTGGATAGCTTGGCAATAGGTATTCGTTACTCTGAATCAATGGGAATACAATTTCTCACGCAGATTTTGATCAGTAGTTTAACCAAGTTCACAACACAGAAGGGCATCATCACATTTGCCCAAACGTACCTGCTTTCTAAGCCGGTGTTTTAGCTCCGTTACCCTCGCTCTAGAATTTATCTAAGAGAATCGGCGAACCCGAGACGTACCTTCTTTCACAAATTTCGGGATTGTTATGCCGTGCCTCATGAGCAGATCCCCCAAGGCAACCATAAAACCCCATCTCAGTTGCAGATCTATCCAGAAACTGCGTGTTGGATTTCCTAATGGCCAATTCATCCAAGTATATTCAGATGCAACTCTCGTTGAGTTACAAACATGCGTTGGTGTTGATTTGAGTAAACCGCTTGGGGCCATCGCCCCTGATGCCCGACTCGAAATGCCCCTGAGAAAGACAGCACAAAATTTCCTCAGAAGAACGTCTCTCATAACACCCTGAGTATTCTGTAATGTGAGCTGAAAGTCTGCTTCACCCCGAAGGAATGAGGTGTATATAAATTCCCGTCGAAGACCATCTTCTTGCCTTGGCCTTGCTAGGAAAGTTGAATATATCTTTACTTCCTCCGGATGATTCACTCCGTAATTGAGAAAAAGCCGGAAAGAACTTCTAGTCGAAATTTTTGGTTTAAATGGTCTGAAGTGTAGAGGGCGTGTTTGACTAGTGAGAAGATCTTTATTTCGAATATAATTGTCTAGCAAGCGGTGTTATTCTTCTGGTAGATTGTTTTTGCCTACAAATCTGCTCAGTCATTTCAAATCTAGATCCTTGTTATCTCTTGTACCCTTCATCCTTCTGCGCTCCTGCTTTAAGCTCTAGAGCGAAGAATTGCTGTGCATTACGCTAGAGACCCTTCCCTAAAGGATATATTTTCCTCAGACAACGAAGTCTAAGCCCGGTCAGGGGTCCATTAAGTTTAGCTCGACATAACACCAGCCATCAGTTCAGGTCCATCATCTTATGTCATTCAGTCACAACACTTCTGTTCTGCACATGATCCAAGCTAGCCTTATTGACCAATTCATAGTGATTTCAAATTGAGCTATGCCAGTAAGACGCCTCGCAAAATTGCATCCTTGAAAGAGACCATAAGAGCCGAAGACCTTCAGCGAGCCACCTTTTCCTCCAAATAGACAGGTGCACGGATGGGTGAAAGAGGTAAATCATTCTTCGGGCGATTACCATGTTCGACCGCTGTTTTGTTCACTTTTATGAATACGATCTAAACCCCCAAACTCGAATGTTTCGTTCGGTAATGTATTTGAGCATAGTTCCTAATGGTGCGATCTAGTGAATACGGTGCGATAGTTGGCTCCTAGTTCACTCTATAGATAGTCAACAAGTAAGAATAGAGCCTACTATGCTGTGTGCAACAATAGCGATGCAAACATAGTAAGCCCCCTCGGTATAAGACCTTAGCCATAATCTCTTGCTACTCTGTCCTAGAGAAAAATAGAAACCATCATTCTTTCCCTGAAATCATTCCACTGAACAAATAAGAGACTATAAAACTACCCAGACTCTAAAGATACAACCTTAACAAACGGAGTAATACCTAACACACCCTGCTCATATTATTTTGTTCTGTTTTACTGAACTACGTTGGCTTTAGTATCCATACATAGATGGCAAACTTTGACAAGCAAAAAGCTGGGTTTATTCGGTCCGTCGGGAACGGCAATATCTTAGCGAACTTGAGTCTCACCGACAGTGGCACCAGGTTATTCACAGGTAAATGTTCGTCAACCGTTCCAAATTCTACTGCTTCTCTTTCTCGGGGTGGGTACGGGGAAGCTGAAGACCTGAAAGGCGACTACTCTATAGATGGCAACGTAGGTGTTGGGCCAACTAAATTGAATCTTCTACTGAGTAATGACGATGGCAAGTATGTCGTGCTCACAAAATCACTGCCGCCCTACCCAAAATTTACACTGCTTCAGGGGGGTATAGTGGGCAACGCTCATAAAAGGCTCCTATTGCAGTTTTTGCCTCCGTACGTCAGAGGATGTTAGACCTACACCTACTGCAAATGCAAAGGCTCTCTCCGATTGGAGAATCCATCCTTACAGTATGATATAGGGGCCAGAGTGCTAATTTCTTATTGCAAAGGAAATCAAAATGGTATCGCTCGATCTCGTAGAGTATATGAGGAAGGAAGTTCAGAACATGAAGGGCACGATAACTGATCTTGAAACACTTCAATAATCCACAGGCCCTCATTAAGGCATCATTTCACTATCCGATGGCGTGTTTGATGATTCCAGCAAATGTAATAGCATTTGATTGTTGCCAGTTTCCATAAAGAACCCACCGTGTCTTACTCTATGTCAATCTAAAAACCAAAAGATGTTTCTGGTCCGCTTCCTACCGAATTGCGTGTCAAAATGAGGGACGCAATAAGGAGACAGAGTGGGCTTCGCAAGGCAAATAGAAATAAATGATGGGTTGCTACGGGAAATCAGCATGCGTAGCTGCCATGCTACCTCCGCCCGAACCCAGACACGTTTATCGCATTCGGATCCATCAATGTTGTTGTTCAGAGGTGTGAATTGAGTTTATTGAATATCCAACGAGAAGATCAATTTGACATCCAATCCCGTTATTAAGTCATCTCCAACGGGCACGTGCTTTTCGAATTGGCACGCGTCTAGTCCTCCATTACAACCAACGGCGGTCAGATTGGTCGTGGCGTGCGGGGGTTCCATGGTGACGGCTAGCACGGGCCGAGTAACGTCCAAGTAGAGGTGCCAACCGGCCATCCGGCATCCATAGGCAGCACAATTTAAAGAGCTAAGGGACGCGCCGCATGCTCCATGTTCAACGGATCGCGGGAGTAAAGAAATTGCGATTCCATTGTTCGGGAAGATTTCGTCCGGATGTATAATTTCAGTATGGATGGCTTCTTGAGCAGGTGCTCGCAACGAGGTTCGCGACTCGATCAAGCGCAAGCCATGATCTCCGCATCTCATTTCCACCAACCTTTTGTTTTTTAGCGGGCAGCAAGTGACGGCGAGAGCATACAAACTTTATTGCCGCATTGTCATCCAGACTGTGCGATTGATCAGTCCGGGTAGACCTGTGTCATCACGCAATGATCGAGGCGTGTTGCACAATGACCCTGGATTGGATGATTCTGACACCGTCCATACAGCATGGACTACATACACCGTACGGTAAAGTTCAATTTACAAGGGTCGGAATTTGCTTGTTCGAGTTCCACATCGACTAATACAAAGAAGCTTTATAGTTAATTTAGTCGATCAGGTAGTTCGAATGGTACGAGACTAGGACCGTCAAACGAAAATCGGCATCGCCTAGCGCGCTGGATTACCCACTATTCATCAGCACGACATTTTCCCACAAGCTGGTAGACCACAATCGCAATCAACGATAGGCAACGATGTAAGACATCACCGTCTTAGGTTCCATCCAGGCACGGAAATAAACCACGATCCACCTTATCCTTATTCCAGATCCTAAAAAAAGTTTACCATCGGCGAGCTATCTCAACGTAGTCTAGAGGCGGTCGCTAATTAAGAGTGACCCGTGAGCCGCGGCAGTAAGTGGGGGCCACCAAGAATATCCGACCCGAAGTAAAAGTTTTTCCTCTGAGGGATCCACCACCAACCAAGCCGCGGATGATTGACTGGCAGGAGCAAGAAGAAAAAGCAAAAAATTGACCGACGCAGGGGTCGAACCTGCAATCTCTTGATTCGTAGTCAAGCGCCTTGCCATTGGGCCAGCCGGCCGAATCATGCTAGTTGACCAGTAGGCCAAGTTGTGCTGAATGATGGAAAAGCGTTCCCAGTTATGCCATATCAGGCAGGACAGTAGTAAAGGGGAATAGACTGGTTTTAGTTGGATCAGCTAGAACGTGACTCTATTATTCCGCGCCTTGCTCGGCATGAGCAGCTTCTACAAGGGCGAGTAGGCACCTAAGATTATTTGATTTCAAACGATCAAGATGCCGTCCGTATCAAATGATCTAGAAAATACAGAAAGCGCAGTACCCGCAAGTGCTTGGTGAGAGTCATGAATAAATATATAATTCCGAGGTGAACAACCGAAAGCAAATAAAAGGAAAATTGAATTCAATTGATCGCGCGCATAATGCTCATGTCAGGGTATAAACATTCCAAACTCTATTGATACATAAAAAAAATTCGGAAAAGTCAAAAAAGGAAAGGTAATGAAAAGGAAATTCGAAAAAGGAAAGGATGGTAGTGTTGCTTTAAAAATGCGCGTAGAAAAAAAAGAATCAAGCCAAACTTCCCAAACCAATAGCGCCGCGCCAATGCCATTATCGTTCCATGAATTCACTAGGCCTCCGGATCGGAATCTGTCACGTAGATCTCAGGAACCATCAGGACAGATTTCTCCCCCCGAGTCCCGTCTTCCAGGTGGACGGAACTAGACCGTCGTTGCTGCCTGTTCTTGTGGAGACCGAGGCGGACGGACAGGGACATGCACAAGTGGCCGATGACGAAGCCTACTAGGCAGGCAACCAGACCTGCGGCCGCACCTAGGACGGCGGGGAGAATGACTGGACCGACGAGGCGCATAAAGGTACGGTCACGGTGATGGGAGTGGCGGTGACCGTGGCCGTGGCCACGATGGGAGTAGACGGAGGGAGACCCGTAGGGAGAGAAGATGAATCCAACCTGGGTGACTTCCGTATCATCGTCCGTCTGGGCGGGATCACTGGAAAATGTTTGCGTGGACTCATTGGTGGAGTTTTGAGAGGGTCGGATGGGAGAGGAGACGGGCTTCTTCTCCTTTTGTTTGTTGATGATTCCGGCCATTTGGGTTTGCCAGAACTTCACATGCCAAGGTCGATCATGGCCCTCGCGATGGCCCTTTCCGGGTTCCATTCGAATTCGGGTGATTCGCTGGCTGCCGTCGGGATGGGCAAGTAGATCCAATACCACGGCGTTGGGAGTGACGGCTTCTCCCTGGAGATTCATTAGATCGACGTGCACGCGCACAATCTTGGAGCTCGGTCCAGCTTCTTCGGACGAGAGTGGCCGGGCATGCAGAGAGTACGATAGTTCGAGATCGTCGCCCACACGAGCGTTGCCCTGACCTCGGTATTGAGGCGCATGTAATTGCATCGAGACCGTGGGCGGGAAGATCTGATCATTGTTGGCATAGAGGGACCCATTCGCCACGGTCCATTTCAAAGCCTTGATTTTTGTGATATTAGTTTTCTAGATGGCCATTGGCGGATCGTTGCGGAAAATGTCACACTTACCAGGTAGGCATCAGAATCGTGTTCGGGACTGAGCGACGGGAGGTAAGGAAGGTGGAGTTCGTGAGAGGTTGAGAGGGGGATCGACGATGCGATCGCGCCGAAGACGGCGAGGGTCGACCACGGGTGCAGCCGCATGATGGTTGAACGATAGCGATAAGCCTGGCGAGTAGATGGCACGAGGTAAGGTGAAAGGAAGCGTCGTCCACAGGTGGGAATAAGATGAGATGGATCGTAGTCGTGACCGAAGGATGATGTCGTCGGGACGGTGACCGAATTTCCAGTTGAATCGTGGACGAAGAGGGGAAAGTGATCGGATCCCGTCGAGGGAGGGGAAAGATGCAGTAGATATTAAAGAGCGGGAGACAAATAAGCGTCGTCCCAAAGAAGATTAAGGTAAAATACCCAAAGAAAAAAAGAAAATAAGAATAAAATCAGCCGGGACTAGACTAGGCTGTGGGCACGATGGAAGGGGCGCGAAATGGGCGACCCTAGGAATCGGAATAGTCGGACTAGAACTAACAAGCCGTGTTCATGCAGCTCGGCTCGAGAAAGAAATCACGGAATAAGCAAATTCATCTCGAGGGGATGCGTGCTTTTGAAGGGTTTATTGATGAAGACGGGCCCTACGAGGCGGAATGTAGGTGCCTGCCAACCCAAAGTTTCGCATCCAAAGGTTCCGGGGGTTCACGCTGACTGGTGGATCATTCGATTAATTCCATCACCGAAAGTTTCCTGCGCTGGACAGGTCCGAAACACGCGGGACTCGACGAACTCTCTCTGTCAAGAAAAAAAACACATCTCGTTTAGAAGTATTAATAGTATCGTCGACGGAGATGTTTGGAATGTTGAGCCATGTGGTTGCCACTAGATTCAGTTATGAGAGGGACTACGGAGTAGAGCAACTCAAAATTACGTAGTTCACTATGATGCGATGCTATCTGCGTACCCATTGACATCTCATCACTATCTCATCATGATCCCTCGGCAGCTCTATACTCGAACGAGGAGTATATCTGCATGGTGACTGACGGACTGGTCAGTTGGGTAACCCCGTCAATACTCAATTCGTTTTCTTTCTAGCGGGCAAAGCTTTTTGGCCCGAGAAGAATCTACTTATGATTGGCTGTGCGCACAGCGGTTCCCTTGGGGGCAAAAAGCTTAGCGCTGGTTGGACTGGGCCCCTGTTGGAGGGCCTCGGAATGTTCTCATTTAGGGAATCTCTTGGCTTGGCTTGGATGAAATCTTTCCACAATGTCTTGTACCTCCGTCCGGGCGGAGGTTTGGGGGCGTTCTTGGCCTTGGGGCGGGGGTCCATTGGGTCAGTTTCACGGGCGTCGGGCACCTGCGGGATACGAGGTTGATGATTGGATCTTTGAGGTTTTTCTTGGCCTGGTTGTCTCGCGACGGCTGGGGAGGTCGAGCAGAGGGCTGCTCGACCCCGTACTTCCATTTCAGAGAGAAGCAGAACCCGGGAGGGCGTATAGGGACCATACGATACACGACAGTACTCTTACCAGCACGTGTTCCTGCTCTAATTATCCTCATCGTCAGTGCCAGACCCTGCATCTCCATTCTCCACACTCTTGTCACCCTCGTGTCCCGCTTCCCAGCATTTGTACTCCGTACTCTTCCTCCAAATAACATGGTCTCACCCGGCCTCGTGGCTCTCAACTGTCATCCTGACTTTCATTTCTTGTCCGGTTCGATCAATTCCTCCCGGTCGCAAAGTGCCCATCCCTCCCCGTTGCGCAGTCCGTAATTGGCAACCGCTCATGCGGATGCCTAGCCAGCGGACTCATCGAAAAGTCCGGAGGTGACATCCACCCTCCAAGACTGTCAGACTTACCCTTTCAACGGCAGCAGAGGGTCGGCATCGCGGCTGTGCTCGGAGTGGGCCGACCATTGTCGAACGCCGGAGTTTCAGTGTCTTGCCTTTTAGCTGGCACAAGACAAAGGTAATACTGTAGCTAGCAAGATCGTCGTCCCGGACGAGCTTTACCCGAAAGCCTCCACCGTGGCTTGCTAGTGACACCTTTTCCAATTTAAGGTACTATTTCAGGGCCCAATGTCTCAGAAATGTTACTGATCGCAGAGATTTTCTTCCTATTCGTTCTGAAAATAGCGCGTGGTTAATCTTTGAGTTGTATAGGAAGGGCTGCAATTACATTTAGCAGTCGGTCACGAGATCTGTTCAATCGAGCAATGGAACTGAGACCTTGTCACGCCATTACTTCGAGGATGGCGATGTCTCTCAGCTCGCCAGTACGATCCTCTACCATGTGGTTTTCTTCGCTTCCACTGCTCGAATTGGGAGACCTCACGGACCATCCAATAGCTTGAGATCCCGACCGGTCGTGTAAACTGTACATCTAGGCTGGTGGTCACAATACTAATGCATGCCAATGCATACACCATGATAAGCTAGCCCCCATCTCAATGGTGACTCGGGGGCCAAATTTCTTCTTCAAGGGGTCCGTTGGACTCTTTCAATGTGACAGCGAAGCTATCGGTATCACTGATTCTTTCACACCTTCGCTCGACTGGGTTAACCTGGGGGCTAGAAATCTCAAAAACCCATCCCGCCAGACCCCTTTCTTCTAGGCCTCTGAGTTCATGAGAAAAATAGACCAGTCATCCATCTCAAAGCCTCCAAGATGCGGGAGCAAGCTTTTGTGCCCTGCAGGCACGCAGTGGGGCAGTGAGACACCGAGCCCCAAAAAAAAGTGGTGTTTCGGTTTCTCCTGGCTCAGGCTGCCCGGCAATGATCCGTCAATCTTTTCGATGGCCGACCGAATCAAGATTTGAGCTGAGAGACGAACTGTTAGCGGTCACGTCGTAACCGAGATGACTGTGCCCTTGGAACCGTTTGCCGATCGAAGCAAACAAGTCGATGAACACCCCGGTCGTCGCTAAAATTTTGCAGATCATAAGGGGCGTGCGACAATTGCTCTCTATCGAGCATATCTAACAGTCTCTATTGATAGCAATGTCTCATTCTTCTAGTGACCTGATTGGACGCGTCTATTCGGTTCAGCTGAGCTCCCAGCTGGTTTACCCTAACCCCTGAGGCTGTCGACAAGGTCGGTGACCCCAGACTGAACAAATAACGATGATCCGCACTATTTAAACTGGAAATTGGGTCCTGAATGAGCAATTGGTGAGGTCTTATTCCAAGCCATTCATTAGTTATGCCTAGTGAGTGGAAACCTCCCCTGAGAAGAAAAACAAGCGCGAGGCTGCTACGGTTGCTACCGCGCCCGACTCCCAATGGGGAAGGTCGCCCGCCCAACGCTCACGTCAGCCTTCACACCCCTCAAGAAACTCATGTAGTGAACGAGTCGGCCAAATCCGAGCGGTTCAAAATGCTACCATAGCCCTACGTCTTACAATGTCTCTCGGTTGACACCATAGGCAGCCTTGTTAAATGATGGAACCCAGGAGAATGATTCATTTAGGTCATACACGAACCCACCGAGCTACGTAGATAGTGGTTAGGCAACTATATTCGGTTTGATTAAGCTACAGTAGTTAACCAGCAGCTTTGTTTCCATACACCAGCAAAGTCAACGGAGCTCAGCAAGGACCTCACTAATTAGGTAAATGGGGCAGTTTGCCAGAACCGACAGCGCGGGTTATCAGTCGGATCACGCTCCGCACTGATGGTATGGTTGCCGATGTTTATGAGCGAGCCTCTTTGACCATACCGGTGGAAGGCTGGACCTAGAGTGGAGCTGGGCTCGCCGTACTGGGTGAAGCTGGTGAAATAGTCCTGCATGACTTCGGCGACGGTGACGTTCTGGACAGCGAGAATGGAGCCACCAACTGCGGTTCCGTTGTTGTAGAAGGTGTACTGGACGTCCATGCCGTGGAGGGCTGGCGGGATACTGAATTCGTACGCAAAGGTCTGGTTGTGGTATGCTCGGTTGAAGTAGTCGGTGTTGCAGACGAAGACGAGATCGGATATGACCAGCGCGGCGCGTGTGAGCGAGCTAGTATACCCGTATGACCCGTCGTACTTGGGTGGGTAGAGCACATTTGAGATGTAATCGCTGACGTTCTTCTTCATGTAGGGGAATTGCTGATGAAGCAATGCAGTCAAGCCAGTCGCGTTCCGACTATCGGGCGAGGTAAAGACCAGTCCCTCATCGGCATTGTGCCCGACCATAATGTTCAGATTGCGGTCGAAATTGCCCTCCGCGAGTAGCTTTCCAGGTAACTCGGGGACGAAAGTACCGTCGACGACCGGCCCATAGATGAAGGAACCCCATTGGGACTTGGTGGCTATTTGATAAGCATTGCCAGCGATTAGTTTCTCAGATGAGAGACTCCGCGCTTCGTCAATAGTGCTGACATTTAGGATTCCCAAAAACTGCTGCAGAGTTTGCTCGGGCTGTTCGTCATCCATGATAGGGACCCATCCCGGGCTTTGAATGATGGCCTGCTTGAACGGGGAGGGCCCGGCATTTCCTCCGTACGCTGTGACTTGGTGCATAATTGAGCCTCCTCCGGCAGATTCGCCCATGACTGTGATCCGCGTAGGATCGCCCCCAAACAGGTGAATGTTCTTGTATACCCAGTCCAGAGCAAACCGTTGATCATGAAGTGCAGCATTGGCGGTTCCGTTGGCAAGGATCGCATCACCCGAAAGCCAGCCAAATGCGCCGAGCTGAAGGAGAGCAATGATTAGATAGTCGTTCAGAGCTTGATCAAAGCAACCATCAAAACTTACCCGATAGTTGAGTGCAACGTATACAATACCGTCACCAACAATCTGGCTTCGCTGGATCAGGCCTGTCGGATTATTCGAGCTCTTTTCACCTCCCACATATCCACCACCATATATCCATACCAGAACTGGGGCGAGTTTGTTCTTTGGAACGAATGGCTTGTGATAATTCCCACGATAGGTGTTCTGTTGTGCACGGTCGAATATCCTCTTAGGAACCACCACATCCAGGAACAGGCAGTCTTCGGAAGTCCGGGGGTCCATCTTGTCCGGCTCATAGGTATACGAAGAGATATTCGTCGATGCCGAAAAGGTCGTGTTGTACAACAGGCTCAGGAGGAATGCAGGCTCAATGTCATCTTCCCAGATCGTGCTGGCCTGAGGACATATCCGCCCGACATCACCGGTTTGAACGTGTGTGCGATTCTGCGTTGGAAGCACAGGAGCCCGGAATCGCAGGTCACCCAATGGAGGAGCCGCATATCGAATATTACTGAAATTATAAAGGCCAGAGGTACTCTGCCACCCCTCATCAGAATCCGTACTGTTTGGAAGACCATGCGAAAGATGCTTACATTCAACGATATCGCCTGATGCAACTCATATCCGAGATCCACAATGGGTAGACTAGAGGCATAACAGGTCGAGGCCAGACCCAACAATGATAGGGAAACCTTCATCTTCAAAGCAGTCGCAACGCCGCAGAGCGATCAAGAAATCCGTCGTCTCGTCTAGCCGGGAGTACCGGAATCTATATAACGGCCGTGCCTGTCAAGAACCCTCCATCAACCTCGGCCAAGCTGCGCGGGGGCACACGGAAGATGACCCCGATCTGTCGTCCTGACATTTGTAAGCTATGCTCAGTTAGTACAAGATGCAGAATCTTTGTGGGGCATGAGGGTCTACTATGACTGATGTAGACATGGCCGGTAACCATGATGTCAAGCGACCGGCCCTCGAGAGATCCGAGCTCCGCTGCCCCCCACAGTTACCACGCTAAATAATCTGGGGAAAAGCACTGGAAGCATTCCTAGCAAGGAACTGTGCCCTGTTGTCATATCCTGCTTATCCCGATGTGGCTAAGTGCATGCGCTCGTGTAAACAAAGTGCGGGGTTCACGAAGCCACCGCGCAAGGCTCGCACGAAAAGAGTCTACATCACCGATTGGTTCTGCCAGGTTGATTCTGTCGGGCACTTTATCATAAACACTTGATGAAGAAGACGAGGCAGGATTTCGGAGGACAATGCAGTCCGCTAAGCTAGGCCAGGTGGTCAAGGCGCAGTAGGAATCTCCACCAACAACAGTAGTCCAGACCCAAGCTACCTACTGATGGAAAACCATGTGTGCAAGCAGAGAGCTCTGGGAGAAAGTTCTGTTTGGCAAGTGTCTGCCATGTAGCTCTCTTAATTCCCATTCCTAGCTACCTCAAAAGTACCGCAGGGACGATGCAAGATTCCCCACGATGCCCTCAAATTGCGCATATTGGGAGACAAGTCTCAATTGTCTCGGTGATCTTTTACTTTTTCAGTTGAATAGGTGACCATGTCGTTTGGGGGGGGGGGGGGGGGGAAGCACTGCATGTTCTGGAAACTCCTCTCCGAGTCAGCGCCTGCCGCTACTCGAAATGATACCCAGCGACCGGCATCCGTCCATCAGCTAAGAGGAAGAGAACTGGTAGCCATTTAATAAATAGACCAGATTGCACCAGTGTAATTGCCTGGTTCCAAGAGATCTGCTCTTGGACAATGCGATCGCTGCGGGAGTGAAACATGGAGGTTCAGGGGATGCGAAGGTATTTACCCGTTGGGGGAACTTCGGCGAGTCGGGAAGGTCTTGGCATGTGACTGTGTTGTCCCTATCGGCAGATATCGAGGGTCGTGGTCTATGTACCTTCTACCCTTGCCATCATTGCCGACAAGAGTTTTGAGGAGATATTCCCCTGTATTCACATGCTCGAGCTGAATTTGAAGAATATTCTGGACGGTCAACTCTTTAAACGCAAAGAAACTGGTGCAACACAAATGTCATGGGTGCGCTCAATAGGCTGCTTGGAGGTCTGTTTCACGGACAACCAAGAATCAGGTTTGTCCCGACCCTCCTCCTTATATTCCAATCGGACTTGATTCCTCAGGATATCTTCCTTCCTCTCATCCTATTCAAACACCCCTATTCTGTATATCATTCTTCCGATTTTATTACTAAACAGCCCAAAAAGTCTTTCCGATTAGGTTGCATTATGGTTCTATTTCAGGGAAATGACTCCCTTCATAGATTTACTAGAAAAATGGTCTATTTAAGTCCCTTAACCCTACTTATAGTAGAGCTAAACCTCAAGGAAATATATAGCTAGACTATTTTTTAGTCACTAGGCTAATTAGTCTGGTAACCGTATCGGATCCTAGCGGAGCTCCCGATGCTCGCTTCAAAGAGGAAGTTATGAGTAAGCAAAAAAAGAGCAAAATCGCTTCTCTCGAAGACGGTGACTATTCGATTATCCGGACGCTTAACCCCTTAAAGGAGATGATCCAAGCTCGTCCACCGGGTAAAGGACAAAACCTTTTACTCTAGTATCTATTTGTGATCAGCTCCGATCCAGATCAGTTCAGATGAAAGGGTCTAATACAGAGGCTAGAGCATCTGGCGTAAGGAACTCGGTGTTAATTAATAAGAGAACCAACAAAACAGCCAGGATTGACAAAAGGTCACCCACCATACTGGTCACTAGCTGGCGCGTGGCTATGTGCAGGGGTTGGTGCCGCCGAGGTAAGTAAATGGTGAGTAAAGGTAGACTTGTGCAATAGATAGGATCACAAGTTAGGTGAGAGGTGATGGTCGCGCTAACATTACAACGAGCTTCTCGGTTTTGCAAATTGCCAGGCAAGATTGATCATTTGAAATTTGAGGAATCACATTTGTATTAAGCTTGAATAATAATCCCATAGACTTGGAAGACAATCTTGTGTAGGGTCGCAAATACAAGGTAATCAGCAAGAAAGGATACCACTGTTCCCCCCCCATATAACCTCAAATGATTAGAGAAAGTAACCCCAAAGCCAGAACGACTTCTCCACGCGGAAATAAATCCTACTCTTTGGCCATACAGCTCGAAGGCCCCGCGTGAAGGTTGACCTGGATAGCTGGTATCAAACTTGAGTGTGTTCACCATTCAATGCTGGCGCAGGTTCGGCGCCAGGGGCTGTAGTTCCATTATTGACACCACGACCCGATGAACTCAATTTCTCGGGATGATTAGCAGTGGCGACCGTAGAATGCCGACTGTCGAGAAAAACATTGAGGGTTTCCAAACATAGGCCACAGAACGTCCAGAAGCTTTGGGGACGAATGAGCACGTGTGTTCACGTATTTGGAAAGGGAAAGATGAGGAGGTTTTGTGGTGACAACTCACAAAGATAGGAAAGTCCATGCTTCAATGGCATTCCTCCGCCTGCAACTGGTACTGAGATCCCAAAGGAAGTAAGAACACCCAGCACCATCACCAAGGTTATCGGTTTGAGCAACAAAAATGAATGCCGATAGCCATCTATAGCGTTTTGAGAGTCATTAGCTTAATGTCCTCTGGCAGGGTAGTGACTTATCATCAACGATGGTCGGGTTAGGGTTATAAGGGAGAAAGGGTCTGATATACAGTGCATAGAAGACTATATCTAATGGAATCATATAACCACGGTTGCGGCGCATGCACGCGGTGAAGAGGGATGGTATATAAAACGCCGTGGTGAGAACCGCCTATGGAAAGAGTGTCAGTGGTATCTAATCAGAGTAGCAAGAGAGTATCAAGAAAAGATTCATGTGCTCACAATGACTAGGGTGAAGATGGCCCGATAGCCCTTCACGTGATCAACCACCCAGGCAGTAAGGCCCAACGTGATCACTGCGGAGATCCATAGGAGCAGGCGAACTGAAAATAGAAACGGTCGAATAACCTCACCGTGTTCCATCATAATCGTGAATTCTGGACACTGTAGTCTGTGATGATGAACTTCTTGGAGGAAGAGGCGTTGTATTAAAAATGAAGGCTGTCGGATGAGAAGCCCAAAGTCAATGACGCTACTGTGAAGCTCTATACCCGGGACCATCTTAGTTAAAATGCTCCCACGTTTTCAGCTGTCAAATAAGGGGCAGCTGATTGTTAGATTTCTGGTACACTCTGGCTTAACCAGGCCCAGTGTAGACTAGCCGGTAGATGGGTCGCTTCCAGTAATGTAGACATTGGAGAACATGCTTTGGCTGATTGAATTCCGGAATAAGTATACTGGCTTTAAGGCCTAGAAAGTAAGAAGAAATATTAATTCGTCTTTATACTACATTTTGAATCGAACAGACTCGCGACGGACAATGGACATTCTTCCCGGAAAGTCAACGTTCATGGCGGATTAGTACAGAGTCGTATCACGCCTTATATTAGAACACTACCGTACTTTTTTGGAAGAACTGAAATTCTTGATGAAATTCTTACTGTGATCTTAATTCGGGACCGAAAACTATCGACTTACGGTTACCAACATGCGATCGATCATGTGGACAATTAAAAACTTCTGGTGGCGGATTCTGCTACCGAAGCACCGCAGCGACCAAGTCCGGTAGGAAATAGACCAATGAGCTTCATGAGCTCCAATAATCGTGATTCAGTGGCGTTTAGCTCATCAATCAGCTCTGATGGTCAACTTAACTCTCAACTTCTACTGTTTACTTTTGGCTCTTAAACCGGCCGAACGCTCCATTTTATTCTTCGGATTGCTTCGGCACGGGCAAGTCGTGAGGGCGACCACTCCCGCTACCCAGTTGTTTTGCTAGAAAGTCGGAACAACGCCATCATCCAAGTTCCAGTCGTCCATGTTAGTATACTGGTAGCGTAGTCGTCATGAATATTCGCACTGTCGAGATTCCATGCTCAAATTGGGTCTACCAAATCATTTCAACGCCTACAATCAGGAAGACTACTAAGCGACGCGTATAGCGGTACTCAATGCAGCTAAATTCATGTAGTGAATGCTATCAGCTTCCCGCTTAATCTTCATTTCCATCTTTCCTTGAGAGAATCTACATTCATCATGTTGAGCTGGAGAATCCGTACATTTCTCCTCTTCGTTGTCTGCTTGGCTTCTGGCCTGGCGCATTTTCGCAAATTACCACTTGACACTCCTACCGGTATTCTTAATTACAGAGCCTTACCAAATGCGCCTAATGGATATACACCGGAGAAAGTACAATGCCCGTCGCATGGTTCAAACGTGCGTATCGCGGTAAACATTAGCGAGCACGAAATGCATTGGTTACAGATCCGTCAGGACAAGAGGTTGAAGGCGATGCAGACCTTTCTCACGCGAATGAAAATTCCGGACTTCAATGCTACCCTATATTTTGCAAAGACTCAGGCCGCATCTCTGCCCAACATCGGGATCTCATTTTCAGGAGGCGGCTACCGAGCTCTGCTCAACGGAGCTGGAGCATTTGCTGCATTTGATGATCGAGCAAAGAACTCGACTACACCAGGCCATCTAGGCGGATTGGTGCAATCAACTACGTATATTTCTGGCCTTAGCGGTGGCTCCTGGCTGGTCGGATCCATTTTTACAAACAATTTTACTACAGTGAATGCACTGCTGAATTCTAATGCCAGTGGTGTTTGGGAATTTGATCAATCAGTTCTGAGCGGACCTACAGGTGACGCGGGCTACTTCCGGCAACTCCGACAAACCGTAGATGGCAAAGAGGAGGCTGGATTTCCTGTTTCAATTACTGATTACTGGTACGAAACTACTTATTCCCCACTCAACATCCTACACGTCTTTGGCAATGTTCCCTCCCGTATGTTTACTGAGTGTCTGGTGATCTGTCCCCTGACCGAGTTTGAGAGATTAATATTAACGACTCATTGGCTAGGGGTCGCGGGCTGTCCTACCAATTGGTGAATGCTACCGAGGGCGGACCTGCCTATACGTGGTCATCTATCGCTTCAACGAAGCAATTTCTTGATGGAAACGTGCCAATGCCAATGATTATTGCTCTTGAAAGAGCGCCCTCAGAGAAGAATCTAAGTAAGAATACTCGACCAATTATTTCTGCGGACATACTTCCTGTAACCTTTGCTGATTCAGCTTCTATTGAACATCGAACAGCATTAAACTCATCAGTTTATGAGTTCAACCCATGGGAGTTGGGTACGTGGGACCCAACCACCTACGGCTTTATGCCTCTCGAATTTCTGGGGTCGAATTTCACGAGTGGCAATCTATCAAAGGACAATTGCATATCCGGGTTTGATAATGTCGGTTTCATTATGGGCACATCTTCCTCCTTATTTAACCAAGCCCTACTTCATATCAACAATACCGATATTCAACGCGCGCTGAAGAGCATCACTACTTCACTTCTACAAAGTCTCAATGACTCGTCGAACGACGTTTCAGTATATGAACCTAATCCGTTCTTCGGTTTCAATAATGCGAGCAATCTGAATGCTCAAGCAAAGGCCCTTATCCTTGTTGACGGGGGAGAGGATCTGCAGAATATCCCCTTTTACCCGCTCCTACAAGCCAATCGCAAGGTCGACGTTATTTTCGCCATTGACAGCTCGGCAGACACGCCGACACGGTGGCCCAACGGGACAAGTATGGTGGCAACCTATCAGCGCAATAGCAATTCTTCAAAAATTGCGAATGGGACAGCATTCCCCTCCGTTCCAGACCAAAACACCTTTGTCAACCTAGGCTTGAATGAGCGACCCACCTTTTTTGGCTGTGATCCATCTAACAGCACGGGCAAGCCTCCCGCTCCGTTGGTCATATACATTCCAAATAACCCATATACCTACATGTCGAATATCTCGACGTTGGCACTTGAACTAAACGACACTGAACGGGATAAGCTGGTGCTGAATGGATACAACGTGGCTACCATGGGAAACTCGACGGAATGGAGCGTTTGCATCGGTTGCGCCATCATTAGTCGCAGCTTACATCGAACTAATACGTCGATGCCAAGTGCGTGTTTGGATTGTTTCCACCAATATTGTTGGAATGGCACGGTAAATGCGACAACCCCGAAGACTTATGAACCCCGTCAGAAAATACAGTAAGCAAATCTGTTAGTCAAGATACGTGAAGTCATATTCAATCGCCAAATCAGCTCTCACGCTCTGGAGTGATTAGCCATATTGATCCACAGTTTCCTGCGCGCTTCGGCGAAACAAAAATGTTGCTACTTCTTGCTGGCTACTCATATATCAAGAGCTTAACTGTTACTGTTAGCATATTTATGCAACAATAATCCAGATTCTGTGCCTCTATTTGAAAATCCCGCTGTTAGAAGGTGGATTTCGTGACCAGTCGATCACATGAGATCAAGAGTCAGAGGCTCTTTGACGGAGGTAGCGGACAGCCCCACAACTCTGATTCAGTATTTAGGTACCTCTCAAGGCCCAAGGCACAAGACTAAAACGCGGGGCTCAGAGTGGTAGAGTTCCCAATTCAATCGAAGACGATCTGGTTAGACCTCATCGCCTAAAGTTTGGTGGTGGAGTCGAAGACGTCATCAGTGACCTCAAATTTCTACCTATATCTCAGTGTCAACGGATAGTTCCAGGTAATCATCTGTCTATGAATCATATCCTCAAGACAATTAACCATGTTGACCGGCTCGTGTCTTTGCACAGCGAACAAATACACAATCGTGAATGATGATGCTGCTGTACTCAGGAAGGTGAAGAATCCCTATTTCTTAAAAGTCCTTTCTTCATCTACTTATTTGGCTTTCCTCTAGATAATATGCCACTGTGCTCGCTGTCGCAAGATCAGCGGTGAATACACTACCACCAACCTTATCGTGCCGAAGACGAGCTTCAAGTTGACGAGCGTCTCGAAATGGCGCTCTCTCGTCCCGGGTCTATCAAAAAGCACCACCATCTTTAACGCCGTCCTGTCAGATGATAAGCATGGACATATCTGTTTTTGTAGCCACTGTGGGTCGGTGCTCTATCGCGAATCTGAAATGCAGGGATTCCGCGGACTGATGTTTGTGCCAGTGGGCACGCTTGATGACATTGACTCTGTGAGCGACTTAAGAAAGGAAGAATGGTACTGAGCGGGTTACTCCAGGTTTTCGGATGTATAATGGAGGAAATCAAATTTATTCGAAATTGCGGTCGATATGCGAGATTGCCTTTTGCCCTTTAAGAACGAAAGTAAAAGAAATAGTAAATAATTCCTGCCGTCCCGATAACCCAATCCAAATTCGGGTAGAGCTGCTGAGGCATGACAATTCTAAACTCATTTCTTAAGACCATGGACCGTGGTGATCTCATACTGAATGGAATACATACCCTGAAGTTTGGATTCGCTCAACCACTCACAGATGCTGAGTTTAACGGTCCTTAAGATCAATCAATGCCAAGAAAAAACATACAACAGCCAAAAGTATGGCCGGGCTCACCTAGCGCCCATCGTTCGGTGCCGGGCGCCTCACCGCTTTACCCGGGCCCGCTTCAGGGTGCTTCAGGCGGCTTCAGGCGGCAGTTCACCCACCTGAATATTCTTCACCCGAAGACCGGCCAGGGTGCAGGGCTGGCCGGCGAAAGGCGCATTTGCACCTTTTGGCACGGGGAAAGATTTCGCGAGCGGCTGGCACAGCGAGCGACGACGGATGAATTATAAGTACGCGCTGGGAGCGTCCAGCAGCGGCCTCCCACCCTCTATGCCCCCTCCTACCCCACCCCGTTGACCCAGCGAGCAATACACACCCTCATAATGACTAGGGGCAAGGATCCAACCGACAACTTCACCTTCGTCGTGGATTTCGATAAGCATGATAACTCAGAAATCCTACGTGCTATTCTCCCGAGAACTAAAGACGACTACCGGCGCGCACTTCGCATCTATGATAAGTTCGTGCCTCTTAACTACACTTCACCCTCGAGTGGCCGCCTTTCCAGGTCTCTAATTGCTTCCGTCAGGTTCCTCTCACTACACCCGAAGGCCGTGGATCCGCCCGATATTTAAACCTTTAAGGCGTTTATGGAGTTTGCGGCACGTGGAATGAAAGGTCGAATTACGGTAAGGCCGACTGTCGCAACTGTTGACGGATTTCGTGGAAACTTCGAGGTAGGAATGTCTTTTTATCGCGACCACAAATTCCCTAAAGAGATATCTACCACAATCAGAGAGGTATGGTAGCTATAGCGCTCTATGGAAGAAACTCTAATCTCTCTCTAGTGGATTCTTTAAGAGTTGAAGCCTCTACTGAAACTACCGTCCGCTGAGATAGACAAGGACGGACTATCGCTAAATAACCTTATAGTACTTATGACCTAACTTTGGTGTAGGGACTTCTACGAATATCGAGGGTAGCCTGCAGATCGAACGCGTGTGTAGATTAGCGTAGCAATGCTGCTTTACTGCTTTACCTCCGCTAGGACAGGAGAAGTCCACGAGTTAACCGCGCGCCGAGCTGGGGCTTGAGAGAGCCTCGGATATGAGTCCGATAAGGAACTGGAAGCCCGTATAATGGCAGCTTGTTATAAGGTATATGAAATTCCTGTGTATGGATCGAAAATTGTACTCACGGTGACTTTAGCATTTCACCCTTACTATCGAACGTGTAGAAGGGGTACCAATGCTTGTACTAACCTACCAGCGAGAATTCACAAAAGGTCACTGGAGAAAAAAGGAATGGGAACTTCCGATCCACGGATTTTACGAGATTTACAAAGAGGACGTACCACTCTTTTTTAACCTTCTTATTTTTTTCTTGCCGTTGGCGTTTGCCGACTATGCCTTTCGTGACTACTCGTCTATAGACGGCCTTCTAAATACAGCAGAGGTCTATAAGACTGACTGTTCGGAAAATAAAATCTTGGCGGTCATCTATTTCGCAGATTCCGTTAGAGACGTCCCTTTATTCCGCCCCTTTAGTGAACTATAGATTGAAAAATCGACCGGAAAGGCCCGGGGAGCCGACGCATTCGGCAAAGAGTTTGCTAGCCTTGGCCATCGTAGCGGATATACTCGGAATGTCACTGTTCGTGGCTGCCGACGCTGGGTATTAATACAAGTAGGTAAGAATCCCACCGAACGAAACATAGTTCGCTCCGCTAAACACAAAAACAGACTAGAAATATTCGGAGGCAGCGAGGATGAAATTTACGGGCTAAGTGAATCGTGATACGTACGGGAAGTACTACGCACATCCACTTAGCGAAATCGACGGGCTAGCGAACTACCTCGGAATTGCTAGCCGGAGGGACTATATCCAAAATCGCCGCGGGATGGGAATACACTATAATCCATAACTTTGGCAGTCCCTCCCGGCCAAAGCTGAATATGAATTCTAGGACCGGAAGGACGTTCGTGAACTCGATATAGGCATAGAGTCACTAGGATCGCAGTTACTTATTACCGAAGAGCGCGAGTTGAAGCGTGAACTTCAACTTCAACAGCGTCGGCTTTTAACTGAGAAGGAGCGGCTATATAAGGGTATGCTGAAGAAAATCTAACTATCGCAATCTCAAAAAGCGATAGATTCCGAAGAGCACTAAGGGAGTATCTACGAATAAAGTCTTTTCCACTATCGACGAAGGGTTCTACCATAGAGAGATATTCTCGCCGAGTTACTCCCGAAAAAGGTTAGATTGCGAGAGCCAGAAGGGCGGAGGGCTCTAGCCGCCTTAGGGTCCCTTTGCTAAGAGATAGACTTAATAGCTTATCGAAATTCCCTCTAACCTCAAGATGGAAGGTGCCCGTGTGGGAAATTAATGGAAGAGTTCGTTTCTGACTACTATGGTAATGTCTATGAAGCTAATCCTCTTTTCTATCTAGGTTCGTGCCTTATAGAAGGTGGTTGTACCTTTACAGGTGCTCTAAGGCCCGTTACAAACTCGTCGATGAAATTGGATTTGCTGAAATGTGCTTCGAGTGCGATGATTGGTTTACGAAGTCATGGGAATAGGAAGATTATTGCAGAGAGCATCTTGCTTATCCAGAAGCACTTATTCGATGTGACCCCTTGATGTTTCACTACGCCCCCATTAAGGTAGGGTTGTGTCTATTTTGCTTAGGGAATAAGAAACTCTAACCGTCGAAAAGAATGGTTCAATTTTTTGTGAGTCCCCCAGAATGGCATGACCACGTTGTAGCCTATTTGCATGAATTAAAGGGCAACTTTAAGTGTGAGCATCCCGCTTGCCTGGTGGATTTTGAAACTGCGGCGGAATTGATATATCACCTTATCGATACCCACTGCTGGCGCCCTCGACGTGAATATCCCAAGAAGAGGAAGTTTGAGATTGACGATAATTCTTGACCGAGTATAACGAGAGATTTTGGCTGTGAAGGTGCCAGAGTAGCTTCCTGTCTTGATTTACTAATACTATCTATTCCACGTATGGCTTGGGCTCTGGCAGACCAAAGATTGTGAATTCCCTCCGTTTAAACTAGCTACGCTGCACGACTGCTCACTGTCATGTTGTATTTGGTATTATCATAAGTATTAATAGTTTCCGCCATTAAATGCTCTAACTTCCTTGACATAGGGAAAGCCTTTAAGCGGAAAGTTAGAATAACTCATGATTTATGTTCTTCAGATACTGACTTAGTCGAGATACAAGGTTTCCAATAGCGCCTCTCGGGGGGACACTAATAACTGCGGAGCATAGTGACCTAGCCATTTTTGGCTATACGGCTTCATCCAGTTCAATATCACCATCTGGCTAAGAGTTACCCCACATGAACACACTCTACCGCTGGCGTATTAAACCTCCACTGCCCACTCTCTCCTTCACTGCTACACCCTGCCCGTGCTGTTTCTTAACCCCCTCTTATCACCGAAGGAACCACGTATAATCGATCCTGTTGCAAATCTCCTCGCTGGGAGCGGGCTACTATAAGAAAGCGTCAACGGCTCAACCTCACGAGGCCCTACAGTTGGTACGTAAGTATCTTCTTATATATAGTTAACCAACAGAATTAAGACTGACGTAATGTGATTTAGGAAGCGCGCGATAGTGCCCCCAGCCAGATAATTCCGCGGTAGATGTCTCTAAAGACCCCGAAGCTACATGATGAGGCAGAAAGTGATAACAGCCTT